CTTTACTGATTGATGAGTCAAGCTTGTCAGGTGAGAGTGAGCCGGTCAATGTATATGAAGAGAAGCCTTTTCTTCTTTCAGGAACTAAAGTGCAGGATGGGTCAGGTATAATGCTGGTGACAACAGTTGGTATGAGAACTGAATGGGGAAAGTTGATGGAAACTCTGAGTGAAGGAGGAGAAGATGAGACCCCACTGCAGGTAAAGCTGAATGGTGTTGCTACAATTATTGGTAAAATTGGTCTGAGTTTTGCTGTGTTGACATTTTTAGTATTGGCAGTAAGATTTTTGGTGGAAAAAATACTTAAAAACGAGATCACTGATTGGTCTTCAACTGATGCAGTAATCCTATTGAACTACTTTGCTATTGCGGTAACTATAATTGTTGTTGCAGTTCCCGAAGGATTACCATTGGCAGTGACGCTGAGCCTTGCTTTTGCTATGAAAAAATTAATGAATGATAGGGCACTCGTAAGGCATCTCTCAGCATGTGAGACAATGGGTTCAGCTAGTTGCATTTGCACAGATAAAACAGGGACATTAACCACAAACCACATGGTAGTTAACAAGATATGGATATGTGAAAAACCTTTAGATGTAAAAGGTAATGAGAGTAAAGAAATATTGAGTTCAGAAATATCTGGAGCATCAAGCATCCTTTTACAGGTTATATTCCAAAATACAAGCTCTGAGGTTATTAAGGAAGATGGAAAGACCTCCATTTTGGGGACACCAACAGAGTCAGCATTATTAGAATTTGGTTTACTTTTGGGTGGCGATTTTGATGCCGTGCGCAGAGAGGTTAATATTCTTAAGGTTGAACCTTTCAATTCTGTGAGGAAGAAAATGTCTGTGCTTGTAGCTCATCCTCATGGTGGGAAACGAGCCTTTTGCAAAGGTGCATCAGAAATAGTACTGGGAATGTGTAACAAATTTATTGACTTTAATGGAGAATCTGTTATTCTCTCCTTAGAACAGGTAAAGAATATCACGGATGTCATTAATTCTTTTGCTTCTGAAGCCTTGAGAACTCTCTGCTTGGCTTTCAAAAATATAGATGACTCTTCCATCGAAAATGACATCCCAGATGATGGCTATACATTGATAGCAGTTGTTGGTATCAAGGATCCTGTGCGCCCTGGGGTCAAGGATGCAGTTCAAACTTGTTTAGCTGCTGGAATAACCGTACGAATGGTCACTGGTGACAATATAAATACGGCTAAAGCCATAGCTAAAGAATGCGGCATACTCACAGAAGATGGTTTAGCCATAGAAGGACAGGAGTTTCGTAACATGTCTCTTGAGCAGAAGAAAGCTGTTATACCGAAGATTCAGGTTACTAAATAATTTCATTGGAAAATTTTCACCCTCATCCATAACTATTTAAAGATGTTCACAAAAAATTTAAATGTTCATGTGGATACAGGTGATGGCTCGGTCTTTACCGTTGGATAAGCACACCTTGGTAAAAACTCTGAGAGATGAATTTGGTGAGGTAGTTGCAGTGACTGGCGATGGAACCAACGATGCTCCTGCTTTGCACGAGGCAGACATTGGACTTGCTATGGGCATAGCAGGAACAGAGGTTACCTTGATGACCAAGCATCATCTTACTCAAATAACTCATTCTATAACACCCATTTTCAGACTGATGATTTAATCCTATGTTGCTCCTTGGAATTTCAGTTCCCATAACTTCTCCTTACTATCACTTTGCAGCTTTTTTTTCCTTGAAACTTTCAAATGTTTTCATCCAACAAAATTGATTTTCTCCATGACATGGCTACTAACATGATTTGTCACATACTCAAACTCATTTCATGTATGTCGCATGTAGCATGCGTTGACAAGACACATAATCTTTGATGGTAGGACACATGGTGCGTCATGTTACTGAGTAAAACAATTATGTTAAAAGATATATTCTTGGTGCATAGCCAGAAGAGAAAACAATTAAGGCTGTAGTTTCGAATTATTGTTGTTTGTTGTATTATTTTTGTTACTAATATTATTACTATTTTGGTGCCCATATTTACCCTTGGACAGAAATGACCACCAAAATAGAACTGCTTCCTAAGAAAACCTGAAAAAAGCCTTAGATGTGATAAGAACTGCCTTCTTCAGTACCCTCCTACCAAGAAGCTGGTGAATGCAACTTGGTTGTTGTAACTTGTATAACATTTACCAGAAAAAGAAATTGGTGTCTTGTTCTTTTTGTTAATTTATGTTGCTTTTTTAACACCCCTTGACTTGGGGAATAGACCAACTTGAGATATTTACTGTGATTTCCCTCTGGTCCTCTTGCTAATTATAGCATATACCGCTTGCTAAAGGAAAAGGCAACTCCAAAATACAACATGTACCTCAACGAGCTGCTCTATGACTTTTCTAAATCATTTTTGAACCATTACTTTGTCCAAGTAGTATGCTTGGAATGGTATCCTCCCAATAAATTTCAGTTGCTGATTTCTGGAAATCACAAGTCCCTCTGCTTAAATCAACTACTCAATTATATTTAGCTAATTATCGACGGGGCGTTTTTTTTTCCTGCAATCTGAATGCGCATAAGGTTAACTACCATTTGATGTCATTTAGGATTTGTTTTCTCCTCTCGGCTGCTTGATAATTGGATGTTGTTCCTAGTTCTAAATAGCCAATTCATGGATGGTATATACAGGTTGCCAAGGAAAGTGCTGATGTCATCATATTGGATGACAATTTTAAGACTATAGTAAATGTGGCCAGATGGGGACGTTCAGTGTACATAAACATTCAAAAGTTTGTGCAGTTCCAGTTGACAGTTAACGTTGTTGCTCTAATAATCAATTTTGTTTCTGCATGTGTCTCAGGTATGTTGGTCTGGCAGATTTTTCTTGCATGCTACACCATTATATTTGTTTAGAAAGACACAAATAAATAACGATAAATTTCACAACTCTTTCAGGATCGGCTCCCCTTACGGCTGTGCAATTGCTTTGGGTCAACATGATTATGGACACTCTTGGGGCATTGGCACTGGCAACAGAGCCTCCAAATGATGGACTTATGAAAAGGCCCCCTGTTGGGAGGGGTACAAGCTTCATAACCAAGGCCATGTGGAGGAATATCATTGGCCAGAGTATCTATCAACTGATTGTCCTTGGAGTTCTCAATTTCTATGGGAAACAGCTACTTGGACTTTCTGGTTCAGATGCAACTGAAGTTCTAGACACTGTGATATTCAACGCATTTGTGTTTTGCCAGGTACATTTTACGGGTTAAAAGCAACCCTAGTTTTCTCTTGCATCATCAACACGTTTAACTTCAATACAGCCTATAACTTCTTCTGGGCTATGCATGTGTCCGTCCGTCTCTCTAAAATCTTAACATACCAGCATAAGTACTCGAATCCCACATTCATGTGATGTTTTTTTGCTTTTGTTTTTATCAGGTGTTTAATGAGATAAACAGCCGTGACATAGAGAAGATAAACATATTCGTGGGCATGTTTGATAGCTGGGTATTCCTAGGCGTCATGGTTTGCACAGTGGCCTTCCAAGTTATTATAGTAGAGTTCTTGGGAGACTTTGCTAGCACTGTTCCACTAAGCTGGCAACTATGGTTACTCTGCATTTTACTTGGATCAGTTAGCATGCTTGTTGCAGTTGTTCTCAAGTTCATACCAGTCGAAAGTACAATTAAGCACCACGATGGATATGAACCGCTTCCTTCTGGTCCTCCCAACAGCATAGTTTGAACAGGCGCATCGAAACTGCCCGTTTTTCTTTTAAAACAACTTCCGGAGGTTTAAAAAATAATCCCAGTTTTCCTTTATAAACCTGCGAAGTTGTTTGAAGCGCATTGTGACGCTTGAAATCTTTCAATGCCATGTTGGGATTTCATTAGTTTTCCCCGATGCCTGAATGGTTACAGGTTACAGCACAATCTGCATCACTGACGTGTAATTTTGTATTTCAATTTATAATATAAATTGAAAGACTTGAAATCCCAATATATTTCAGAATATGAAATTTTCGAAATCTTGAGATACCTTCTAATTACAATCCAATTTTCTTCGGAATTTTCAGATTTGGAACTATCGTTTCTTCATATATCACGTCTTGAGTTTTGGGAGTTGCTACGGGTATTTTTTATTTATTTAAAAAAAAATCGTATAGCCGACCGGCTATACTCGGGATTTTTAAATTTTTTTTCCAAAATAGTATAGCCGGGCGGCTTTACCATGGTTTTTAAAAAGTACATATATAGTATAGCCATGCGCGATACTTGTTTTCATACGCCTAGACGCTAGGCGGGTCTTTTTTTAATCAAAACTAGTATAGCCGCGCGGCTTTAATACAGTATTTACTGGATGGTCTATGTTTCGCAACAGCGTATCTTTACCACAATTGCCATTGCTTTACGACTGGTTCCAAAAAATTAAAGTAACACTCTTTCCAAAAATATTAGTATTTGGGAGGAAGAATGAGAAACAATCATATACTCTTACTTTGAAAAGTGAAGCAAAAATGATACATGCAATTTTATACGGTGACTTAATAGACGTCCCATCGTTATTCTTGATAGGAATCATCATTTGGTCTGTAGGCTCGAACGAGTTCAAACTCAATCCCGAAATTTTGGGGTGGAACCCATTGCCAAACCTTTGTTTTTCATACTGAAAAATCATGTATGAAATATTTCTTATCGAATGCAATAAAATATTTTGATACCTTAGTTTTATTCCAATCTTGGTTCAAAGAGAATATGGTTCGAAAATGGTCTATAAATAATTAGGATCGAATCTGGTACAAAGGAGTTGCTTGTACATGTAATAATACAACACCACAGTGAACTCTCTCTTTCTCTAATACAACACCACAATGAATTCTCTCCCTCTATCAACTAAAACAATATTCACTAAGAATATGGTTGCACATAATCTCACTAACCTCTTCAACAAAAATACTTGAGCCAGCAAATACAAAACAAACAAAAGAATGGTAAATTGCCAAGGATCAATTATCTAAACCTCCGTTTTGCTTCTCCGTAAGCAACAACCCCCGCAACAGTTATCATGTAACCACCAATACCGATAACAGTGACAGGATTCTTGAAAAGAAGAATTGAGATAACAACAGCCACAGCACCTTTTGCATTGCCTAATACCTGATTACAACATAATTCCAGTCAAGAAATTAGATGGGAGTTCAAGAAGAATAACAAAAGATTAAAAATAAAAAAATAAAAACAGAAATTTTAGTCACCGACAACAAATTGATTCAACTGCATTTAGAAGTGTTTGCATGAATTGTGCAATGAACCTTCGTATATGCATATATATGGAACCCTAAGCATGAGACGAACAAAAAAGAAAACAAAATTTTACAGTCATTCGAAGGAGCTGAAGACGTCAACGTCCAAACTATGTGCAGATGCAGTGGCTGCTGAACCAGCTTATTTTTTAGGCTGCTAGCAGCAACTTTCTTTGACCAACAGCAGTTTTAATCAAATTTTTTAAAATCCCAGTCCAGATAGGGTTGACTAATTAAGCGGGTGTAGTGTCATCCTATAAGCTTATATTTTAACTATCAGTTTTTGGGCTACTGGGAATCCGAAAAAAGACACTTCTGATTGACCGGCCTGCAGACGCTTCAGGAGAAACGAAAGCATTGTGTGTGTGTGTGTGTGTGTTTCCAGCCTACAGTCAAATGATTAAAACAGTCCACTTCATAGGTTCTTCAAGGATCATCCATGCAAAAACAAAACATAACGAAAAAGCCTAAGATCTAATCAGTTAATGTATGCCGGGCGACCGAATCCATGCAAAAACAAAACATAACGAAAAAGCCTAAGATCTAATCAGTTAATGTGTGCCGGGCGACCAACACAAAATAATTTGCCTCGCCGGGCAACACACCGCCACCACCAGTCAACCGAGGCAGGAACGCACGTCTTGTAAAGAGGTGGACTGTAATTATACATACATATATTGAGCAATGTTCTCTTGTCAAACAAATGCTTATGTTGCAAGACTATAAATTTATATCAAACATTTCAGAATAAATTAACATGATCAATGGTCCATAATAGCGTGGCAACCTATGCATCATATATTGGGAGACATCTGGTCAGAGAACCTTTATGTATGCACATATACATAAACATACATTATATATTGTGTATCGTTTTTTATCCACTGAAATTAGAACAATCGACCTAGTAATTTGGGAAATAATTATATAAGACACAAAGAACTAGGAAAAACAAGGTGAAAGATGTCAAAACCTGAAGTGTTAATGCACTTGTATGTTTGGTCACCAAGAAATTTGACAAATTAGCAGAATACGCCATTACTGAATTAACCAAAAGAAGTAACCACATGAATTTATGCTCTCTTCCAAGTGACAGAGTGACATCTACGACATTGGGCTCCATTATAAGTGCAGCAGGCAACAACACTAGAATAGCAATTGGAGACATATACAGCAGCAAATTCATGGAGTTCAACTTTTCCCTGTTAAGTACAAGACATATAAACAGACCAAATAGTAATAAAACACCAGATCAAGAAAAAAGAGTGCTCCAATTTGGCTTGAGATGAAGATGGAAGAGAACTAAAAAGGAAACATTTACAATTTGAACAGAAAATATCACAATTCTGACTAATCAACAAATTCTAATATTCTTTGCAGAATGTCCATTCCTTGTCAACCAAGTCGAGCAAGATGGGAGTACATCTACGTGTATATCCAAGAAAAAGCGCAGAAACACCAAATAGAATACATTCTCGTTTCTTTAACTTAGAGGGAAAAAAACTCACAGTTTAAGTGTTTTAGTCATGAGTCCTAATCGTAAAGACAGATCTACTAGCTCACGATTGGTTATTATATTTTAATTTAACTGGATTTAACTATATATTTAGATTGATTTGTGCAAACCCGGAATCTTTGTAGCTACATGAAAACATGAATTTCAGGTCTCTTTTGGGGCAGGTAACCAAGAAAACGGTTGGGTGTGAAGCAATCAAAGGGCTTCTATACTTCTCTAGCCCACTGCTAAATGGCTTTCACGCTAGGACCCTCATCCCTTGCTTCATTCTTTGGAAAGTGAAAATATGTAATAATATAATATTTGAAAAACAAAAGTTAGATTCCAACACAATCAGAGATCAGCCTTCATAAATTATTGAAGTTCACTCAATAAATTATCAGGTGGTAAATGTTAATGAAACTGTCTAAATATAGGAGTTAATATAAAGTTTAAACAAGTGTTCAGATGAGAGATTATACAGTGAAAAGCTTTCAAGTTTTACCCTTCAGAAGAAAGTAGGATACCCTGAAGAACAGACTTAAAGGCCCTTGCAGCAGTTGCACTAATGCACATAACAAACCCAAAGAAGTGAAAACTTGGCTCACCCTGCCACCAACCAAGAAATTCATGTGATTCCACTAATATTGCAATGGAAGCACATTGCTTATACGAAAAACGAAAAACGCAGATTACAGTATGACATATGAATAAGGAACCTAGCAGTCCACAGCATCAATTAACTGAAAAGTTGATTTCTTCTTCTCCTTTGTTTATTATACATGTATAGTTTACAAAGAAGAAAGGATAACAAAACAAGTAGAGAAACTAAGAAGCAGGCTGTTACATTCTTCAAAACTATCAGATACAATATCATACGCAAACACAAACTTGAATCACCAGCCTCGCATCACTACATTAGCCATACATGGTTTTGATTATGGTCCATCCTTGTTTCTTAATTGCGTACACCAGCCACGGTCTAGCACTGGTCATTATCAATTACAAGTGATTTAGTTTTAATTTTTTTACCAATATCCTCTCTATTAAAAGAACAGAGCATTTCCAATTACTGTAATCTTCAATACCACTTCTCAAGCCAAATGCAATTATCACCGGAAATTGACATGATTTCAAGTTTCAGCCAGACAGAATATCTAGCTAGTGTAGAATAAACCATCACAAGTTAACCCCTGTAGCTGAACTCCAGATCTGGATCAGTAAGTAGCATCTCTCAACTATATATTCATACGAAAGTAAACAAATTCAAAGCAAGATACACCGGAATTTAACAGCATTTGTATACAGACCAAATCAACATTAACTTTCCCAAAAAATTAAAAAATTAAAACTAGACAGAAGCAAATAAAAAGCAATGTTAAAGTATGCAATGGTGATTAAAATAAATGATCCAATGAACAAAATAAGCATACCCCACTAGCAATCACCACTCCAGTAACAACAGGCACAAGAGCAGCATATGTGACCCAAGCCTCCCTCTTAAGGGTCGCCAAATAAGCAAAAAGGGCAGTGAAAAACGGTGTCGTTGCACCGACAGCCTGATTAAACGACACCGCAAGGTATCTGAGTGAAATATTGCCACCCACAACAGACCCACAAAAGACAATGCTTAAAGTTGCAATCTTGACGAACTGGGACTTAGATTTGAGGGTCTGCAAAGGCACAATCTTGAGGAAAACAATGGAGATGTAGCTGAGAATGGCGCAGGCAGCCATGTGGCACATTGTGAGGAAGATTGGGAATCTAAAGCCATGGTTTGAGAGCAAGAACTTGTTGAGTAGAAGAACACCAATGTTTGATGAGTACCAGAGGATTACGAGGGAAGATATGAAAATGGCTTGTTTCTTTGACGACATTTTCAAAGGTTTTGGTGAAAAGATTGGTGCTTGGATTTGTTTTCTCCTTGAACGAGGTGCTTGGATTTGTTTGGAGAAGCTCTCATCTGAGCTTCAATCTTCAATGGAAAATATTATTATTTCCTCTTGGTTTTGGTTTTCTTTTCTTTTTTTTATTTTCTTTTTTTTTTTTTTTTTTTTTTTTTTTTTTATGTGTACGACGTAGCGTGGAAAGGAACATGCCATCGTGGCATGAAAGAAACGTTTTTTTTTTCTTTTTCTTTTTTCTTTTGTCTGAAACATGATGATGCTAATTAACTCTAAGGCCCTGTTTGGGATTGTTTTTTTTTACTAAAAACTTGCTTTATTTTAAAGTTAAGCAGTTTAATGTGTTTGGTAAAAATAAAATATCTCGATTATTTTAAAAGCAATGGTCTTTTGATAGCAACTTTTAAAAACAGACTCTGAGTTGCTTTTTAAAGTTACTTTCAAAAGAATTAGAAATAGAGATATTTAGTAATATACCCATTCTTAGCACTAAAACTATAAATAAACCCTATATCATTTCATTTTTATAAACATACCCAAAAAAAACCCAAAAAATGACAAATGGTACTATTAAATTTAATTTTAATTATTAAATTACTTTGATACCCTATTGAGTGTTTTGGGCTTTTTTATGAAATTTTGGGTTGGGTTTGTTTTAAGAAATCAATGGCAATTTTGTAATTTAAAAGAAGTTAAAAGCATTTTTGTTATGTTATAAATGGGCTTTGGGTGTATTTATAAATTCCATTTCATATAGGGTTTTTTTATAATTTGGGCTCCTATATTTGGTATATTAGTGAATCTCTCTTAGAAATAAGCCTTTTTAAAGCTACTTTTTAAAGCAATGTTCTTCCAAAAAAAAATTTAATTTTTTAAAATGACACGACATCCACCTTCACATCCAACTCTACCACCTCCACCACCACTGCCACCTCTGCCACCACCACCCCCACATCCTCCTCTACCACCACCACCACCACCTCCTCCTCCTCCACCTCTACAACCGCCATCCACCACTACCACAACCACCACCTCCACATCCGTCATCCCCACCCAGAACCACCACCTCCACCACCGCCTCTTTCACCACCATCTTCACCTCCATCTCTTTCACTACCTCCATTACCACCACATAATTAGCGCATAACACTTTCAATATCATGTTTATTTGAGTCATTATTCACAGTTACATTAATTTTGTACTAACAACACTTTAAAATAATTATTTACCAAACATGGAGTTGCCTTACTTTACAACTAATTATTTTCAAAGCACAGCATAAGCAAATTTTTTTTAAAAGTGATAGCAATTCCAAACTGACCCTAAAGAGGGGAAAAAAAAAAAAAAAAAAAAAGTTGAAATTGCTCTTAAAATATGCAAATTCCAAAAGTTTAGTTTAAGTTTTTACACCAAAAAATATAGTATTGAATTTAATCGAGTTTAATTTCCATTTAGAAATCCCCTAAATTAGGAATGGCATAAAATTCTCATCAGGGAAATATTTTTATCAAGATAGGAGTGGGGTTCGGGATGGTAATGGGCCGGGTTCGGGCCAGATATGGCAATACCATCCCCATCCTCGACCTCGTCCCCACCACTATCCCCGGTTTTAAAAAAAAAAATTAGAGGAACCCCTTCGGGGACTACCTCCCAAACCCATCATGAATCCCCATTTTATATTTAAAAAAAATATTTATTCTATACTATAACACTTAAATTTCATCTTAAATTATCATTCAACTCAATTACATTCTATTGAATTATAAATTCAACTCAACAACTCAAATAATCTCAATTCAATTTGAAAAAATTAAATACATATTATATTATATTATATTATATATTAATTGAAAATAAATATATTACTTATTGGGTCAAGCATAGGAATGGGGCTAACAATACAATCTTCGTCCCGTCCCCGACCTAGGATTTTTAGAACTCGGGGATCCCCATACTCGCCCCCGGTTTTCTCATGAAATTTCCCCCCATTAGGATCGGGGAGCCAATGGAGACTTAGCCCAATAGAGATTTATGTCATCCCTAGGTAGGGAGGGGATGAGGAGCGAGAACGGGGATGGTATTGTCATATCTAGCCCTGAACCGGCATGTTGTCATCCCTACGCTAAATCGTTATGGTGCCTAATGTAGACTCTTTTTGTCTCTTTCTCACTCTCTCTCTCTCTTCTCCATATCTCTCTCGCTCTCTGTTCTTTGTACTTTTTCTTTATTCTTTCCTTAGTGAAAAGAAGATCTTGTCCTCTAAGTCAAAGGAGGAAAGCAACTTGTTGTCATAGGAGCTCCCACGGCCTTATAGATCTTGTTGAATTGACATCAATTTGTTTAGTGAACAAACCATAGTCAATTGATAGTCTTAATAATTCAGCGTCATTCTGCCAATCTCCTCCACCAAAGGTGTTTATTCAACTTTTGGCCTTGGCTCGTCTGTCTAGCTTGGTTTGGTTATCAATAGGGGTGGGCCCGGTATGGATTGGATCAATTTCACCTCAAAATTATGATTGAACCAATTATAATACAACGGTTTAGTTCGATTCAATTTTGACAAAAATAAGATAGAAAACTGAACCAAACCAAACCAATTAAAAACGGTTTAATTCGGTTTGGTTCATCTAGTTTGGGTCTAAGCCCAATTCTATTTCCTTTTGTATTTTTTCAACATTGTTAACGCAATTATAACCAAACAATTCACAACTTGCTCTATCTTTTTTTCATTTTCTAGAATATCAAACCATCCTAAAAATCAACATGCCATAAAACTTTAAATTTCGATAACTAATATAGCTAGAATTTAAATATGTATATATAGTTATTAACTAATTAGAGTACTACACATGTAAAATAAAATATAAATAAATAATAAGGTTGATTACATTTTTGGTCACTAGGTTTGACTCGAAATCAAATTTGGTTACTGTACTTGCAGTCATTAACAAATCAAATCCAATGTCTTAAATATGTCAATTTGAAGGCACATGCTAGGTTCATCCAGGGGCTTTATTGTCAACAAAATAATACCTCAGAAAAAAATAAAAAAATAAAAGAAAAAAGAAAGAAGAATTATCTATTTGAAACTCCACACTTTTTTTTGTTCACCATTATATTTAAATTATTAAGTTCTTAAGTTTTATTATTTTGTAAAAAGACAAAAAGGTCATCCAACTTAATACTTAACCTTAGTACATCTATACACACCCCACACCCCACCACTTTTCATGTTTGATGATGGTAACTTACATATCAATTTAATTGTCAACATTTCTCTATCAAAACCCCCTAGTTCATTTTCAAATTTTTTTTTCCAAAAATAAATAAATAAAATAATGTGGTTACACATTTGATAACAATGTTTTATCTTTTTAAGTAATGTGAGATTGAGATCAACTTAGAGTTCTGAGAGGCAAGATAGTTGATGAGTTTTATTTATTTTATTTTTTTTGGTTGAGTGTGTACTTAGGTGTAGTTTGGGAAAATAATGGGGGTTTTTTTTTAAGAGATTGTGAAAATTTAAATTAGAAGTTGGGGTGAATAATATGGGATGAACAAAAAAGAATGCAGAATTTAAATAAAAAAACTCAAACAGAAAACACAAAATTTAAAATTTAAAAAAATAGAGAAAGGGCATCCAAAGAAAATAAGCCAGCAATCACCCCCCACAGAGCCGCCCAATCCACCTGTACCCTCCAACTCCTCCTCTCCTCACTCTCTCTCTCTCTCTCTCTCTCTCTCTCTCTCTCCATTATTCCAATTATATTAAACAAAACATGTAAAGCTGATTCAAAACCTTCAACAAGATCAGAGTTTTCATCAAGATCTACCCCAAATCCACCTCAACCCTATCCATTTTAATCAAACCCACGCCAATAAACAAACCCATAAGAAGGATGGCGTCTATTTGGCCCATATATCACCTCATTGAGAGTGTACCAAGAACCATTGCCCATGGACGACACGACCACTTAGACTGTCTGCTAAAGTCCCTCCTCCCAATCTTCATCAAGATTAGCGACGTCAAGGCCCTTTCCTCCTCCAATTTTACCATTTGAGAGAGAGATAAAGCTGGAGGTCAGGAGGGGAGGAGGGTAGTCGTCGTGGTTTTTGGGGGTGGGTATCCGGTGGGGTGGTCTAGTAATGGTTCGGGCTCCTTGTTTGAATTTTTTTTCTTTCTGTTTTCTGGTTTTTATTTATTATTTATTTATAAGTATTATTGTGTTGACAATAAATCCCTGAATGAACTTAGCACTGAACAGACAGATTTAAGAAATTGGACTTGATTTGTTAATTACTACACGAATGGTGACGAAATCAGGAAAATTAGAATCACAGTGATCAAATTTGATTTTGAGTCAAACCCCAGTAAATAAAAATGTAATTATTAAACCTGAAAAATACACACGTAGAAGGTCCGTTTTGATTTAGGGCGATTTATAAAAGTTCAAAATTAAACCATATACAGTTCGATTCGATTTTTAAACCGTTTGACTTTTTCTTAGTTAAAACCAAACTAAACTGGTAATTATGGTTTGAATCAATTGGTTTCATCGATTCAGCAGGATTAATGCCCACCCCGAGTTACCCACCCTACCTAATAAAACAAACTATGCGACCATAAATTATCATACCTTTAATTGCATTAACAGAATGTGTAAACCTTGCTATGTTCGAACCTCCTAGGTCATGTGATGCCAAGTTAAGTTTGGCATGCCCATAATTAGGCTTTACAAGCCCATGTCAGCCTTGAAAATACCACTAAACCTCGAGTCTAACTTAATGGTGTGTTTAGACGAGGAAATTTAAAAGTACTAAAAAATTTATAAAATATTTAAAATTATGTAAATGATATTTTAGAATTTGTAAAGTTCCTTGTTTGTCTAATGGATTTAAACATGGAATTTAATATTTTAAAACTTCTACTCTATTGGAATGTTAGAAATGACAACTGTTTAGATAGAATTTAAAGTTTCATGACCTCCAAAGTCCATGTTTGTTTTCAACATAGAATTTCTAAATTTCTATGTTTTTTTTTATCCAAACAAAGGAATTGGTGTATGTCAATAATTTTTTTGATTTATGTTCAAATCCCAAGTTTATTTACCCCATCCATTAGTCCACAAGGTATCAGAAAAGGCACAGACAGGTTAAAAACTTTCACAATCCTTTCGAATTGTGGTCTCCAAGTCTTATCTAACTTGGAGTTGATTCAAACAACATGCCAACACTATATAGGAAGATATCTAGCCCTAAATTCTCTAATAAAGGAGTCTTACAAGGACCTGTGCACTGCCCCTATATAAACCTTGCCATTCACAAACTAAGGTATGCCATATCTGTATATAAAAAGAATTCAAATGAGGAATGTTAAAGTATAGGGCAAGTTGTGAGGTTACTTTTAAATTGCCAAAAAAAATAAATTATAAAAAAATTCAATTCTTTGAAAAAATATCAAACTTAGTTTAAGTTTTCATTGGAAGTGTGGAAGTTGGGCTAGGAGGGAGCGAAATGATAAATTAGAGTATTTGCAATGGTTAGAATCAATGCAATTGTAATACATAAAATTGAATTAGAACAATAAAAATCTCACTTGCAATGGTATGATTTAGTTCCTTGTAATAGAAGGTGCTATTTGATGAACTAGCATCGAAGAGAGTCGTCATCAACGATAAAGTGGGACTTTGGACTTGCTGAACGAGCTCTTGCCACGGGAGAGAAAAGCGGGGCTGACTCAATGTTGAATAGAGGAATCCATTCAAGGGTTGGAACATTCTAATGCCAGAAAAGGGAATATGAGAAAACAACAGGATCCATTGGTTAAGATCTGGCTTCCTTCTACAATTGCAGTAGGATATTGTGGGACTCACATTCCAACAAAAAATATAAAGAAAAAAAAACAATTTCTTTGAAAAAAAATAGAAATTGAGTTTGATAAGTGTGAGGGTGGGATGAGAGGGAGTAAATAAATTTGGTCATATATTCCTTTTTAGTAATTTCCTTTTAGTTTTTGGTAATTTCAAATTGGGAATAGTGAAACTTATTCGACCAAAGCATGTAAATTACGTGGCAAGACTGAAAACACATGAAAAAGAGTATTTGTCAGGTGATATGATATATTGGTCCTACACATCACGACGTGGCTTCTAGATCTCTCTTGCGTGACTGTAATCGACAAACAATTCGTAGGTAGAGGAAAATGTTTCAATAATTATTGATATTTTTAAATGAGTATTGTTAAACACACTATTAGATTTTTCATCCGCCCTAATTCATTTATTTACACGAGTGCATAAAGTTACCTTTTTTTTATATATACAAGCGAGTAGGGGTGGCATTTTAAACTGAAAAACCGAAAAAATCGCAAAAACCAACCGACAATTTACCTCAATGAAATCGCAATCGCGATAAACCGAACCGCATTTGCGGTTGCGGTTGCGGTATTTGATTTTCAAAACTTGCGGTTACCGCAAACCGCAAAGTATAGCCGCACGGATGATAAGGTTGAATTATACAAGGAAATAGAACATATGACAACTTGTAAGTAATTAGTTTATTTATGCTAATGTTATTTATGCTTCTTCTTATAATAAAATGTACTAAACTATGTTATTTTATTTGTAGATAACATTGGTGCTCAAACAACACAACGAGGTTCTTCAAATCCACTCACCACCAACACTTTAGTTTGTAACATTGGTGCATTGCATTTTCCTTTTAGTTTGTAAGTTTAATTAACTTTGAATTGAATTTTTCTTTTTGGTTGTAACTTTAATTCATTTTGCTTTGCATTTTCCTTTTGGTTTGTAACTTTAAATAATTTGGAATTGGAATGCTTGAGAAGTTTAACTTTAATTGGAACACTTGGAATTGTAACTTTAATTTTCTTAGGTTGTGAATGCTTGAGAAGTTGAGGAGATTGTGAATTTATATATGTTTGAGAAATTGAGGTTGTGTATTTATTTATTTAGGTTATGAATTTATATTTTTGTGAATGCTTAAGAACTTGCGGTTTTAAACTGCTAATTCGCGGTAACCGACCGCATTTTGCGGTTTACCGCAATGCGGTAAATCGCAAAACGCGGTCGGTTTGCGGTTTCAAAAATCACCAAACCGCAAATAGTGGGTCGGTTTGTGGTTTGAGTAAAAATTCGCGGTTACCGAACCGCAACCACCCCTATAAGCGAGCATAGTCTAAACTATAAAAGGGAGGGGGGGTTTCTCACACTCACACACACACACACACACACACACACACACTACCAAGGTGTGAGAGTTCGAACTTGAGAGTACTGGTCTGCAAGTTAAGACATTTTTCTACTAGGCTAAACCCCTTTTGAATTGTTAAATACACTTTGAAACTATTCCTAGGCACCAATTCATTTATTTACACAAGTGCATGAAGTTACTTTGAAAAACAAATAAAATTTTCTTTAAAAAAAAAAAAAAAAAAAAAAAAAAAAAAAAAAAAAAAAAAAGGTTGCAAGGTGTGGAGGAGAGTGGGGAGCTAGGAGGGATTGAAACAAAAAATAGCAGACTCTTAACTGTGTTTTTTTTTATAACAATGAAGTCTTCATATTTAAAGTTTTTGAATCATTAATAACTCAAATACCATTATTATTTTTTCTCTAAGAATAACTTTTCCTACATTCTAAATTTTCTGAAATTCAGAATTTGGGAATGGTGAAACTTGTTCGACTTCGGCATGTAAATTATGTGGCAAGGTAAAACTTATTCGGCCTCAACATGTAAATTATGTGGCAAAACTGAAAGCACATTTGTTAGGTGATATGATATTATGAGCCTAGATATCGTGATGTGGCTTGTTCATTATTTACATGGCTATGAAATCAATAGCCTCGTTATAGTTGACAAAAAGAAAGGGTAATTAATGAAAATTCTTCAACAAATATGAATATTTTCAAATGAGAAATGATAAACATATATATATTTAAATATATATATATATATATATACAGTACCCTTTTATTGAGGAATTTCTCAAATAATTTTATTTGAGTGATACTCTTTTGGACACCCTACGAATTTTTTTTTTTCCAACGATCCAAACAATGTATTTTTTAAGTCTGCATTCATAGATCATCCTTACAAAAAATTACACAAATCGGAAACCGATTCGACATCCAATTGTATCCTACAAAATCAATGAACACAGTGTTTCAAGAAAGTGCTAAACTTTTTGTTTGACCCTGGTTGAAGTCCAACCATGCGTCTTGGAAAACCAATAGGCCAAAATGCAAATTGGCGGCTCAAGGTGCCTAATGGCCAAATCGAAACAAGAAGGCCAGACTTGGGGGTCATCCTGCACCCTATCTCGTTTAATCTTCAGTAAAGTTGATAGCTTAAGATACACGATATTCCATTATAATTCAGACTAAGATCTTAGAAGTCGAAACCCAACTTCCAACAATGGGTTGAAAACATCTGACTTCCAAAGTTGAAACATCTAGAACTTCTGAAGTGGATCAAGGCCAAGTCATCTGATCAACCAAGGTCAAGTCCTCTTATCAACCAAGGTCAAGTCCTCTGATTAGCCAAGGTAAAGTCTTCTGATCAGCCAAGATCAAGTCTCATGATCAGCCAAGGCCAAGTCATCTGATCAGCCAAGGCCAAGTCATCTGATCAGCCAAGGTTAAGCCCTCTGATCAGCCAAGGGCAAGTCATCTGATCAGCCAAGGTTAAGTCCTCTGATCAGCCAAGGCCAAGTCATCTAATCAATCAAGGCAAGTCCTTTGATCAGCCAAATCTCCTGATTAGCTAAGATCAAGTCTCCTGATCAGCCAAGGTCAAGTCTCCTGATCAGCTAAGATCAAGTCTCCTGATCAGCCAAGGTCAAGTCCTCTGATCAACCAAGGCCAAGTCATCTAATCAGCCAAGGTCAAGTCCTCTGATCAGCCAAGGTCAAGTCCTCTGATCAACCAAGATCTTGGCCTTCGATCAGCCAAGTCAAACCTAACTCCAAGTCCGGTCAAGAAATTCCAAGTCATGAACATCAATAAGTGTTTTAACCAAGATCAGAATTCCATAAGTTACAATGTTTCACCAGATGTCAAGTTAAAGTCTCGGAGGTCCAAGCCCAAGGCATATATTAGAACCCATGATTTTCGGAGATAACATGCATGTGATGGAGGCTTCATAAGGAAGGAAATCAAGGAGATTGACGACAATCCGGAGTAGTCCAAAAGAAGAGAGAATCAAGCAATCAAAAGGTCTCCATCATTGTGATCCCACAGATTTGAAGGCTTCACAAGGAAAGATTTTGAATGAAGTTGACCTTTGGACATTTAATAGCCAACCCATGGGTTGACGGATGCCTCTATATAAACCTCATCAGATGAAGGGAGAAGGACCCCGACATTAGACACAAAAACCTACTTTTTGTCTTTCAATTTTCTATCCCTAAACTAGGTTTTTAATTTCCAAGCAAGTAGACTAGATCAGTTCTTCACTTTCGTTAGTGTAAGTTTAATTTCTTGTATTTTCCATTTCGTTGTTTTAGGATTCAATTTTATCGCTTTATTGTTAATTGTTACCAAATTTTCTTTAAGCTTAATTTAATTTCAAACTGCTTTATTTTATTGCCTTTATCGTTTATATCGTTCTTATATCGTTCTTCGTTTAATTTAAGTTTATCTATTGCTTTGATTTACTTTATCGCACTTTAATTCTCGTCTTTAAGTTTAATCACATATTTTAATTTAATTGGCATCATTATCATTAAAAATCTCAAAAATACTAAAATACCTATACGAAACCTAACCATCCTCGACCCCGAGGAAGTGAAAGAACCCAGGCCAATAGGAGGTTCTTTGCTTGGCCGATCAATCTGCTGGTTAGAAGTGAGAAGCGTGAACACAACAATCCAACCTTTTCCATTCAAGCCAGTTAGTGGCTTGGTGGTGGCACGTCTACGCAATCTAAAAGAAGAAGGACCAAAAACTACTTCAATCGGCCTACCCAGCCGAAAAAAGGAAAACACTTTCAATAATACAATTGAGTGGTCAAAAGATATTGGATTTAAGTGATTTTTTTATAGAGATGATTTTTGAATGATTATCTGAAACATAGAGGATTTGGATTAATGAAATACAATACAGAGTGAGCCCTACAAAAGTTTCCTTCAAATAAACTCGCAGGAGTAATGAAGCTTAAAAGAAAGAAGTTACTTTTTACCAAAAGAAAACAAAGAAGTTACGTAAAATGACCATATTACCCCTCAACAAATTCCGTTTCCTTCCCACCCATTCTCTCTCTTTCCGAAACGAGCAGCAGTTCGTCGCTTTTAATAGGCAGCAGCAGCTCTCGTTCTGTCACCAGCAGAGCCAGAGAGAGTGAGAGTGACAGAGAGAGAAGACGACTCTGGTACGCATTTTCGCTCTCTAACTTCAACGCCGCGAAACCCTAGGCATTGCTTTCTCAGATTTTTCTTTTTCGGAGAATGGGCTCTCATTTCCACTCCGATTCTTAGCGGCTTTTCTCATCTCTCAAATACCGTCTTTTTCTTCCCCCTTTTCCCTTTCCTTCCGCTGTTTGGTCTCCGAGAAAGATACATTCTCTTATTTTCTCTCACTTTCTCCGTTACTTTTACCATGGCACAACCTACTGGAGCTCTGTTTTTCATGCCTCGACGCTAAAAGAGTAATCTTCCTTGTTTCCTTTACTCTGTCATTTGCTTAAAACTTTCATTTTCAACTACTACGCTTGAACTTTCTCAATCAGTCTTTTGTTGGTGAGATACTCACATACACATTTACGAGCTTTCATGATTTCTTTTATATTTCTTTTATTTATTTATTTATTTTATATAATACTGATTATATATACTATTTTCCTTTTCCGGCCGGGGTGGGGGAAAGCTGCAAACGCTGATTACTTGCTGCTATAGTTTTCTGCCCGTTTTCTTGATAGTTTGTGGGTAGCCTTTGGCGGAAGAACTGGATGACTGTTTGGTTTTATTAGCTTTTTAAGTAATAAAAAATATTAAAATATTGCAGTGGCTAAGCTTTATTGTTTGTTTTCTAATTTAACGATTGAAATGCAAGTCCCATTTGCATATATGCTCATTCTTAAGGTATTCATTAAACTTCTAGTGGTGTACTGCTGATTATGATTTCGGTTCCATTTTCATAAAATAAGTTGCTGGATAATTGGACTTGGTTGACGTGATGTTCTGAACCTAAGGTTGAGCCCTCTTTCAAGTTATAGCATTTGCTTCAAACTTCTATATCAAATGAATGAACTTAACTATCTTCGTGCTCTAATGTCCTGGTCAAAGAATCATGACTTCTTCGTATTTGCATTTCAGGATATTATATATGTATATATACCTTTGAAATTCATGGCTTGGGATCTATGGAGTTCACCATATGACTCTTGGGATCTATGGGATTCACCAGATCATCAAGGTTTCCTAACCTCTCTTGCACCATGCTGGCTAGTTTTCATATCGAAGAAATACATTGTTGTAGATCTTATCTTAGGTACATGTGGCTGTAGAGTTTGTACTAATGTTAGCTGAACTGAATGCTTGCTTATCAGTTGCACCTGGGAGCACTTACGGCGCAGAATCTGGATGGGAGTGCGACTTCTACTTTGGTTGTGGTCGTGGTATAATATGTTTCTTTCTATTTCATTGGTGTCATTCCTTGTTGTCCCTGTTTGTGCTTTAACAGCCACACTGGTCTTTCTTATCGTTATAGATCTGATAGAAGAAGATGCAATAAATGAGAAATGTTGCATACAAGTGTTGAAGATATTAATAACAAAGGCAGATACTGAAATTGATGAACTTGAAAAGGATTTGGTGGCTCTTCAAAGTGAACTAGCCTGGGCTGAACATGAAGAATGGTCTGAAATATGTGGTTGTGCTTTGAGAGAAAAGATTGCTTGGCTTGACATTTCTACAAGGAATTTGAGAAGTAAAGATGAGAATAATAATGACGTCCAGTTACTAATGCATAGAGAACCTGCAGACAATATACACGGCATACTGAAGGCTCTTCTGAGAAAGTACTTCCCGGAGAAAGATGAGCAGGTGACTTTTAAAATTTAGTCTTTGCTTTTAATGTTCAAAAAAATAAAAGGAAACTGAACTTTATTAATAAAAGCAATTGTACAATACCGAGGACAAGACTCAAAACCATCCAAGACAAAAATAAAAAATACATTAAGAAACAACAGCATTCCAGTTTGATAAAATAACAGAAAACAAACTCTTAACTCCGAAGATACCAATGCCCAAATAGAAGCCCAGAAACACAACCTCTCCCACAAATAATCAATCTCCTCACCCCTTGCATCCTCAAATACCGATCTATTTCTTTTTATTCACACCACCCAAATAATAGCCAACATAGCACATCTTCCCAAGATCACATCCCACTTCCTACCTCCAAAATACTTGTGCTTCTTCCAAAACAATGCCACACATGTTGCTGGAATCACCCAGCTCAAATTAGCCCCCCTACTTAACCTTAACCAAAGAGTAAATGCTACTCGGCAGTGCAAAAACAGATGATCGACGTCTCATCATCTTTCTTGCACATCAGACACCAATGAGGAGAGAGACAGAGATAAGGCCTTCCCCTTTGAACTATATAACAGGCATTAGCTTTTCAATGAGCAATAATCCAAGCTAACCCTTTATCTTTGGAGGTATTTTGGTGTTCCATATTGTAGAAGAGGGAAGGAAATGAGAAAGAAAAGGATTATGCACAAGCATAACACTCTCCAACCAAGATACTAGAGATATGAATTCCCCAACTTCCTGATATTGAAATTTCTACTAAAACAGAACAGCCAACATCCCTCCAATAGAAGAATTATGATGTTGTGATATTCCATACAAGCTAGCTAAGAATGGCACAAAGCTGTTTCCCCCACCCATATCTCTTCTCAAAATTTCACCCTTTCCTCATTACCCACCACAAGTTGACAGCAAGAGGAAAAAGAATTGGAGACTTGAGAAGTATCTTTCCATGGGCATCTGCTTGAACCATGAATCACAATGTTAGAATACCACCCCTTCTCTTGCATCCAGTACGTGCTTTTAATGACAGCATGCCATAGGGAATCTCTCTCCAAATAAAATCTCCATAATGGAGTATTCACTTTTAATGTTGATAGAAAGGTCATTGCAAACTTGCAATCCGAACTCAACATGGTTATATGAAGCCTCCTGTATAGTGTCACATGTATTCAAATTTATTCACCTTCGGATCTGCCAATCATAGGATAGTTTATTTCCTCCTACTTTATTGCTTTTCAAAGGCATGTTTGGATTAGTTGAGATTTTCCTCCTCTTTATCTGCCCAAACTTTCTTCTCCTGTTTGTTGCTTGTTGGTTCTGCATTTTTCGAGATCAAAACGTTATATGGTTACCTTTGGAATGAAGGTATTTGATGGGACCTATCTAGAGAAATGGGTCAACTGAAAAAGGTTTATTAATTTATATACACATGATTTTTGTTTGCTGTTTTTGAATCCAGTGCTTTTAATGCTCATAACAATCCTAATTTTGAAATTTGATCCTCTAACAATTTTATAATGAACTGATATAATCAATACATATTTTTCTTTCTACAAAAAGCAGACTCCAGAAGTCATTGCCTTAAACTCAAGCTCAGATTCCTCACTACATGATACTGGACTTTTGGATGGGCACAAAGACTTGAATAAATCTGACTCACATAGTGTTGTAAAGGAGGAACGTGGTGAAATTGGCATTACTAAGGGAGAAAGATGTACAAGTACGACTTTGAAGTTTCAAGAAAAGAAAACAAATGACCCCAAAACAATTAAGGTCCGACAAGCTCTATCCCTCTTATTGTTGAACTCATACCACTATATTATTCTTCAAATTTGGATGAATGTGCTTACAACTTTAGGGTATGCTACTTTGGACCATTTATTTATGTGTGCAAGTCTTCCTCTTTAAACATAAGCTGTTTGTGACTGCTTACAATGTAGCATGACTCTGCAGTAATATCTTAGGTTTGTTCAAGTTATCATAATTTCAAACTGTGTTTCTCTTTGACATGCAAAAGCTTTCCAGATGCTCTTGAAACTAATTTTATGCACGATGTTTGACAATATTACTAACAATGCAATATTAAGAGCCAGATTTTGATATAGAAAAGCTCAGGGGTGGTTAAGGATTTCTGAAGTAAATATTTTGGAGGTGAACTGGGACTCTTTCAAGTAGTCGGTGGCTATTAGTTGTGTTTATTGTAGAACACAATCAGACCTGGCTGTGGGCAAAAGGTTTGGGGGCAGGGGGAATAAATACTGCAACCTGAGGCCAGGCTTTACGTAATAATTGCTTGTCAATAGCTTGAATATATTGAAATAAGATTCATGGAGAACCTTTGCAGCCCTTCAAGTAGAATTAAAGAAAAAAAAATTAGCAGCATATTTATGCAGAGAACACCTAACAATAGAACTTGTGTCAAATAGACAGGTGTGCAAGAAGGTGAATACATGTGATTTGTTTCAGAAAAGGAGACCTAATTGTTGTCTTTCTCCTAGTTGGTGTATTATGTGTAAAATGAAAGGGGAGAGTGCAGATCATCTGTTTGTTCATTGTCCAGTAGCTCAAAGTTTGTGGTATCTATTATTCAGGGAGGCCGGAGTGAGCCATGTAATTCCAGAAGGGTTCCATTCATTGCTTAGTGAAAGACTTGCTGCTTTTGGTAGAGGAGAGAAGGCTAGGTTGTTGTGGGCTTCCGTTTTATCAGATTTCAAGGACCTTTCTCTGTCCATTATTTCGCTAGATTGGAAGGCAGCTCTAGGATAGCTTCTCTGTTGTAGTTTTGTTGCTGTATTTCTCTTTTAATCAGTGTTATCCTGTTGACTGGTGGTCTCCTTGTTCTCTTTGTTTTTGGACTCCTTGTTGTCTTTTTGTATTTTATCATTTCTTTCATAAAACCTTTTTCTTCTAAAGGTTCACACCAATTTGGGGCCATATTTCAAAACCTTCTCTTGATATTTGTATTGTCTAGATGGCTTCTGAATCGAACCATATTCCAAATATATATGAGGCCTCAGTTCAGTAAGAATTAACAGACTCTAATTTTTCAACAATATAAAAGCAAAAAACGGATTTACTGTTAGATTTTATTCCATAAACTTCTTAAACATGCAATATTCATAGACCATAATGAACGTTAAAAATTTTGTGGATGTTATCTCATGACTAGAATGTCGATAGTTAACTGAGCAATGTCTTTTAATATTTATCAACTTATTTCACATAAACAAACATGTTCCCCCTCCCCCCCAAAAAAAAAAAAAAAAAAAAAAAAAAAAAAAAAAAAAAGAGGGGGTTAGTTTAAATTTTTTTTTTAGGATCTAGGTTAGACAATTAATTATGATCGTATTGCCTTCAGTTGACACATGATCTTTAACAATGAACAGCCTGCAAATACTAATATCATGGATTCCAGCCCAGATTCTTTAAGACCTGCAGCTGACTACTATGACAAAAAGAAAACATCAAGCAAGAGTAATTCAAAAAGCAGTCAGCAATGGGAGGCCAAAGGACAAGGTCTTACTTGTGAGGAAAATAAAACATCAACCATGATGTTTAAGAATGAAAAGTCTGCAAATACTAATATCATGTATTCCAGCCCAGATTCTTTGAGACTTGCAGCTGGCTACTCTGACAAGAAGAAAATATTAGATTCAGAACATGCAAGGCAGTGGGTGGCCAAAGGACAAGGTCTTGCTCCTGTGGGAAAGAAAGCATCAACCGTGAATTTTAACAGTCAACAGCCTGCAAATATTGATATCATGAATTTGAGCTCAGAGTCTTTGAGACTTGCAGCTGGATACTGCAACAAAAAGAAAACAACATATTCAGAAAACACCATGCACTGGGAGCCCAAAGGACAAGGTCTTGCTCCAGACGAAAAGAAAATGATTCAAGATGCATCTATGTTCCATAAAGAGAAGAGAATGCAAAATTTAGAAGTTGAGGTTTGGGTCTCTCTCTCCCTCTTTCTCCCTCTCTCTCTGTCTCTCACTGTTTTCATTTCTCTCATTTTCATTATTTCAATGCAAAATTATGCCATGTGTTGCAATTTAGATTAAATAACGTGTCTATTAGTTGAACCTTCTATGCAATTGTAGACATGCCGTGCTGCAGCCATGATCTTCTTTTCTTTATAACTTTTTAAGTACATCTTACTCGCCCATCAATACGAAATCACCCTGACCTTAAGATGGCTTTTTTATATATTCAGATTTCTTTCACTTTCTATCAGATTCACATTTGAAGTGTAGAAAGTGCCTATCGAGCTGGCTAACACTGTCCCTGGTGATTGCAGTATTGAGGAAACTGTTATAGCAATTAATCTATTAGTCTCATATCAAGTTATGAACTTATTATTTATGCAATGCAGAGAAGGCTATACCCTTGCAATACTTATCTAGAACTATGGATCCATTTGGTGTTTCCATCTGGAGAGCAAGCAAAGTTCATGAATCGCATATCCACTATTATTGTTTTACGCATTTAAATTACAGGGATCGTGCATCTGCAGCATCCTAGTTGTGCAACTGAAAATCAAGTAGTGCTGTAGCTACAAAACAGCACTTGTCTCTTAGTTTCTTAACTTGTGCTGGAGATCATGTGTTTAATAATTTGCAGATTCATCATTTTTTTAATACCTTCACCTCTAATAACCTATCTTCTATATTTGTCACTCATAATTTCATAATAGGATTTATAGTCTGGACATAATTTTTTTTTTTTAATAGCATGCTACTATCAAAGATTCAAGTACAAGTATCAGCTGCCCTGATGAGAATGACATATTGAATTTTGCTTATTCGGAAAGCATTATTGAGAAGGTGGATGAATACAGTTCAATACCTATGGCAGATATTACAGGTTCACTATCGAGGCCTGGTGGATTTGGAAGAGATTTTGGTAAAACAGTTGAGGTACTTGCAGCTGCATTGTTTGTATAACGTACATCAGAAGCTAATGTGCATCCATAGTGCATAGTCAGTATGTTTGTGTGCTGTAAGAGTTTACCATTATTGAAAACACAACTTAGGTTTTCTTCTAGAGCTCAAATTAGGTCCAACTCTGACGTATTCCTTCTACTTGGGAGTATCTCTGTAATAGTAACAATTATGAATACAAATCGTTTCTTTTCCAAAAATAAAAATAAAATAAAAAATATTGATTTATGGTATGAACATAATTTATTTGTGTTTACAATGAACAGCATATTGCTATGAAAAATTCAAGTACAAGTGTCATCTGCCCTGATGTGAAGATCAAATTGAAAATTTCTGATTCAGTAATTATGAATGAGATGGTTGAAGAACATGCTTCAATGCCTGTGGCAGATAATATAGGTCCATCATTGAGGCCTGATGGACCTGTAACAGATGTTAAACTGGTTGAGGTACTCGCAGCTCTCTTGTTTGTATAATAGAGATGAGCACCTAATGTGTATCCGTACTACATAGTCAATATGATCATTTGCTGTAAGAGTTTAAAACTACTACAGTACCTCTCTCTTCTCTGTTATAGATAAATTACATCTTTCTAACAATTATGTTACTTCTACATCTCTGCAATGGTAACAACTATGTTACTCATAGTATGACTTATGGTCCGGCCATAATTTGTTTTATTTTACAATGAACAGCATGTTACTAAAGAAACTTCAAGTACAAGTGTCAGCTGTCCTGATGAAAACAAATTGAAAAACTCTAATTCAAAAATCATGAGTGCGAAGGTGGGAGAACACACTTCAATACCTATGGTAAATATTGTAGGTTCAAGGCCTGATAAACGTGGAACAGATGTTGATAGAACAGTTGAGGTACTTGCAGCTCTCTTTTGTTTGTATAATTCACATCTGCACTTGATGTGTATCCAATTATCCATACAACATAGTCAATATGATCATGTACTGTAAGAGTTTACAACTACTGCACCTTATGTCTTATGTTTCACATAGTGCACTTCAACTGAAGGAATAAAAAGGTCCTAGTCTGACTTATTCCTTGTACGGAATATTTTTGCATAGATCTTAACATTTTGTTTCTCTTTTGCTCTTTCATTTCAATTGAACAGCCGGCAGATGGTGTTGTGAAATATTTCAGCTTAGATTCTCTTAAATACGCAAGGGGCTGGTCGAATGAGATGAAAAATTCATGCATGCCTCGATTGATTGAAAAAGGATATGAGGAAGGAGGGAAAGCAACCCATCAAAAAATAGAAAAGGTAAGAGAAGTTCTCTCTTTTCTGTAATAGATATACAATTACTTCTTCTCTATAGAAATTATCTTACTTTCTTATGGTCAGTTACCACTATCTTACTTAAGAATTTAAAACCTAGGGAAACCATCCTTGTTTATAAACCTGTAGTTGCAGTACCAGGCTGACTGCACTGAAAGGGATCACAATTCTTAGCTCATACCCCTTCTCTGGTCATTAACTTGTAATAAGACATGTTTCTCTTTCTTTTAGAAGCCTGCAAATGCTCTTGTTAAGTATATGAGTCCAAATTCTTGGAGACAATCTGCTGGCATCAACAAGAGGACTGAATGTTCTGAATCCAGATTATGTGCTTCAAGACAGGGAAAAAATGAAAAATCTGACGTAGAGCAGAAGCTAATTGACTTTGTTCCTAAAACTGCACGGAAAGTGGGCATCAAAGAATCCAAGGTTATTCTTGCTAACAAGACGGTATGTTCTAATACATGTTTAAAGGCTGCTGGGGAAGTCAGTAATAATCTACAAATAGTCAAGTTTCAAGAAGGTGGTCTCATTGACCTTGGACATTTTGCTTTGCCTTCAAAAGATCAGATGGGTAAAGATACAACCAAGCCTAAGTTAAATGATGTAGGAGAACCAGCAGAAGAATCTCAAAAGGCTAATGCTGACCTTCACAAGAAACCCCGTGTGAACTTGGGTTTGGAACCACAAAAGCCAAAGACACAGAGGAAATCACCATTCAGTATGAAGAATGCCCAAGAACCAAGTTTTCCTCCTACAGATACATCGTTCATTCCAAATTCCAAAAAGGAAAGAAAATCAATAATTGATGATGACAACACCAGTTTAAAGCAGTTTTTAAGTTTGATGCACTTGAAAAAATCAGTTCACACCACCAAAGTTTCAGCTTCACAGTCACAAAAGAAGAGGAAAAGGACTTCAACTTTACCACTTACTGCAGAGGTTAAAGATTTGCCTGTAGATTTGGGTTTGCAAGATTCACACAAGGATGCAACAGATGGTGGGATTAAGAAAGATCTTCAGATTGTAGTCTATGAAAAAACGGAAGATCTTCATATCATAGAACCCTACTCTGTTGAAGATGGTTCTTACGCTGGGGCTTTGGTTCCTCACACAATTTCAAGCTTGAAGAACAAGAAAATAGTTGAACTGAGGAAGTTGGCACAGAAAATCAAGCTGACAAGGTATTATAAGTTACGAAAAGAGGCTCTGGTTGAAAAAATAGCCGAAAAACTCGGCTGTTGTTGATTCCATTTTGTCCATGTTTGTGGCTATGTTCCTTGCACATGTTTGATGAGTTATGAATGGATCCACTGTGGTGTAAATAGTATCATAACATACTTCTTTGTCCGTAACCCCCTACACCTTGTAGTACAGGAAAGAAAGTGCGGCCATCCCCTTTATAGGTTTTGAGTTACGGGTTTGCATGAAATCGTAGTTCATATATTGCACAAAGAAAACATAGAACTTTGGGACAATGGAGCTGTTCAACTGGAATAGTACGTCAGATTTGCTCTAGGTTTTTGTATACAAACTTTTGCTTTCGCATCTGAATACAAGAATTGATGAAACAACTGTCTGCTTCTTAGTGAAGGGATTATATTTAGTTTCTTTTCAAAGATTTGAGTAAATTATGAGGTGAAAAACACACGACAGTGCAGTTTTTATATGTGCAGTCGTATCCAATGAAGTTCGTTTGACATTTGTTCATTTGAGTCTTTATTTCACCATTTAATTTTGTGGGAAGGGATCCTTTGATGTTGGTTTGAGGAGTAAGTAGTAGATTTGCATAGGTGACATCTTTAACTTCTGTTATTTGACATATGCTACCATCGGTGTACTTTTGATTGGGATCAGTGTACTTTTGATCGGGAGCCAAACTCCAGGAAAATAATTGTGTAATGGTAACACAACATGGCATATCCACATGGCGTTACAAATTTACTTAAATTCTAATTTTCGGGGTAAACCAATTGCCAAATCAGCGGGAGCCATTCAATCTACTAATCAATGTGCTAGACCTCAGATCGCTCATCACTAACTTGCTTACTAGCATATCCACCACCATGCAAGCTTTTGGGCAAAATCAGTAAATCAAGAAACTGAAAAGTTCCTCTCAAAAAACATAAAAAAACACTATGTTAACTGATTTCAAGAACATTAGCCTTCCGTCAGCAAGGATTGATTAATAAGAATTTTAAGGCTGGCTGATGTGGATATAATAATATGAAATCAGCTGACTAAATAGAATTTGACCTTCACCATGCATCCATTCAACGGCAATATCACGAAATAGAATTTGGTAATATCACAAATATACAGGGACTGACTAAATTTTAGTTAAGCATATTTGACATCTTTTCGTTTCATCACAACACCCTCCAGAATTCCGTCTGTCCCAAAATTACCAGAAAACTCCTGAGGATCAACTGGACCAGGCAGCTGAAATGAGATAGAAAAATGCCCTGACGGACACAGATTCTGTGTTCGCATTTCAAACATCTGAGAGTATCTGTAGACTGTCTTCTCACCTGTTATTGTCACTCCTCTTATCAACACTCGGCCCTCATTTTCAACTTCACAGCTGAAGTCCCCTGTAGTGAAAAATGAAATCATCACTCTGCATCCGTTTAGTTAATGAAGTATACGAGTGGTAGTGCTAGCATCGAAGAGGCCATACAAGTGGCTGTGGACAGACATATGTGAGAGATCAGCCTCCGCCACTTAGCCGTGGTTTATTGAAAGTGCAATATGTGTCTTGAATAATTGGTTAACCATTTTTTATATTGAATATGTGCCTGGAAATCTATTTATTATGCGTTTCATTTCAGTAACTGATTCAATTTTTTAAGTTGATAGAGCAACTTACTTTCATCTCTTCGCACTCCAGGAAGAGATACACGAAACAAGTATGAATCCTCACATTCTCCAATGTCAATCAGCCCTATTGTTGGTCCCACCTGCCTCTTTGCTGCACTCCCAGTTAAAGCAAATCCATCTCTGGTGGCAGCTACAATATTGGACCACTCTCTTTTAGTTGGAAGAGAAGGAAGAAAAATCATAGCAGGATCGACCTTCTCCACAGGATCAGAGTCATCTTTAGTAGATAAAGGGGCCATAAAACTACACAGCATAGGCGTACCGTTATATGGCACACTACTGATAGGTGCCACGACATGCACATGTTTCAGAGGATCATTCGATTCCACGAGATTATCTAAATGTTTTGTTCCCCTAGAACTTTGACAAGAACTAGTGGGAGGTGACTCTCCATTGGAATCCGGCTCCTGCACCGACACATTATATGAAACACTTCCATCAGGATAAGTATGCAGCCTTGCAGCATCTCTATCCAGAAGAAACTCCTCCAGCCCAGTTAGCCTCTTAAATCTTTCAATATCCTCTGTCTTAATGTAATGCGTTTCTGGGTTATTAATAAATACGATGTTCTCAAAGATGTATCTGCTACTGAACTGTGAATGGGGATGGAGTAGGAGAGGAAATATATCAGGAAACTGAGGGTAGTTGGCTGTGGTGTCTTCTCGATGGCTAAGGAGGTTACCATGGAAGAACTGGTATAACACAGGTAATTTAACAATGGCAGATTTATCAGCCTTCCGAAGAACATAATAGTACACCTGCTCTACCTCTGCAGTTTTCAGGTGGGATCCACCTAGTTGCTTAAAAGTATATGGTGGAAGTCGCTCGGCTATTCTCTGCAGAACTGACTTTGGCGGGCTCTCTCCTTTAAGACCAGGCCCAAAGTAGGTACCCATAATGAAGTACAAGAGGAAGCGCTGATCATCATTTGCCATCCTCCTTTTGACATTGTTAGAATCTAAACCTGTGACAGAATTAGATTGTGTATCCTGAGATGAGCCATCCATCACTGCTGCCATTTAAATTTAGAATCTGCAAGAAGTTTAGATACAATAGGATATTATAAGCACGCAATTACTCTGACACTGAAAAACAACTTTTGATTATATTCATGTTTCAGATCAACTCATCTTTTCACTTATGTGGTTTAATTCTCCTCTAAAAACTTACCTCGCAACCCAACCCATTCACACATAAGAATGCTGTATGAGACATTTGAAAAGTTATTACTAGAAATCAAATCACTTTCTCTCAACTCACCATAAGCATACTCTACTAAATGCAGTCCTTCTTGAAGATTCTCTCTATCTCTCTCTCACACACAAAGCAGGTGAAGCACAAGAAAAGACAATGTAGTTCACGAAGAAAACCATGAATAACTGAATTCTCATATGGATTGTCTTTCTAACAACTAATATTGCAAAGCAAAATAATCTGACTGATAACCTAAAGAAAGGAAATGACTGTGGACTCCAGATTCAAATTCCTTTTGTTGCAGTGGCTTTCGAAAAGCATCAGTGAGAAAACTAGTAGTGAAATGCTATATCTAATATATCTCATTCAACATTTTTTCTTAAAGTCACTGTAGTTTTGAATTTTAAAAGCATCTCTAAATGCTTGTCAAAAACACCCTACAAACAGAAGTAGCAGCTGCTCACTAAAATGCACCATGCCTCCTGGAAGAGCAAAAGCACTACCCAGAAAAGCTTCATCTGGTGCAGCCTAAAACCATCAATGAAAACAAATGCAGCTCAGGCTATCAGCTGTGTTAAGAAGTTCAATGACCTTTAACAAAACTTGCGTGTGGAGACAACCGCATGCAAAGCCCAAAGAAGCATTTTCAGGCTAATCCTGTGCATATGAGTGTAGCAAGATATAAAGAGTTAAGCATATCCGATTTAGCAAACACTGTCACTGAAAGAGATTCTCATACCCATTTAATCAAACAGTTAGTAGGCGAGGTTTAATATGAAAAACCATCATCATAATAACTTCACCAACATCATAGACATCCCTTCTTACCAAACGGCAACAAAAGCAACTTGATTTAACCAAGTAAATAAATTATACAAACAAAAACGAGGAAATATTAAACTGAATTGCTCCGCAGCCACTTCCAAAGCATGGAAATTAATTAATGAGAGGGAAAAAAACATCAACCATACCCATTTACTGTAATGCAGAAACAAAAACATTGGAGAGAAGTAGAAGCAGTTCCAACGAATTCCCACAAAAAAAGAAAAAAGAAAAAAAGAAACACAAATTTGCTCAAAAGTTAAACCCAAAAGAGAAAGAGTAAATTAATGGTGAGAAAGAGGAAATGAAGGATGGTCACCTGAGCCGCCTGGAAGAAAAGAACGGAGGAGGCAGATGATCGTCGGAGAGGAATAAGAATGGTTTTCGGGCCGGGTTTTTGCTTCACGGGAAGGATGGACAGTGGCTGTAAATAATTTAAAAGTGAAGGGTAACTTTGGAATATTCTTTGAATAAGGTATCAGAGCATCCACAATGGGCTCCCTACACCACCTACAAATTTTAAGGAGGAATTAGAAAAATACAACTTCAACCATGCTCCTTATTCACCTCCTAAAATAAGGAGACCTGTAAAAACTCCTAAAAGATAATCGTCAGAGAGGAATAAGAATGGTTTTAGGGCCGGCTTTTTGCTTCACGAGATGGATGGACAGTGGCTGTAAATAATTTAAAAGTGAAGGGTAACTTTGGAATATTCTTTGAATAAGGTATGAGAACATCCACAATGGATTCATTAAACCACTTCTTTAAACAAATTTTAAGGAGGAATTTGAAAAATACAACTCTAATCATGCTCCCTATTCATCTCCTTAAATCACTTCAAAACAAGTATATTTTTTTCAGAACAAGTATATATATTTGATTTTATTGTGTTGGGCCTCAGTACATTTGCCTTCATTCATTTTGGTTGCCATTAATCTTCTTTTATATAACAATCCTTTATATATTTTTGTTGGACTTAATATCGTTTTATTGTTCTCAATTACGAGTTATTTTTATTTTTTATGCAGCTTTAGGGCCAGTTTGGCATTGCTGTGCTGTGAAAATAATCGCTGTCAAATTTGCTGTCAGAGAAATCAACTGTGAGAGAAAACAGTTTGGCGTTAGTAAAATTTTTGTTAAAAGTGTTGTTGGTATTGATTTTATGCATAATCAGAAAATGATTGCCACATAATTATTAAACCCAGCACCTCTTCGAAACTAATTCCTACATAATCAGAAAATGAAAGCATCTCATTAGTTGCTTTCCCTTATAGCTTTATCTCACAACAATTTTTAACAATAAGTGATTTTCTCACAGTTTACCAAACAGGTTGGGCTTCTCAAAATTTTTAAAAAAACACTTATCTCCCTAAATAAGCAATACCAAACAGACACTTAGTTTCAGAACTTCAATGTAAATTTCATTTCATGACGTTTAGAGCTTTTATTTTTGGCAGTAAAGTTGTTGATATTGTTAGGTGATTATTGCCTTTAATTACAGCTAGCATAGGTGATTAGTTGGCTGATACACCAATGTACTGAACATTTATGCAATTTAATTACATATTTGCTTTAATGTCTTGGATTCATGCAACGCCTGTATATCCCAATTGTTAAATCCTTCGTATTATTCACTTGAGTTAATCTCCATACATACATATATATATATATATATATATATATTGAGTGAACTAATGTTTTCTAATTGTGAAGCCTTGACAAATGTCACATTGAGTTAATTGTCATGAAGTGTACGTTGTGAAATCTTCATGAGAAAACTGAAATGAAATAATAAAAGATGATTTTATTGGCACCCCATTATTCGCTCTTTGCACCCCATATTAATTTTAAATATAAATAACATATTTTATCCTTGTACATAATTACCGTTAAGGACAAAAAAAATTTAAAATAAAAATTAAATTTGCTCACTACACCCCACATATGTTTCTGTAACCTTAGTTAGACTTTTTTTTCTCAAACCATTATGTTCCTACAACCCTAACGAGGTTTATATAGTTATATTGGTGAAACAATAACTTGTATTTATTCATGAAGGGTGAGACTGAAGTTAGAGAGGCTTCGAAATGAGGTATGAGTTTATTTTTTTGGCATTTTTCAAGTTTAGGATTTCATGATGGCCACTAGTTGCGTTCAACACACCAGTAGCAAACGCGATAGGTAAATTTAGTGGGATACCACCGAAACATTGCACTTATTTCGGTTGTGTTTGACCGGCCGTTAACTTAAGATGCGGTGGAGATCCACCGTAACATGGAAAGGTGTTCGGTGGTGTATTACTGAATTTTTACATACAATTCAATGGCAATGAATAGAAATATATTTATTTTTTCAGTAACTTATTGTCGACCACAAATTTAATGCAAGCTATTTTGACCTTACTCTCATTGAAGGAACAAAAACAAGGTAACACCCCTAAAATAGATGACATATCATCCAATGTGATGGTCATCTCACCAAAAGGCATGTGAAAGATTTTCGTTTCTGGATGCCACCTCTCAACAAAGGTAGATACAACAATCTTATCTGCATTACGATAAGAACACCTAATAAGTTGCTCTAATCCAGACCTCTGAATGTACCCTTTGAATATACCATTATTTGGATTAGCCCACTAATTCCACTCACGCAGGGTAGATGTCTTCGACATGCACCTAAGGGGCTCACGTTCCTAGTCAAATACAAAAAAAAATATTTAGGTTAACTACCATGAACGAGGCTTATATTATGCCTTCTATTTGTTTCCCTCTTTTCGGCCGGGGCGGCTGACGTAAGTAACTTTTCGTCCTTCTTCTTTTGAGTGCAGGGCGTGCCACAGGCAAGCCCCGAATTTGGGCTTGAATGGAATGTGAGTAGATGGATGTGTTATGGTCCTAACTTCTAACCAAACGATTGATCGGCCAAGCAAGGAACCTCCTCTTGGCCTAGATTCTTTCACTTCCTCGGGCTTGAGGATGGTTATGTTTCGTACGGATGTTTCTTGAGATTTTTAGGATTTTATGTTAAAATAATGCAATTAAACTAAATATGCGTATAAACGTAAAGACAATAATTGAAGTGCGATAAATAAAGCAAGAACGAGACAAAAGCGATAAGAACGATATAATGAAATAAACATGAAATTAAACTCAATTGAAGTGCGATAACAATGAAAATTAAAGTAATAGAAACAAACTTGAATTTAAATGACAAGAAAAATATAAACTTACACTAGAAATATGAAGAACTCACTATACTAGGTGCTTGAAAAATAAAATTCTAAGTCTAGGAAAAGAAAAGTGCGAGACGAAAGATAAGTTTGTTTGTCACATGTTGTGTCTGATGTCTTCGTCAGGCAAGGTTTATATAGGGCACTCGTTAGCCCATGGGCTGGCCATTTCCTCCCTGCTTTTTGACGCTCCAAACACAAATAAATGTGAAGCAACAATCAAAGAAGCAATTTAAGTACTCGCCGAGGCCGCATTCTGTATTCTAATTTCTGCAGAAAGGCAATACAAAAAACTAAAAAGAGGGGAGGGCATAAGGCAAACCCTGAGACAAACATATAACACTGAATGCAGTTTCTGTAAGATACTACAGGAAAAAATTTAACCCAAGTACCAGCATCAACATTATCTATGATTAAAAATCTATAATGTAGCAGAATTTACTAATCCAGCTCAAATTTAAAAACTACGAATCTATGTTCATGATCTTATGAATCCAACTTCCATGTCTCCGGTTACTTCTGCATCATGACCTGTGGAAACAAAAGGAATAACATGAGCCAAGTCAAATTTTTTTTTTTTTTTTTTTTTTTTTTTTTTTGTTGTGCAAAGAATTAAAATTGGATTGCGTGTGATATACTGCTAAACAAAACCAACCGTCTAAAAAGGACTGAAAATATCTAACTAAAAGACAAATAGTCCTTAAGACCCTTCTTGCAGTTGCAATGGCCAAAAGATCAAGTATTAAAAATAAATAATAATAAAAAGATGAATTTCGTGAAATTTTTCCCATGAAAGTCGAACAAAATAAACTATTGCACCTCCAAGCTTCAGGTGATAATAGGCTTAATAAAACATTAGCTTATCAATGTCCAGACTTAATTGGTACTATTCTCTTCCATAAATATTTCCAGACTTATTCAAACTATTTAAATTTGACTCTGGCAAACCCGGGGATTGATCTCTTTAGGGCGTGTTTGACTTCTATGTAGAGTTTCATTAAATTCTAGCCTTCTAACATGCTCTGAAAACACAGAGACCAAAACACAAGAAAATTTCAGAATGAACAATCACCACAGTAACTAGAAGGCGATAAACTCTCAAGCATGTCATTTTTTACCACACAAATTATGCTAACAAGAACAAATATCCACATAGGAAAATGCATGTGTCCAACAAGTCCAATAATTTTATGATCCTAACTTATATATTTCTATCGTTTGCAAGAAATTTAACAAATTGAGTGGATAAGATAAAATAAATACAGTTCATTTGCCAAGTGCAAAAATAAATACAGTTCATTTTATCTCCCTTTTAAAAGAAGAAAATGCCCCATCTGAAAGGAAAATAAAATCCCACTATCTTTTTTCCCAGAATCATTATGAGTTATAAGTTATAACTCACTTTTTCTCCAATTTGTCATCAGCATCTCTCACTGCCTGAACAAGATGATGTATCCGGTATTGGAGTTTAGCATTTTCTGCAGCAAGCTTCTTGTTCTGCAAGTCACCAAAAAAACAAACAAAGAATTTAGATCATTCATTACTTCCCAAATGAGACAAAAACAAGATACAAGAGACATTGATGCAATACAAACAAGATACAAGAGACATTGATGCAATACCTTTTCTTGTTCTAAAACCATCTCAGCACATGCATCTTTTAGCTTGGACTGGATTTCATTGATCAATTCGGAATAATCATCATTTGCCGAATCTGCAGGATGACCCTTCTTGGCTGCAAGGGCAGCCTCAAGTCTTGCTAATCGGTCCTTTATAACAATGGTGCCAAGTTAGCAAGATTACAGGGGAAAACCAGTAGTTTCAATCATCAAACAAAATCATATAAACTTGATGCACATACTTTTGATCAGAATCAACTCATCCACAAAAATTATTAGAACTATATTGGAAGCAATAAAGCAGAAAATTATTCCAAATATGAAAAGAATATCTATAAAAAAAAACATATGTCTAGTATTATTTGCACCCGACTCAATCAAACAGATATCATCTATCAGCACATCATTAGTCCGTCAACAGAGAGGTTTATTTCTGGTTTCATCAAGTCTTCTGTCAGATCAGTTGGAGCAAAACCAATAAGAAAATGACGGTATACAAACCCCCACAGTTTGGACGAAATGTCAAAGTGAATAGAAATTTTTCCAATGCTACGTATTTAGGGACAGGATCTTGAAACCATCGACTCCAAACTCTATATTTAGCTTTGAAAGCTTCACAACTATGACACGGAAAGTAGTAGAGTACTATCAGAGAATGTATCATCTGAAGGTGAAGGCTAGGCTTTTTTTGGTATTCATGAATTACAGTAATTGTTCGCTTCCCTTTTTTTAACTAATTAAAAATAACAATTATATACAGGAATTATGGAATTGTTATGCAGCGCTTGTTACAATCATATGGACTTGTGGCATATTTTTACACGGAATTGGACATTTTCGCTGATACTGAAGTCTTGTAAACAGAGCAGTATATTAATCTAAGAACTAAGTGGGAGAAGTTGTAGACCTATCTTTATTCACCGACGACGAAGCTGAAATCATAGAAATCATTTGCTTCATAAAAGGAATATCAGATTGGTACTCATCAAATGCATAAGCCACTTGAAAGATTAAAAGCATTATTGTTTCCTTATTTCTGATGAGAAACAGAATTGGTGTTGAGTCATAGATTTTCCGTTCTTTAGGAACCAAAGAAACAAAAACAACCACTTACGCACTTATTTAGCATACTGCATAACAGCTCTATGAACTACAATTTCATTATTGATAACGAAATCCACACCACAAAATGCAACATTTAGATTTTGTTTTTTCCCACAACCAGTAGAAACCAGCTCAGAAAGAAAAATTCTCAAACAAACTTATTGGGATAAAAGCCAATTATGAAACCAATCAAACCCGAATCACTAGCACTACCACCGATTACTGACACCATTGACCCCCACCTTCACAATTCAGCCAAACCCCATATGTACACTGACAGGATTCGAACACACATGTATAAATGCATTTTTGTCTTACAGTTGAGAAGCAAAGAAAGCCTATTATGAATGACATCAAGGTTTTAAGCTATGAAAGCAAAAACTATATGTATAGATGTATTTATGCATAAGCAAGTAAAAACGTGGGTAACCTCGGCTTGAGAGGCTCTCTGGTAAAAGGGCTTCAAGGTCTCTTCGAGGACGCTTAGATTCTCAGACGCCATCTTTGGAGTTTGGTGCCCAAGACTTTCCAATAAAACCAAAAGTCCGGCAGTGGGTTTCCTCAGATTCTTCAGAATAGCTTCAGCTGAAAATTTTGACCAAAGCGAAGGTTTATATATACACGTACACAATAGGGCCTACTCAACATTTTGGCTAGTTTAATACAAAATTAGGTTTTTATCTGGAATTGTCCCTAAACTTGTTACAAGTGTTCATTTCAGTCCTCACACTTCGAAATCAATCAATTTGGTGTTTAATAATCTTTTGGTTCACACATTAATTTGGCCTTTTTCATTACATTTCATTAAAATCTTTGTTCACGTGACCAAATTTAAAAGATAATATTCATATAAATACAAACTATCCACTCGTGAGGCAAAATGTAGCTAATGTCTTTTACTCAATAAGGTCATTTGCTCTCTTTGTAGAACTCAATGTCAAATTGTAAGTAGAGATTAGATGACAACAATGATAAATTTGCCACATTAGATTGAAATAAAAACATGTAGTACATGAAATAGATTTGAAATGATTATATGCAATTAGTCATTTGAAATTCATTTGTTTTTTTTACCTTTTTTTTTGGGTCAAATCTTGGTATATATGAATTGTAATAAGGGTTAATGACCTAAATGGTCCTCCAACTATTGCTCCATTATCATTTTGGTCCACCAACTAAAATTTTCAATTCAAACGTCCTTAAACTTTTTATTTTGTACCAAGATGATCCATCCGTTAAAGTCTGTGTATTATTCCGTGAAATCGAGGGACAAAATCGTATTTTTAAGTGAGTATCCTCCTCTAAAAGGGTTATTGATCCCAATGGTCCCATAACTATTGCTCCAGTATCATTTTGGTCCACCAACTAAAATTTTCATTTGAACCATCATTCAACTCTTTTTTTTAATCAAGATGGTCCTACTGTTAAAGTCTGTCAATTTTATTGTTAAATTGAGGAGTAAAAATGTCTCCATGAATTAAAATAGTAATATATAATTAAAAATTAAAGGAAACTATTATAAAACTTAGAAAATTTTAAAAAATTAAATCTCACTAGCCACTTGTTTTTTTTTTTTTTTTTTTTTTTTTTTTTTGACATGACCTAACAATTAATAAATAAAAAAATCTCTATTGTTTAAATTAATTAAAATCACATAAATAAAAATAATAAAAATTTAAAAGAGTAAACAATAATTAAAAATTAAAGGAAACTATTATAGGAACTTATACCTAATTTTAAAATTGAATTGAATCTTACCACAAACATGGCTTCTTCTTTTTTTATGACATGGACTTAAAAAGTAATATTTTTTTCTCTATTGTTTAAATTAATTAAAAATTTTAAAATAAGATAAATACAAAAATAAATAATAATAAAATTGATGGACTTTAACGATAGGACCATACAAAAAAAAAAAAAAAAAAAAAAAAAAAATAAAAAGGGTCAAATGAAAATTTTAGTTGGTGGACCAAAATGATACTGGAGCAATAGTTGAGGGACTATTTCAGTCATACCCTTCGATAGAGCTTCTCAAAAAGTCGCATATACTCTTCAAAACTCAGTCACGTGGCCATCGCATGATCAGAAGTGACGGAATTGTCACGGATGGACCATCTTGGTACAAAATAAAAAGTTTAAGGACGTTTGAATTGAAAATTTTAGTTGGTGGACCAAAATAATAATGGAGCAATAGTTGGGGGACCATTTAGGTCATTAACCCTTGTAATAATTTATACACACAATTTTAGAATACAATCTAAACCCATATGAAATCCCTCCATCCAAATGATGCCATTCTAAAGAATTTCAATAAGCCCATAAATAAAGCAACCTTCATCCAAATGTGTATCTCATAAAACATTTCCAATTCATTTGTGAAATATGTGAATTTTAAATAAAAATTAAATATGCTTATAACAAAATAACTCTTAACCTATGAAGCACGAACATGAATACAGATACGGTGATACGATATGACATGACACATGAAATGACAAATTTCCAAAAACTAGAATACGATACATCATGGTTACGGTTTTCAAAAATATATATTAAAATATAATACCATCAACCAAATTCAAATTTAAAATCTAGAAAAATGAAAAACACGTCTCAATCAACTTCAATTTTTGTAATGTCTTCCCCGATAAATAAAGCAACCTCCAATGATGGTTCATCAAGAGAAAGGTTAGCAATTTCAAGCATCCCAACACCTTCTTCACCCATGCTAGTAAATCCATCTCCTCCAACATCCCCCATTTGAGTAACACCTTCTTTGTAGCTTGAGCTCTTCCTTGATAAAAGACGAAGATTATTATGCACAAATACCAAATCTTCAGCTCTTTCAAGTGCTAACTTTTTTCTCCTTAAAGAGTGAATGAAACTATATGTACTCCAATTTCTTTCACAACATGAGAAGGAACAAGGTTGTCCAAGTAGCTTCAAAGCTATGGATTGGAGAGTTGGTATGGAAACTTCATGGACAATTCACCACACCATTGGTTCCATGTGAAACTTATCATTCATAGCATCAATAACTCCAAAGTCATCCAAGCACATTGAAAAAGAGGCCTACTCCACATTGATATCTCTTCTAGCCCACTCATCCAAACAGTATTTCTCAAGACACTTTTCTCTTTCCCTTGTAATATGGAGAAACACGACTAGGATCCTCTTGCATCTATTCTAGACTATAAACTCTAAAAGTAAAGAGTGATATCATTTTATAAAATTAATCACAATATTAAAAGTAAATTTTAAATACTTTAAAAGGAAAGAAGAACATAATACTTACCTAGGATTTAAAGAATGTATCAAACAAAGGAGTGGTGTGCTGCTCTTAGTCCATCGCTCCACTAAAATGTGACACACCATATCTAGGGGTCATTATTTGTCCCATGATCTCATGGGCAGATGGGGCCTGCCAGGACCATAGAGAAAAAGCCCAGGCTGTTAGTTAGTGTGCTGGGCTTGGGTGGGTTTAAAGCCCAGCCCGCCTATCAAAGCTCGCCTGGCATGCCTAGATATATAGGATTTATTATAGCCCAATATATAGAATAACTGCATTTTCTTTTCAATTTTTTTTTAGCCCAATACCTCTCCATATAAAAATATCCATTACAAGTATCCCTTATCATCTCTAAACCTAAACTACCCATCGCCTTCTCTCACCCCTCTCTCTCCCTAAATGTTATATGCATGTAAGAGGGAGCTTTGTCTCTCTCATCTCTCTTTTGGGCTTAAAGAAAGCTTTGTTGAGTTGACTGCTATGAAGATGATGATGTCGATGACTTCATGGCGGAGAGAAACACCACGACATCTCCGAGAAGCAATCATTTGATTTATCCTTACCATTAGGAAGAAGAAATATGAGGCCATTTTGGCTTCTGAGAAAGTTGCATCTTAGAAGCGATGAAACCAAGTGTAATGATTCAAAATACAGAGAGTTAATGATTCAAGAAGACGAAAACACACTCACACTTCTTCTTCCCAATGGCTTGAATTGGTAGATAACTGCTTGTTAGAGATGCCGTGGTGTCTCTCTCCCCCGTGAAGTCATCAACATCACCATCTTCGTAGCAGTCAACACAACAGAGCTCTCTTTGAGTGCAAGAGAGAGATGAGAGAGACAAAGCTCTCTCTCTTACATGCATATAGCATTTAGGGAGAAATATGGGAGAGAGAAGGGGGCGGCTAGTTTAGGTTTAGAGATGATAAGGGATACCTATAGATACTTTTATATGGAGAGGTATTGAGCTCAAATAAATTTTTTGAAAGCATAAGAGAAATAGCAGCTATCCTAGACATTGGGCTCTAACAAATCCTATATATATGGGCCTGTGGGCCGAGGTTTGATGGGCGAGTTTGCGGGTCGTGGTTTGATGGGCGGGCCAGGTTAGGCCTTCTTTGGCTTAAACGGGTCGAGTTTATAGGTTGGGTTGGGCTTTAAACCCTCTAGCCCAAGCCTAATCCCAACCAACTAACTAATGGGCCGAGCTAGGTTGGGCTCCACTTACCACATCACCCACTCAATTGGTGGATAATGATCTATGTGTACAAAATTACAAAAACACTCATGTCACATCATCAAAGTTAACATACTTTTGAATAGAGTTGACGGCAGGAGCAAAGTGGGTTACCAAACCTCAATCAAAGAATGAAAGTGGGCCATTTTGAGTTTGAAGGAGCAAAGTGGGATTTGATCAAAGTTTCATGGGGCATTGGTATAATTAAGCCAAGAAATTATGGAAGAGATGGAGGAGAGAAACTGAGTTCGCACTGAAGAGAAAACGAGGAAGAGAGAGAACGTGACTATACTCGGGGGCAATTGATGTAAATTCCAAAGTTGATAAAGGGTATTTTCGGTAATATAAAAAATTCATTCATTAAACATCAGCGTAGCGCCTCCCCCAAACTTAACTTAAGCCTCTCTCGTCTCTTCTCTCTTACCCTGGGGTTTAGGGTTTTTCAGTTTTCATAGTCTCTGATTGAGGAGAAGGGGAAGAGAGAGAAGGAGAAAGAGAAGAGAGGAGTTTGCAGCCGCTGCACCAGAAAACCGGAGGTGTGCCTTCAATTTCTTCTCCCCTGCTTCTATCCATTTTCAGCTTCTCTCTTCTGGCTAGGCGTATGCTTTTATCTTCTTTTGTTTTTTTTTCCCGAAACTTTGCTTCTTGTTGTGATTATAGGATATGTCTGATAGCGAAGGATATGACTCGGATGATTATCCATCAATCAGAGGCTCAGACTCAGAAGATGAAGAGAGTGGTTCCTCTGGAAATGAGGTTAGTGGAAATATGAAGGAAAAAAAAATGTTTTGAGATGTAAAGATATGGCTTATTTTTCCATGCCATTTTAGCTGTTATTTTGATTTCAAATATTATAAAGCTACACTATAGGTAAGATTAATTTCCACGATTTGGTAGAACAATGAAGCCGGTTTGATTCGAGAAGTTTGTTGTTTTGACTGTGTGTTAATATTTTTAACTATAACCATGGCAGGACGTTCTCAACACAAGCAACAATGATCATGGTAATGATGACGAAAGTGATAGTTCTGAACTTCATGAAGGAGTTGAGGAGAGTGATTCATCTGAAGATGAGGTCTGTTGTTTTATTCTTGTCATAAGCAAATTAAATGTGATTTGAATTTATATGGCGTAGTTACCTGAATGCACTCAAGTGACTTCTCTCTCGTTTTTTCTGTTTTTAATAGGTGGTTCCTCGAAATACAGTTGGTGATGTCCCCTTGGAGTGGTATCGGGATGAGAAACATATTGGTTATGACATTACAGGGAAGAAGATAAAGAAGAAGGAAAAAGAAGATAAATTGCAATCCTTTCTTGCTAGTGCCGATGATTCAAACAACTGGTGTGCTTTTATTTCTAATATGTTGATAGCATTCAATTAAAGGATGTTAAATATCTACAATTTTCAAGTGTATATTGTTTACTCTGGTTTTGTTACTTTTCAGGCGCAAAATTTATGATGAATATAACGATGAGGATGTAGAACTCACGAAAGAAGATATCAAATCTATAAGTAGATTGCTCAAAGGAAAGGCTCCGCATCGTGACTTTGATCCTTATGCGGTGTGTAGATAACACTCATCCAATTCTAATTAATATGATATTCTCATTGTTTAAATAGTAATATTCATATGACTGTAGTACATGGCTATTTATAGGAACTTTCTTACAAATGAATTCCTCATTTTAAGTTGAAGTAAAATTCTCCATGTTTCAAGTGCAGCCATATGTTGATTGGTTTAAATGGGACGACTCCAAGCATCCACTGTCAAATGCACCTGAACCCAAGAGACGATTCATTCCTTCAAAATCTGAAAGTAAACTGGTAAGGCATTTTTAATGTATTGCTCCTGATGGGTGTTTTCTTTCCTTTTTCTTTCTTCTGTAGTTTTATTTTCTTTTCAACTCAGCTGCTGAGTTAAACAAATGCACTAGAGTTTGTTTGATTGGAAAACTTATTATTATTATTATTTTAATTTAACATGGTTTCCTGTTCATCTTCTGCACTTCTTATGATGAATCTACAGGTTAATAAGATCAAGTTGGCCATTCGTAAGGGTTTAATTAAGCCTAAAAAGTCCAAAGAGGAGGAAGAAGAAGAAGAAAGTGTTTATCCCTTGTGGGGAGATGACTCTAATTCAACGGGAAAGAATGATCATCTATCTTACATTCCTGCACCAAAACCAAAATTGCCTGGTATTAATTTTCTTCCATATTCTGAGGATTGTGAAAAGTCAGATACAGAGCAATTCTTTTTTGCTGGCATGAAGTAACTTGAGACTTGATGGAAAGCTTAAAATTATTTTTTGCATTTAGGTCATGAGGAGTCCTTCAATCCTTCTTTAGAATACATCCCAACACAAGAAGAGATCAATTCTTATCAGTTAATGTACGAGGAAGACCGTCCTAAATTTATACCTAAAAGGTAATATTCAATATGACTTGAAATTTGGACTAATCATAATTTGCTACTCTTTCTGATATTACAGCATCTCATAAGCACACTATTATCATATTTGGTAGGTTTACATCTATGAGAAGCATCCCTGCATATGAGAATGCTGTTAAGGAATGCTTTGAAAGATGTTTGGATCTATATTTGTGCCCCAGAGTCCGGAAAAAACGGGTAAGTGAATAATCCTGATTGACGAAAAGATTCCACAGTGATTATTTGTTCAGGTTTTGATTGTTTTGCAAGATGTTTCAATTTGTACAATCTACTTATAGTCATATGAGGACAAGGATCAAATTATTCAAAGTATATCCTTTTATGTTCCAGCTTAATATCGATCCTGAGTCTCTGAAGCCCAAGCTACCAAACCGAAATGATCTCAAGCCTTACCCTGTATCATGTTATCTTGAGTATAGAGGTCACGAAGATGCAGTTACATCAATTTCTGTAGAAGCTTCAGGGCAGTGGATTGCATCAGGTGTGGATGGCATTCTTAATTCTTTGCTGCATTCAGTAACATAATTGAAATCGGATGTAGGTCTCATCATCTGTTCTTCTTACAGGTTCATTGGATGGAACCGTGCGTATTTGGGAGGTTGAAACTGGTAGATGTCTAAAACACTGGAAGATTGATGAAGCCGTCAAATATGTTTCTTGGAATCCTAATCCCGAGCATTCTATACTGGCTGTCTCTGCGTAAGGCTGCATTTATTTTTGGGTTTATTTTTCATTTACATTTGTTTCACTGGGGATCCTGCTACCTAACTGTAAATTAACTGTCGGTAAATTTTAGGGGACAAGACGTACTTCTTTTGAACACTGGTTGTGGGAATGAAGAAGTACAGAAAAGTACTAAAGAACTTCTCTCTGTTGGGATGCCTATGCCGGATGACTCTGGTCAGTGTGAGATCGTCATAGCTTTCAGTATCATATATCAAATGAATGGTTTCTAACCTTCGCAAAATATGTTCTGCTTACATAGGCAAAACAGCATCCAGTGTAAGCTGGCTTCAAGATGATAAACTCGAGGGAATCAGGTTAAGGCACTCCAAGGTACTTGGCCTTTTCCTTCACCTAGTTATTTGTGGTTGTGCAAGTTTATAAGTTTCTTAAGCTGAAGTCAAGATTAGAAGGTTGGTCTTTCTACAAAGAATTCTAACTGCTTTCTTTGTTGGGCTCCTGCAGACCGTGACTTCAGTAGAATGGCATCGTAAAGGAGACTACTTTTCGACAGTGATGCCAGCGGATATCCTTTTTGCACATATATACACATATTTTTATATTATATGCTACTTTAAGCACGACACAGATGGGTTTAGGTATGTGTTTTTATTTCTTAGACATGTATGGGAAATGAGGTTTATATTTGTTGTTTGTATATGAGTTATTATTAAATTTCTGATAACAAAACAAGGTTATATCAAATTAGTCATCTCCTCGGATTTTCTTGACTTTGGCTTTACGTGAATCAAGAGCTATTTTTATACACAAGCTCTCCAAGAAGTTTACCCAGACACTTTCATTCAAGTTGCAAGGGCCTGCAGTCACTTCGGTTTTTCATCCTACACGTTCCTTCTTCTTCATTTCAACAAAGAAGATTATTCGTGTTTACGATCTGGTGAAGGAGGGAAAGCTCGTCAAAAAACTTGAGACTGGACTACGTGAAATCTCCTCCATGGCAGTTCATCCTTCTGGTAGTTTTTATTATTATATTTATTTATTTATTATTAATTAAATTTTGCTAACTATATTCAACTGAATGGATTGAGTCCATTCTTTGTTCTATTCTTTGTAACAGTTGTGTGTGAACGGTACTCTGATTTATCTGGGCTGTACTGTTAATGCAGGTGATCATATAATTGTGGGGAGTGGAGAAGGAAAACTATGTTGGTTCGACATGGACCTTTCATCTAAACCCTACAAAACTCTCAAGTATGTCAGACATTTCTTTTTCAAATAATTATGCAAATTAAATAAATGAATTGTAGGGTCTTTTCTTTTGGTTGTTTGGAGAGGGGGTTAATACTTTCTTGCAAGGCACTGGTTTACTTTAAATTTTACAATCTCTGAAATGGATAATGCGTAGATTTCTGGAAGATGTTATCTAATAGATACACAAACATCAAACCAAATATGCATACACATCAAATTCTATTTGCCTGATTTTTGCTCATATATTTTTTTTCTTCTGACATTTTGAACATTTATCAGGTTGCATCAGAAGGACATCAACAATGTGTCTTTCCATCGCTCGTACCCCCTGTTTGCAACATGCTCAGATGATTGCACCGCATATGTTTTCCATGGCATGGTTTATTCAGATCTTAACCAGAACCCTCTTATTGTTCCATTGGAAATACTCCGAGGTCATTCGAGCACAAATGGGAGAGGTGCGCCCTATAGCTTTCTTTTGTTTGTATTCTGTTGGGTATTTTAACAAGATGAAAGAAATGCTGCCAGTGATTGGGTAAAAAGGTTTACTGAATGCTGGGCATCGTATTAAACACACTTTCACCAGCGTGAATGTTTTTTAACGTATGATATGTTCAAGGTCCCTTCTCTAGAATTTGGATTTGATAATATGCGATTAGGAGTTGGTGAATAGAACATTCCGAGTTGCAGGCCAAATTTATAGTCAACTCAGTTTCTGGGTGTAATTCAAACTGAAAATAAAACCTAAATCTTTTATTGACTGGTTGTATGCAGGTGTAATGGACTGTAAATTCCATCCAAGGCAGCCATGGTTGTTCACTGCGGGTGCAGACTCAGTGGTTAGACTGTATTGCCATTGAGACGAAAAGAAAGCAAACCGCCTTTACCGGATCATACTGCAAGCTATGGATATCACTAATCAGGCCTGAATTTTCTGTGCTATAAATTGTTGTATGTATCATGTGTTTACTGGAATGGTCCGGTCATAATTTTGACAGTGTACAACTATTTCATTTCTGTTAACCTTGCTATTTAATTCATATTCCATTCGTATTTTATTGCGCAGAACGTGTTTTGGAGCTTATGATTATTTTTCTAGCAGTAAAGTGTAATGGCGGTTTGTTTTGGATCATTCTTTTTTTAGGGCAGACATTTTGTTATATCTATCAAGCACTGGCTCTTTGCTGGACAAGGACGATAAATTTTATTTTTCTAGTTTACAATGATTTTACCTTGAATTCAGAACATTAACGAAAATTAATGTAACTAAACGCAACTGATTGCAAGCTCAAGTGTCCGTATATGTCTGCTACCTGTACACTTCCCAACCCAGATCCCATGGTTGATGTGCGGTTTTAAAATGTAGCAATATAACAAGGGAAATGGTACATAGACCATCTTGTGTACGACCTCTTAATAGAAGCGAAGCCCATTGTATTGGTGAACTCCATCGTCATTAGAGAAGTGGTACATAAGGGGTGAAGATTCATGGTTGTATAGAATCTCCAAGTTTGGAAGATGATTAAGTACTGCTATCTGCCACTACTAGGTATTTAGTTTCGTGGTTTTTTAATCCCTCCTCTCTTGTGCCCTTTTTGTTCTTTACTTTCTCAATTATCATCTACCTTGAAAGGACACTAGTAGGGTTAGAAGAATTGATATGGCTCAATCTGCTAATCGTGCCCTCCCTTACCGCTGCGTATCTTTTCCGCTAGAAAGGATTTGGGTAGCATGGGGGCCAGAATGACTTCGCTCTTCTTGAAATCAAGTAATTTTTCAGTGTGACGGGTGAACCCAAAACCTGGGCCTAAACACCAACACCACCTCCAAGTTCCTGTGCCCTGGCATTCCCTCTTAAAAAATGACTTGTATATTTATTGGATTTCACATACAAGATCAAAGTACTGCCCCCAAACCCTACAAAAATGTTCAAGCCTACTCTTGCTATCAGCGATGAGGGATCTTCCGCCACACATGTCCAAAGTATGTCTTTGAGAGGGGCTCAACAATCAAAATCAAGACCTAGAGTCCTTTGCTTGGGCCTATTGGGATTTCATGGAAGTTATTTTCAATGGATTTGGACAGAGGTTTTGATCAACTTGGTGATATATCACGTTGCTATTGACGAGAAAAAAAAAGAAGAAGAAGAAAGCTTTTACATTCTTCCAGTTCCAAGAGCTTCGAGCTAATTCACTGTATATGTATTATGTACACACACATAAAAGCACATAAACTATTTGAGGCAGGAGTACACACATAAGAAAAAGAGGTGAAAAGGAAGTTTTTCTGTTTCCATGGCAGGTCTATACAAATATGAGATACATCGTTTTTTGCATCTTATAATATAATGCACAATACAATGTAAATCCAGCTCCCTATACAACCTTCTTGGCAATTGCAACTTCTTAAACTCAGCAGTTATGAAAATCACTTGGGCTGACGGCAACTTCACAGCGGAAAAACAAGGGTAGAGAAGTTTCGGTTTGCTGCACCTTATAGAGAAGTTTTCGGGTTTGCCATTGCATTAGTGTGCTACATGCAAATCAACCAGAGCCACCAAACAGATTGCAGATTGCAGATTACAACGACTTGCTCCTCTTCAGTCCATCACTCAACTATCATATCCTTAGGAAGCTAAAAATAAGTCCATTTAACATATATATATTTATCAAATTAAACATGTATCAAAAACCAATGCGCTTGTTTTCACCATGCAAGTCCAATAATACCGTGCTTCCACAAGGTTATATTGCCACTTTATCTTGCAATGGAAAACTAGTCAAAGGCTGCCCAAGAAGTGAGGGCCTATAGAAGACATGGCTCTGTGCAATCTCAATGCGTTCCCTGGGATCATTCAAGTTTTCATCCCTCAAAGCTTGAAGAATAGCTTGTGATGATTGCTCCCTGGAGATCAAGCAATATGCATGGTTGAATTGATATAATTGTAAATTAACAGAAAAGACACAATCTAGCCTTAATTTGCAGATGCATAGGCACAACATTTAAGAATAGAAGGGAAGGAGGAACACAGAACTTTGTGCCAGGTCAAGACAACTGCCAAACAAGATTTAGGTTATACCAAGTAATGCGGGGTGATCTTTCGGATGACACAAATGCCTCTTTAGTATAATTTATCATGGTGAATATTTTTTTATCCCTTATGTTTGACAAAATAAAATCCTTCAGGTAAGAAAATGGATTACAAGTTGGCCAGAAATTACCTTGTTATCAATATTTTATATAGCGTCTTCAAGATGGGGCAGAGCTCCACAGGAGCAACTGGCTTGTTTTCTTCAGGATGCAATACATTTAGGCTCGACTGACTGAGAAGTTCATAAAATGCTTTGACTGCAGAGACACCCTAGGAGCAGAGAGGCTCAGAAAAATGAGAAATGAAATTATTGATAACTTATAAATGAATAAAAACACATTTCTTTCCCATCTGCATGAGTCATTTCCAGCATTGAGTGAGAACTATCTATCTTCACTATAGCAGTATAAATTGTATCATTATTTTTGCTAATAATTAGGCAGTGTGGACGAACATAAAATTTTTTTACATCTAAAAGATTTATTTCACGGTTCCAGATAAACCAATATAAGTATCATGATTTTGAGCATTTGTTCCTTCTTCAGGCTGGTTCTAAACGCACCCTAACTAGTACCATCGCTTTCTAAACGTGGTGAATGCCTTTATAGCTTAAAATGAATGCATCTTACAGCGGTTTTAGAAGGAAAGAGTAATTCACAATTGGTACCTGAATCATTCCTTTTCCACTGATATTCTCACCCATATCCCGATTTAGTTCCCCTTTGGCTAGCATTTGCCCGTACCATGCATTACGGCCTTTCAACAAGGTTACATATGTGTCAGCCAGCAAAGGCCCAGCAAGTTTCTCAGGCTCTTCTGCCAACAAGTGAGTAATAAATATCATCTCTGAGGTACAATGTGCAAAATATACAGATTTGCTGGTAGCACTCTCCTTTGTGAGGGCTGCGACCATCCCTGAGATAATCAAAATGAAAAACGGATGTAAGTTGCAAACCAGAAGAATTCATTTATAATATTCTATGATATTCCAATCCAATATTATAGCATATAACTTTAGATTTTATTGATTTATCACTATTCCCAGAAGCTTCTATAAGAATGTAGGCCAACTACTGTTCTCATACAACAACAAATTTCATGTTTGTCCTGGCAAGAGTTTTCTGGCAGTGTATGAACAGCCAATTGTAATTATTCCATGTGAAACTGTAATGCCAGCTCATCAATCAGGGCAGGGATTCAGGATAACCTCTTATTTAAATCTAAACTTATCCCTCTTAGCATTTGCGAAATCACTACTTCTTTAAATCTGTCCTCATTTATACAGTATCAGGTGTATGAAGCTCCGAAAAGCTGAACAACAGTTACCACTACTTAAATGAAGCTGAACACCAATTACAAAGCAGAATATCAGACATCTCATTTCTTTTTATTAGATTTGAGAGGTTGGACGATTTAGATGCTGCATTTATTGTATGAGATATATTTATCAGAATGAACCTGAGACTTACCTGCTCCAATGGCATAGACATTCTTTAAGCCACCCATGACTTCATGTGTAACAAGATCACTATTGTCCCAGACGGTAAAATGGGGTTGCCTTAAAAACTTTGCAAGTGGTTTTCTCCACTTCTCAGCTCCGCATATTCGAGCATTAGCGTATTCCTTGTTGTAGATCTCTGAGGCAATATTTGGGCCACCCAGATAAAGTATGTTCTCTATAGGTACACCAGCTGCCAGGCATATAGAAAAGAATATGAAATTAAATTTGTGAAGCAAACCTAATATTTATCAGTTTAAACAATCAGCATACATCATCTGGTGTAAGGTGTAAGATGCCACTTCATGATACACACAAAACAAGAAGAATTTGTCCCTTGATCTCTATCTTATCAAGCATACCAACTCGGCTTTGGGTGCACTAAAGAGTCTACATTTCTGATTGCATTTCTCCAGCTTTTATATTGATAAGCTCAATTTTTTCTTGAGGCTCCATTTTCATTGACGGTTTATAGAGTTTTTTTAGCAGAATGGTTTTTTCTGCTTGATAGATTTTGTAAAACTCCTTACATAGAATAGTTTTTTCTTGATTGTGTTTTGATCAGAACTTCAATATAACATAAGATTGGAAAAGTTATCATTCTTTAAGAAAACATTTTGGAACAAACACCAAGAATTGACTCACATTTACTAATTCGGCTAAAGATAAAACCTTCACATTTACTTGCAAAGTTTTATAAGATTGTCCACTCCCCAAAATTGACTCACATTTACTATATCAGATAAAGATAAAACCAAACCAAAAAAACCATCTCTCCTTCCTTTTTTCCACCTCACTGAAAATTTTAAGCCAAGATACCAGAGGTTGACAGTTAAATTTAAAAGAAGATAAACATACTTGCCCGGTTAATCATTTGCGTGGGAGTTATGATATGCGGGAGAGGCTCTAGTGCAGCCTCTATACCTTTCGCCAGAGAGATGATAATAGGATCTGTGATTCTTTCCTTCCAATAGTTACTAATCTCTTCAAACACCTCTTGTGTTTCAGTAGAAGGCAAGCCATTCACCACAATATCAGCGTCCCAAACAGCCTCCTGCAAACTGGTTACAACTTTCAAAGGACACAGTGGCGTATCGATCATGTTCAAACAAAATCCATCTTTCAAAATCTCATCTGCATAAAGCGTTCGATCCCCCAGCCTTGCCTCCACATATTTCAAATACGCACAGCGCCGGATCAACCTCCTCAATACATCCTCCCTTGAATTGATCACTTCAAAAAGATGTTCAGCTGTTGCTTTATCAACAGCTCTTCCTGGTCTTCTCCATATCCTTATTTGGACCTTGTCTCGAAACTGACCATAGCTATCTTGCAACACAGCGGCAAAAACACTGCCCCAAGCGCCTGCCCCAACACCAACAATTCTTAATGGATCACCATTACCCTTGCCAAGGCGGCTCCGGAGCTCATCTAGTTTCTCTTCCAAACTATTACAGTTCTGAATAGATCCATTTGAGTACAAATTACGATTCAAAGTCTCAATGCTCCCCACCATCTATATCCAAGTAAAATCACACTATCAACAATAACAGAGAAAACTCAAATTCCCCTAAGGTATCAACCAAATGCACTTACTGTATACAAGTTCCTCTATAATACCAATCTCTAGATAGATCTCTAGAACAACCCACTTTGATTTTTATATGTATCTCTCTCCCTATAAACACTGCTGAAATCTATGCTTGAAATGACAAAATTCTGACTCCAATAAATAGCCACTGTATTTGGTCTTTTCACTCAGATTTTCAGACCCACCAATCAAGCTTTGTTCCTACCCAAATTCAGCAAACTGAGACCAACAAGAAAAAGGATTTTTATGCATGCAGGTCTCTTTCTCTGTTTAAGAGTTTCAAAGAACATGCCAAAAAAAGAAACCCAAATATTCAAAATATATCCTTGTTATGTCCGCCTGAGGTTGTTCAACTACCCAACCATAAACTTCAAAAACACTTGGTACAAGTTAGCAATTAAATAAAGAAACGAGAGAGAGAGAGAGAGAGAGAGAGAGGAGAGAGAGAGAGAGAGGTCAATAATACCAACCTTGTCGGAAACTACAAAGCTTTGGTCATAAAAGTGTATTGGGTCGTTCACTTAAATTCCTAGCCGTCCAAGGGCAGGCATTGTAGTTGGCGGTGGATATAATGCAGAGAAGTTGAAGCTAGCTACTAGCTAGGAACCAGAGAGTGCAATGGAGGTGAGAAAATAAAGCTGTGATTGAATCGTTGAAGGGAGAAAGCGTGACAATAGAGAGATTGGAAAAGGCATTAATTGGTACAGTTGAGGTTTGGAGTTGCGTGTCATAATAGGTTTTGGCTTGTGCCAACCTCCCCAACGGTCATTAATATTGGATGATTTTGGTCTGTGTTTTATCACATGCGGCCATCCCCCGTGTTAGCTGGTCTTTCACTATTGCTCTTATTTGCTCCTAGGGTGTTGTTTTTTAGGAAAATTAGGTATTAGACATTATTAAGTTTACTAATTAGTAAGTGAGATATTAGGTATTTTAGTTTGGGTTTTAATACTTAAAAAAAATAGCTATTTTAGATTAGGCCAAAGGCTGGCCCAGATTCGTTGGGCCAGCTTAAAAATAACAAATAAAAAGACAATTCTACCCTTTTTCTTAAAAAGCCTGGCCCATCTGTAAACCTACAAATTAAATGACGCTTTTGCCTCTGAACGTTTAAACGACGCGCGAGTTTCTTCTTCGTTCGTTTTCGTTCGTTTTCTTCTTCGTTTCAGAGCTGGGTTCTGCCATTGGAGCTCAATTTTCTGGTAGGTTTTGCTTTTATTTTCTTCGTTTTTCTGTCTTCTTTTTTCTGCTACGTTTTCGTTCGATTTGCATGCTGAATGACTGTCAGTTTTGGGTGATTTCTGTTCTCCTTAGTTCGGGTATTTCGAGCTCAGTTTTGTGGCTCGATTTTGCGGCGCGATCTTGTGGCGTTCAATGCTAAACCCTATATTCTTCGTTTCGTGATCAGATTTGATTTTAAGCTGCTGTTTGGTTGTGGAGATTTTTGGCAGTCCTAAGTTTTGAGGTATGAGTACTTTAGAACCTGTTTTCGTTTATATCGACTTGTATGTTTATGGAATTTAGTTTTAGTACTTTTATTGTGGTTTCCTTTTGGTTTCTATTCGAATTGTTTTGATTTTCTGTCATAAACTACATCTGTTTGTTGTAGTTTTGGTAGAAACTGCATTGTAGTTCTTGTTTCATTGTAGTTTTGCATTGCAGTTTCTTGTTTCATAATTCGATTTCAGACTAATATTTGGAAGTCTATTGGAATTTTACAACTGTTCATGTACATTATTTACTGATTTAAATTGTTTTCTGTTTTTGTTTGTTGTTTTGTTTGCATTTTCAAGGCTAATGGAGGTGTGTGTCATTGCCAAGTGCACATATAAGTCGGAAACCATGATGTTTTCAGTTTCATCAGAGTCATCCATGGTTGATATTTTGAAGACTTTGTGTCTAAGGTTTAAGGGTTTGCAGTTGGGTTGTTTTACGTTACGGTATTCGCTGCCCAGTTATCCGAGTTGTTTTCTAGAAACGGATAGCGATTTGGACATGATGAGGACATTTTTGTTTGTATCAAATGAGAAGAGTGTTGATATTTTAGTGAAGGATTTATGCGGAAGCAGTGAATATAGTGGTGATTTTTGTGTAAATAAGGAGTTGATTGCATGTGAAAAGGGCGAGTCGTCGTGTTCTAGTACTGTCGAAGACAGAAATGAATTTTTGGGCAGGTCGAAGAGAGCAAGTGCTAAGCCTTTGTTGTCGAATGAGTGGGAGACATACATACATCATGTAGGGCAGAAGTTTGACGGTGGTGCAGAGGAGTTCCGTTTGAAATTGTGCAAGTACGCTCTTGAAGTAGGATTTAATTTTTTATATGCCGGCAATGACAAGAAGCGGGTGGTTGCTATTTGTTCGAATAAGAAATTGGAGGGTTGTAGCTGGCGTGTTTATGCTTCTCGTTGTGAAGCTACTGGCTGTTTTGTAATTCGGACATTAAATAATGTGCATACATGTGTGGGTCGGATACGGGAATCAAAGAGTAAGATGATGAAGTCTCGTGTGGTGTCCTCCCTCATTGTGGACAGAATTCGTGTAAAACCAGAGCTGAAGCCAGTTGAGATTATACACGAGTTCAAAGATTATTATGGTATAGACATTTCATACTACCATGCATGGTTTGGCAAAGAGTTAGCTAAATTGAACGTTCACGGTGATGAGTCGAAGTCCTTCAACGAGTTAGTGTGGTATGCGGACGCCGTAAAGGAAACTAACCCTGGTTCTCTCTGCACTCTTGAATGTGAAGCTGGAATTAATCGCTTTAGACGGTTTTTTGTGTCGTTTGGCGGTTGCATTGCTGGTTTTCAATATTGCATACCCTTGTTGTTCGTTGATGCTACGTTTTTGAAGAGCAAGTACAAGGGGCAGCTTCTCTGTGCTTCCGGAAAGAATGGAAATCAAGGTATGGTTACTGTAATGTATTGCAGATTCCATTTGTTGCAATTTTTTAGCAGAAACTGCATTGCAGTTTCCATTTGTTGCAATTTTTTAGCAGAAACTGCATTGCAGTTTCTTGTTTCATAATTCGATTTTCTTAATAATTTTTGTATGTCTGTGGGAATGTTGCAACTGCTCATGAACTTAAATGTGTTTTAAACTTAGTTTTAGTACTTGAATCATGGATTTGCCTTTTGGTTTCCTTTCAAATTTGAGCAGATTTGTTTTCAAAAACTGCACTGCAATTTCCCTTTTTTGCTTATACTTGTGCTTTTGGTTTTGTTTTGCAGGGTTTTATCCTCTAGCTTTTGGAGTTGTTGATTCTGAGACGGAGGAGAATTGGACTTGGTTTCTTCAACATTTGGCTTCTATTTTGCTACCGATGGGGAGAGTGGTGACCTTTTTCTCGGATCGCAATCAAGGTTTGTTAAATGCAATGGGGTTTGTGTTTCCTGGATGGCCTCATTCTTACTGTTACTATCACCTCAAACAGAATTTGATATCGAAGTACCCGAAGTCAGGTTATGGGAAATCGCTCCAAGACCGTGTTATCAATTTATTTAGTAGGTGCGCATATGCTGTTACAGAGGAAGAGTTTACGGTAGCAATGGAGGAGTTGGTGATTGTTGGGAGTTCGAAAGTGAAGACATTTATATCTGATTTGTCTAGAGATCACTATGCGAACGCATATTTCAAAGGAATGCGGTATGGGGAGATGGCAAATAGTTTAGCGGAGTCATTTAATAATTGGGTTGGTGTGTTTCGAGATTTGCCGGTGCTACCTTTGATAGAAGGGATTCGACAGAAATTGATGGTATTGAATTCTCAACGACTAATTGAAGCGGAGAAGTGGACAACAATTTTGTGTCCGGAGATGGAAACTAGACTGTGGGAAAATGCGGAGGCCGGTAGGACTTGGGTAGTTCGTCGTTCTAGTTTCACTGTTTTTGAAGTATTTGCTGATTATTCTGTGATGGTTGATCTTGAGCAAAGGACTTGTTCTTGCCGTCTTTGGCAAATTGACGGTTTTCCTTGCACGCATGCGGTAGCTGCAATTCTAGCAAAGAAAGATTCAATTTATGATTACGTGGAGTGTTACTATAGGACTGACTTCTTTCGAAAAGCCTATGAGAGTCCTATTTTTCCTATTCCAGATATTGGGAAAGGCTTGGGCAGCAACAGTTTTGCAGCTGGAGTTGTGCTTCCGCCAATTACAAAGAGGCCAGCCGGAAGACCACCAACAAAGAGGATCAAAGCTTTTGGTGAATTTAAAAGGCCATTGAAATGCAGTCGGTGTAGTGTTACTGGGCATAATAGGAAGACTTGCAAGGCTGTGATATGAACATTCCTTCTCAGTTGACGATTGCTTACGTTAGATATGGTTTAGTGAATGTATAGTCAGTTTCTGCATTGCACTTTTTGCAAAACCTGCATTGCAGTTTTATTTGCTTTTAATTGGCTACACAGCTTCTAATTGGATATTATGATTCTTTTTTGAAGTTAATGAAAATTATACAATTGTTTCATGAGTGGATATTCGTTTTTGACTGCCATTGAATGCTTGTTTTCAGATTTGAGCAGATTTTGTTGCAGAAACTGCACTGCAGTTTCTGTTTATTTGCAGTAGCTTGAACTGCAGTAATTGCATACCACCTTCTGATTTTGAGGATCCTCTTGTGTTGATTGCTCCTCGGAAGAGATAATCTTGAATTGTGGTAGTTCTTCATCATCCTTTTTTGCCTTCTTTTTGGTTTCTTATTTTTTTCGTACACATAGCAAGATGCTTGAAGCCTCTTTCTTTCTCTATTCTTCAGCCTTATTACTCTTGAAGGAACATCAGGTGTTGGAGCGTCTTGCTTCTTCTCTTCTTCTTTCTCTTCTTGTTGCTTCTCTTCTTCTTTCTTGTCTTCTTCTTTCTCTTCTTCTTCTTCAATCTCCTTTTTCTTGGCAATCTTCTCCATGTCAATCCGAGTTTCCTTGCCTTCCAATTCTGCAATCCTCCTTTTTAGATTTTCTATTTCCTGAAGCTGAACTGTAGATTCCACTGTCATGGTGGCAGTCACATATTCTTCATTATCTAATTTCTCTACATATGTTGCCAACTTCTCTTCCAGCTCCTTTGATCTCTTTTCTCCCTGGATAAATATATCCCACAATTCCTTCATTTTCTTCTCACTGTCTTCATTTTTTTCATCCTTCCACAGTTGTAATCTTTCTGGGCAAATGAAGCTAGGATCTTGACGTTGGTGATAGTTGATTTGGTCTGTCATGGACTTCACCAAGAGTTCTTGAATTGCAATGCATTTTCCTTGGTCTTCTGCTTCCTCTGCTTCTCTTTGTTGTCCTTCATCTTCTTTTTCTTTTTTCTGCATCTTCTTTTTCTTGTCAAGAGGGTCTCCCTCTTCTCTGGTAGTTTTTCTCTTTTTATATGCTTTCAAAATACCCTGTACAATGAGATTGAATGATTCAAAAACTGCATTGGATAAAATACAAACTGCAATGCAGTTTTGCTTTCACTAAAATGCAAAAAACAGAATATACCAGAAAATATGCATCTACTTGACATGAAATTGAAAGATCAGCATAGCCAAAACAAGAACTACAAAACACAACAGAAACTACATAACAACATGGCGTGAAATGAGCAACATTCAAGAAGCACAGAAACTGCAATGCAGTTTGTGGTTCACTGCAATGCAGTTTGTCTTTGACTAAAATGCAAAAAACAGCATATACCAGAAAATATGCATCAACTTGACATGAAATTGAAAGATCAGCATAGCCAAAACAAGAACTACAAAACACAACAGAAACTACATAACAACATGGCGTGAAATGAGCAACATTCAAGAAGCACAGAAACTGCAATGCAGTTTGTGGTTCACTGCAATGCAGTTTGTGGTTCACTGCAATGCAAAAAACAGCATATACCAGAAAATATGCATCAACTTGACATGAAATTGAAAGATCAGCATAGCCAAAACAAGAACTACAAAACACAACAGAAACTACATAACAACATGGCGTGAAATGAGCAACATTCAAGAAGCACAGAAACTGCAATGCAGTTTGTGGTTCACTGCAATGCAGTTTGTGGTTCACTGCAATGCAAAAAACAGCATATACCAGAAAATATGCATCAACTTGACATGAAATTGAAAGATCAGCATAGCCAAAACAAGAACTACAAAACACAACAGAAACTACATAACAACATGGCGTGAAATGAGCAACATTCAAGAAGCACAGAAACTGCAATGCAGTTTGTGGTTCACTGCAATGCAGTTCACAGAAACTGCAATGCAGTTTGTGGTTCACTCAAATACCTTGTCAACAGTGTCTTCCTCTTCCCTGGTAGTTTTTCGCTTTTTAGGAGTTTTGAAAATACCCTGTACAATGAGAATGATTTAGCATGAATTCACATTCAAGATACATTAAAGTAGAACAACATGCGATAAATTGCATACCTCGATGTCATTCAAGTCCGTTATTTGGTTGAATCTTGTGTGGAGTTCCACAAGACTCCATTTAAGAATGGCAGGAGTTTCTTTCTCTTTGCCCAGGATTGGTTGTATTATGTTTGTCCTCTCACACAGTAGAAACTGCACAGTTCAAAAACAAGATATATCATAAATTAGGTTGGAAACTGCTTAGGATAAAACAGAAACTGCATTGCACTAAAGGGAAACTGCATTGCCTAAAACTCAAAATGCATACCAATATTAGGATAATGCAACCCGAAACAGCTCCTATAGAGCCTTCTCCTCCCTTCTTTGCTTTTGCTTTTGCTTTTGCGACCAAGGATTCATTCATGTAGGCTGAAACAGCACTTGCCCAAGAATAGCTTGAAAGTGTGTCCAGATTCACACAGTGCTCAAATACTTTCCAATGCAAAGTAGACGAAGCGTTGGCAAAAAGGAATGTCATGCATAGGTGAATCAATATTATGCTGACCACCTCCTTGTCGTAGTCAACTTCTTCTTCTTCTTCTTCTTCAGCTTCTTTCTTTTGCTCTGCCTTGGCCTTTTCTTTCTTCGGTTGGTTTGCCAATGAAATTGTCTTCAGTAATTCTGCTTCTACCAGATTTTTTGATGGTTTTCCCTTTTCTCCAAAGTGCCTTATTCTGAAGGTAGAAGTGTACCTATCATTGACAAGTTTGACAGATTTTCCTTCATTTGGCAGTCCTAGAATCTGAGTCACTGCATTGCCTGTGATCTTGAATGCTTCGGTGCCAAATTTGAAGGACTTTGTATCCGGATCAAACTTCTTGAGCAGCTGAACTAAGTCAAGGTCTGACTTATTCATGTTATTCATGTCAATCCTTCGGTTGTAAAACACCTCAATCAAGTTCCAAAATGGGGTGTTCTTGAGAAGCTTCTTCTGCCTTTCATTCAGCTTGTCTTTTACATCCGTAATGATGCTGTTGAAAGCGTTGACATTGCACCGAAATTGGACATAATCTGGGTGCTTTGCTTTCCGATCATAGTTTGGCTTTGGCTTTGGCTTTGATTTACTCTTTTGAGCCATCATTTTGAATCTTCGCTTTGGTTGGTTTTGAGCTTCCTCCTTTTGTGGTGACATTTCTTGTGCCATTTGTGATCTGCAACAAGAAGGGATGAAAATATTATTAGGACAAGTAGAGATAAACTACAAGCAAACAGAAACTGCAATGCAGTTTGTGGTTCACTGCAATGCAGTTTGTCTTTGACTAAAATGCAAAAAACAGCATATACCAGAAAATATGCATCAACTTGACATGAATTTGAAAGATCAGCAAAGCCAAAACAAGAACTACAAAACACAACAGAAACTACATAACAACATGGCGTGAAATGAGCAACATTCAAGAAGCACAGAAACTGCAATGCAGTTTGTGGTTCACTGCAATGCAGTTCACAGAAACTGCAATGCAGTTTGTGGTTCACTGCAATGCAGTTTGTCTTTGACTAAAATGCAAAAAACAGCATATACCAGAAAATATGCATCAACTTGACATGAAATTGAAAGATCAGCATAGCCAAAACAAGAACTACAAAACACAACAGAAACTACATAACAACATGGCGTGAAATGCACAGAAACTGCAATGCAGTTTGTGGTTCACTGCAATGCAAAAAACAGAATATACCAGAAAATATACATCAACTTGACATGAAATTGAAAGATCAGCATAGTCAAAACAAGAACTACAAAACACAACAGAAACTACATAACAACATGGCGTGAAATGGAAAGAAGTATAAATAATTTAGCAGAAACTACAATGCAGTTTCTGTTTTCTTCAGTGCAGAAAACAGTTTTGATGCTCTTTTGTGATTTTTCGGTTTCTAGAGGTTTTCAAACCAAAACTAAACCCAAAACCTAAACTACATTGCAGAATGACAGTAAGTAAAATTTCAGAACCCTAAAATCAAAGGCAAATTTGTGTTAGGGGTCATTTTCTTACGATTTTTTCCCCAAGAGAGTGCTAAACCCTTCAATCGTCGTCGTTGCTGGTCGTCGCTTCTGGTCGTCGCTCGTCGCTCGTCGCTCGTCGCCGTTTCAGATTTTGGGGGAATAGGTTGGAACTGCTGAAAGAGAGAATGAAGAATCGGCTTCGATCGTTGGTGGTCTTCGATGATGGTCGCACGAATGGGTTGGTGGTCTTCGATGATCGTTGGTGGTCTTCGATGATCGTTGGTGGTCTGGAGGTTTCTGGAGTTGAAGTTGAAGAGGTTTCTGGAGGTGAAGTTGAAACGTCGCGCGAAGGAGTTGTGATTCAATTTTGGTTTCGGTTGATGTCGTTTTGGTTCAGTTTTGGTTTGATGTCGTTTTTCAGTTTTTGTTTAAAACTAAATACTGAAAATGGCATATGTTGTAATTTTCATATTTTGTAATGGTATTTTTGTTACATTTTGGTTTTTTTCCTTTTGCTAATTATACTAAATTGTATTTCCTTCTACTAAATTAGTAAACTATATTATGCTTTAAAACTAAAGCTCCCTTGTTTTTTTGGGGGCAGAGTCGCTGGAAAATTTTATTAGGTCTATGAGAACCTAAACATCAAAAATATCATAACCATATTGAACACTGAACTTTCAAAAATGACATTTGGTGCCACTTTTTGTAAAGAATATGATGTGAAATAACTAAGAGGCCACTTTATTCTAAAATGGAATTATTAAGAATATGATAGTGGGGTAAGCCCATATAAGTCTATTAATTTGTTGGTGTCCCTTAAATGACATCGTAGGCACAACATTTTTCCCAAAAAGAAGGAAAAAAAATAGATGTTTACAAATCTAATTATTCAAGGTGTGAGTCATGAAATTCGAGTTGGAAAATTCAAAAATATATATGGTAATACTAATAGCATTCAATAGCCTCTTAATAGATTTGGAATGCTAAAGTAAGTGAGCCACATCAACATAACTCTCTTCAACGAATTTGTCAAACTCAGTCACCAAAGCTGCAACCCCTTTCTCTCTCTTCAAAATTGATAAGTTGATCTTAACTCTTCAAAACATTTAATTATGTTTTGGAAGAACAAAAACTACATTGAAAATGCTAAAAACCTACACTGCATTAATTGAATTGAAGAGTCTGTTGGGCACAAATTATTAAAGTAGCAAACAAACATTTTCAAATTTTCACATGGGTCAACTGTAACATCCCACATCGACCAACGAAGAGGGGGTGATGTGCCTTATATGTACATACCCGTCTCCATCTAGCACGAGGCCTTTTGGGAGCTCACTGGGTTCGGAGTCGAGGGAACTCCGAAGTTAAACAAGTTGGGGGTAGAGCAATCCTAGGATAGGTGACTCCCCTTATGTGTACATGCCCTTCCATCTAGCACAAGGCCTTTGGGAAGCTCATTGGCATCAGAGTCGGGGGAACTCCGAAGTTAAGCGAGTTAGGGGTAGAGCAATCCTAGGATAGGTGACTCATTGGGAAGTTGCTCGTGAGTTCCCAAAAACAAAACCGTGAGGGCATGAGTGTGACATCAACAAACTTCAATTTAAAAAGTTTGGTTTGCTACTACTAGATGCTCACAATTTCCCCTATGAAGTATATCAAGTATAGACAATGTTAATTTGTGCTCAATTTTCTCCTAAAAACTATACAAAACTCCCCATTAGCATATTCATATCATCCTTGATGCAGTCCACTTGATCATTTCACGTCATATTCTTTATGAAAAAAAAGTGGCCCTTAATGTCATTTTTGAAAGTCCAATGTTCAATATTGTTCACTTTGAGTAATTTTTGCAAGGGTCATCCTTGAATTATGCCCTAAAAAATGAATAATTTAGATCATGAGATGACGTTTTGGAGTAAGCCCATATAAGTGGTTAGTATTGTAGTAACTTATTAACTGGTTAGTGTATGCAATATAGCAAAAGATTGGTTAAATTTTCGAATAACCCAAAATTGTCCTCATTTAAGAAAATTTTTCAAAACAAATGGGATAAATACATCAAATGTGAATAGTCCAAACAATGAAATCCATTTCATATCTAATAGAAGTTCTCAATAGACAAGGATAATAAAATACGTAAATACATGCTAGGCTCTCTACACACGTTTCTGTGCCTGCGAGTTGTTTTATTTAGAAAAATTTTAAAATTATTTTAGAATTAAAAAAGATAATGCGTAGTTGTATTCCATAAAATTAGGATAAATTATCTGATTTTTCTTTTATTTTTTAATTTTTTAATTTTTTTTAATGATTTCTTATGAGTTCTTGATACTCGAAGAAGTGTTAAATTGTTGAATTTATCCTATCATGCTACTTGAATATAGAGATTAAAAATAACTTGTTTATTCATGCCGAACCGATGATTATTCATGATGAAAAAGTGTGAATTTACCATATTATCTTCATTTAATTAATAATTTCAATTCTTAATGTTTGTATTAACCAAGGGCATTTTCTGGTTTTTTGAATGTTTTACCATTTTCTCCATTTTGTTATATATATATATATATATATATATATATACAAGCCTCTCCGCACACGCTTCGACGCCTGCGAGATGTTTTTTTTAATATATTTGTATTATTATTATTTTTATAATTTTAAATTTATTTTGGAATTAAAAAAGATAATGGGTAGTTGTGTTTCATAAAAATAGGATCCATTATTTTTTATTTTTTTATTTTTTTTTAAATATGAAAAAGTGTGAATATATATATATATATATGTATATAAAGTAAAAGATAGAGAATGGTGAAACATTCAAAATACCATAAAATGTCATTGGTTAATTCAAACATTCAGAATTAAAATTATTAATTAAATGAGGATAATGTTGTAAATTCATATTTTTTTTATATTTAAAAAAATTAAAATTAAAAACAAAATCAAATAATATATATTCTACTTTTATGAAACATAACTACCCATATTATATTTTCTTAATTCTAAAATTAAAATAAAAATAAAAAAGAAAACCAATTGACACATGCATGAGTGTGTGCCAAGGGGCTAGTTTACCATATTATTCTCATTTAATTAATAATTTCAATTCTTAATATTTGTATTAACTAAGGGCATTTTCTAGTATTTTGAATGTTTCACAATTCTCTGCCGTGCTTTCTATATATAGATTAGCTAATAGCTAGTAAATCAAAAGACAGAGAATGGTGAAACATTCAAAATACTAGAAAATGTTTTTGGTTAATTCAAACATTAAGAATTAAAATTATTCATTAAATGAGGATAATATGGTAAATTCACATTTTTTTTCATATTAAAAAAAATAAAAATAAAAATAAACTCCGATAATAGGTCGTACTTTTATGGAACATAACTATCCATATTATATTTTCTTAATTCTAAAAATAAAAAAATAAAAAGAAAACCAAAGCTAGCATATATAAAGTTAAAATTGCCACTCCGGAGCTTACTCACTACCGCAGTATATAGAGTATAGAGTTTGAGCGAAATCCCCAGTCACAGAGCAAAGAAGTGCAGAGAGAAATGGAGACGAAGCCAAGTGAGATCAGCAGCTCAAAGATGTTTGGAGGGTACAACAAGAGGTACAAGCATTTCAGTCCTACTCTGGGCTGCTCCATGACCTTCCACATCTATTTCCCTCCTTCTACTTCTACTTCTCCTTCCCACCGATTCCCTGTAAGTCCTCTCTCTCTCTCTCTCTCTCTCTCTCTCTCTCTCTCTCTCTCTCTCTCTCTCATACCCATTTCCAACTTCTTTTAAATTTCGTGTCCAATTAAATTTATTATCTGGGTTTTTATCTGATTTTGACACCCTAGGGTTATGTGGGTGGAATCTATTGTATTTGTGAATATTGGGTTATGATTGATGAAGGTTTTGCTCTTTTGGTATCTAGCTTATTAAGGTTCTATTCTTGATGCATATGTTCTGCAATATTTTCTTGATGGAATGAACAAGCACTGGCACACACCCAATTGATCAAAATAGGAATTTAGTTTCCCAAATGGTTAATTCTATATTTTTTTAAAATTAAAAATGGATTTTAACTTTTGTAGAATTTTGAATTTAGTCTCCCCGAGTCTTGATAGGACAAATAATTTATCAAATTCAGAAAAACTATAATTAGTTCTCTCCTCTGGTACTTACATGCACCAGTATAGTTGCTAACTTAGTCATCTCCTAGTACTATTATTGACAAGGAATTTAAAGGTAGTGATGCGAATTATCCAAATGTATAATTAACTAAAGAGAAAATTGTGCATGGATGGGGAAAAAGAAGCTTTCTCATTTCTTTTTCCAACCAATTATTTCTGCATCACTGGCTAAAACGCTGTTAATTCAATAGTCATAGGGGCACTAACTTATATCCCATTTTTTTAAAAACCATCTGCTGTGGAAACATTTCATTTGTTTATATTGGGCCCATTTTGGACCTGATTTAGTTACAACCAGTACGCTTCCATGCTATGTGCCACATCAGTCGGTATTAAAAAGTTGGGGATAATAATTGGTGCGTGTAATACTACTTGATTAATTTCATATAATCATTTTCCTTGGGCATTGTTTGGTTAGTATAAACTACTTTTCCATGCTTCCTGTAGTAGTTGACTGTTATTTACCAAATTTGTTTCCTGGTATGCTGCTGTAAAATTTTTTGTATTATAATGTGCCATAACCAAATTTACTAACTTTTTGTTTTCATGGATGATCAGGTACTTTACTGGCTCTCTGGCCTTGCCTGCACAGATGAGAATTTTATAATTAAGTCAGGAGCTCAACGTGTTGCCTCAAGTGAGGGTGTTGCTTTGATTGCACCTGATACATCTCCAAGTAAGTCAGAAGCCCCTATTCAATCAATTTCAAGGTCATAATGGTAGTTGTAGATGCCAGTTTTAATTGCATCTTTTGCAAGAGATATATTTATTTCTGTAGGTTGCCCTTTGTTTGGCTATATTCCAGGGAAGTAGGACAGATGTTAGTTGGCAACCTTTCAAAAGACCTGAGGGGCGACCAGAGTGGCCAAATGACTGTTTGAATCATATAATCAAATTTTTAGAATGTGGTCATAATCAAGTGATTTGATATAATTACTATGCCATTTTGCAATTCTAAGCAGTTAACTTCCAAATAACTTAATTTGTTAGCTTATAATATACATGGACTGCAGCTCTAAATTTCAGGGTTCTCTTTGTTGCTAGCTTTCCTTGGATAATAATGATAAAAAATAAAAAATAAAACTTAAAAATTGTTATACATAAGTTTTCCAGTTTCTAACCTAAACTTGTCCAAGAATATTTAACCTTAAGTTGTGTCTGTATTTGGGCTGTGCCTTGTTCCACGTTGTATGTCTAAACCACTACCCAAAAACCCTCCATCATTGTCTAATACAAACACACAAAAAAATAAAAAAAATGAAGTAAAGGATGTCAGCTAGTGTCACCACCAGAAAGACTGAACGGTCTTTGGAATTTGTTTGAATTTCTTCTTTGCTTGAAAATTACAAGGACTTAAATTAAAACTATCATGTTGCACTACTCATCAATTTTCGAATTGAGATTTCAATGAGAAACAACCACTCCTCCTAAGGGAGGGAGGTAAAAGGAAATAGAGAAATTATAAACTAGTGAATACAATGATAAATTAGGTAGAAATACATGAACAATCAAACAAGGCGTTTTGCATGCAAGACCCAACTTTCTATAATTATCGAACAATAGGTTCTATAAATGATTAATCTTGAGTGTGACTCAATTGATTTCATCCCACGGCGCTACTTTTGTGATTTATTTTTTATTTTATTTTTATAATATTCTAGTTGTCTTATTGTTTAGCCAAGAAAAAAAAATTGGGGATGAAGAGTATGTGTAAATTTAGGAAATTGGAATGAGGAGTCACGAATACATTTATGGAAAACCCTTGTACCCATTTATTTACTGTGAGTAGCCAAGCCTCATTTCTTCTAGTTATATGGTTACTTTTACTTCTCTTATGATAAGCTGTTGCTTCGTTAAAAGCCACCATATATCTTTTGTTATTATGTCCGTACTGTACTAATTATTTCTTCATCTAAATTCTCTTAATAGGAGGCTTATCTATAGAAGGAGAGGCGGAGAGCTGGGATTTTGGTGTAGGTATGCAACGCTGGACTGTTGTATTTCAATCTGTGAAGTAGTAATTAGAAAATTGTTTCACGCCCTGTGGAATTTGTGAATCCTACCAATTTGCTCAAGATGGATAGCCCATATCTTGCAATTGTATTTTAAATTAAGTTGTTTTTTATTTTGAATGGTTGACAATGGAGTCACCACTTGTTTTAAATTTTAAAAAGGGGAACTAAAATGGTCAATAATATCTTAAACTTGGAGAGAGAGTAACCATGAATCCCTAGATGACTCAGATTATGACATGGGATGTGTTAGATGCTGAGTGATTCTGGTAGCAAGAAGGAAAAAAGAAACCCAGTCCCAATGGTATCAGTTTCAGTAATTACAGATTTCATCTAGGCTATCTTCTTTGGACTGACACCCTATTATTATATTCAATAATAATAGTTTAGTGATGGAATTTATAAATTTATGTTTGTTTGAAGGACCTGGGGTTTCATTCCAGCAAATTTTCTGATTTCTTCAGAATTTCCAAATGAAAGTTTTGTTACTTTCTTTTTTTAGTGGAGGGTGAATGATTAATTAGTGATTACCTATCCGTTGACATGTTACTACTTATATTTCATCAAGCAATTTATTGCATGCAAACACCTTTCGGTTAGCAAGAAGGACAAGCTTTGCTTGGTATTGCGTGAGTACTTATAGGTGTAAAGAGCCTTCACTGAATTTTATGTGCTTGTGTGTGCGTGCGTTTTTCAAACAGGTGCTGGTTTTTATCTCAATGCTACTCAAGAGAAATGGAAGAACTGGCGTATGTATGATTATGTTGTCAAGGAGTTGCCGAAAATTCTGAATGAAAATTTTCCACAGCTTGATACATCGCGAGCTTCTATATCTGGTCATTCTATGGGTGGGCACGGTGCTTTGACAATCTACCTGAAAAACCTGGACAAGTATAAGGTAACAGATCTAACATTTCACCGGAAGTTGATTTTTCTTTTTTCTTTTTATTTAAAAGCATTGGAAAGTTTGGTTCTTCTGTAGAAGTGCCTTAGATGTAGGGAACTTTATAAAAAATTTGGAACAGATCTCCTTGTCGTTATAGAAGAAATTTATATTGTTTTTCACTCCCTTTCCAGTCAGTATCTGCGTTTGCACCCATTGTGAATCCAACAAACTGTCCCTGGGGCCAGAAAGCTTTCTCAAATTATCTAGGAGGCAATAAAACTGATTGGGAGGTAAATTGAGAAATCTAATCATTCAATTCTTAGTTATAATGTTCTGCTTCCTAGTTTTAACAAATTGAATGAAAAAATGCAGGAATATGATGCCACTTGCCTGATTAAGAAATTTACTGATGTTTCAGCAACCATTTTGATTGATCAGGTAAGATTTGATGTCATCTAATGTTCACTGTCGTTATTCTTCTTGTTATGACAATTGTTAATTTTGGTTGTTTACAACTGTTTCTAAAACCTCAAGTTCTTACTTGTTAGGCTGTGAACCAACTATTTAATATTTTGATCATCGCAACATAGTCGCAGGAATTTATGCTTTTAGGTGGCTGATTCTTGTTATTAGAGTTGTTGCATAGAATAGCCCATGAGGCTACGCCAGGTGATAAGGGGGTGACAAAAGGGTTAAAATTAGGATAAGTCATGTAATCATTCCCATTAAAATAATAATAATAATAATAATAATAATAATAATAATAATAATAATAAACGAAAAGAGTTGGATAGAATATATGACCTAGTGATGGTGAACGCAAGAAGAAATTCTTACTAATCGTAGGCATAGGTGCAAGGCTCAAATTTGTCTAGTTTATCTATTTCAACTTGAAGCTTTAATTATTTTTCTAACTGATAAGGAGTATTATTGTAGGCATAGGTGCAAGGTCATGAATCAAAAGTTCAATTATTGTTTTAATTGAATTATTTTGGGATTACCTATGTAAGTGGGCTTATTGTTATGGCTTTCAAATCTTTGTCATATTGATTGATAATACTAGCCTTGAAATTTCCCTTTGACTCTTTTTATTTCTTCTGTTTTTCTTCTCGGTTCTGCATCACCTTGCTATTTCATAATACATCTTGGGGTAACATATTTTGTCATTGTGTATGATTATCATTAGCACTCAAAAATTACGTTTCAGGTAGGCTAGGATGCATTGATATTTCATATTTTGGCTATAGAAACCCCCTGCCCCTTTTCACCCAAAGAAAAGAGAAGAAAAGAGATATAGTGGCTAAGGAATACACACACGGATATATGAAATAAACCCCCTGACCATTACCTGAATTAGGAATAATTTATGGAATTTTGACCAAGGAACACATTGGCAAAGGAATACAGGATAAAAAAATTTCGGAATTGAGCTGAACCCAAGAACTATGGTGTGAAAACTCTTCCTGAGCAATCAAGGTCTTTTGTGAACCTTAGCAGATAAAGGAACAAGATTTGAGTTTCTTATCCTCCTTCAAACAAAAAAAAAAAAAAAAAAAAAAAAAAAAAAAAAAAAAATTTGTTCTTTATTTGCAGTAAGTAGAAAAGGTTGTCACCTCTGCACTACAAAAATGTGATTTTAGATTTACAATAGAACTGCATGTTACTCTTTTAATAATCCCCTTCAAGCAGGGATGCTGAATGAATCTTAGTCCAGTATTCCAATTGATGAATATAGGTTTTATTTCTTAAAATGTATAACTTATTATCTCAATACTAATGGTTTTTGTGCAGGGGGGAGATGATAAATTCTTGCATGATCAGTTGTTGCCACACAAGTTTGAAGAGGCATGCAGGAGTGCTAAAGTTCCACTCCTTTTGCGGTTGCAGCCCGGTTATGATCATTCGTACTTTTTCATTTCCACCTTCATAGATGATCACATCCGTCACCATGCTCAAGCTCTTAATCTACCATGAATGATCTTGTGCTCGCTGTGAATCCAGAACCGTAAAATTTTTAATGTACTTTGTCCGAACTTTGGATCATATATGCTTTTCCCATGTGCTCCCTCAATCTGGTTTTTCTTTGACTGAGTAAACATGTTGATCTTCGGAATGTATATAAATAAAATTCCATGATATGATATGATTGGTGTGTGGAAGTTCTGAGTGTCCGTTCTATTAACTATTATTTCACTACACTCTGTACATTATATTAGCTCCCAAAAAGTTGATAAATTGCATCCCAATACTCTATGAATCGCCTCAACTTGATGGTGAGATCTATCTCCAGAAACAAACCTAAAGATCCATCTTCCTTGAGCCCTCAATGCCCCTCCGCCCTCGCCTTTTTTCTGACTTCTCCCCTTGGCTCCTTTTACTTTCAAAGCTATCCTACGTAAATATTCCAAGACTTGATGAACTGCCTCCATTTGATGGTGTATCTATCCCCAGAAACAAACCCATAAATCATTCTTCAGCCTCACCACCCTCTGTCAGAAGGCCAGAGTGGCTACAAGCAGATAATAAGCTTAACAAGGTGACTGATAAGCTCAAATCCCCCGACTCGCGGGAATAGCTACTCAAGAGTTTTGTATCCAAACCCGAGCCCGAATCCAATAGGATACACCCCTCGTACGTGCTTTCTCAAAGCTCAAACCAGTGAAGATCACTCTCACACCCAAGAGAAAATATATCCAAAAACAGCCACATGCCCAAAAGAAGCCACAATAATACCCGGTCAAAAAAAGAGGTCACCCAGGTTGTCTTCTTCCCATCATTGCAAATAATGAGTCCCTCCACTATGAGGGATTCCAATTTCCAAGCCACCGAAAGCAACAGAGCAGCACATGGCTGGCACGTGAAGATGAAGAATTGTGATGATGCTTTAGCTACTTTCCGTCTCTATAAATGGAGAGCTGAGCAAGAGAAGAAGGGAACACCAAGCCTTAGGGCAAAGAGAGCTAGGATAGAGAGGGAGAACCAAGAGCTATTCTGGCTCTCTTTTAGTTGTTCTCATTTCTTTTTATGTATTTCAATTTTTTGGTTTTGATTTTAGTTAGTATGTCTAGCTAAATTCTTTGACTAAGGTTATTTTGCTCAATGTTTATAGGTTAATTTTCTTTTCACCGCTTCTATAATGTATTTGTGGTAGTTAAGAATTTGGGTTAACCTAGTAATGCATCATTGATTTTGTATTTTTAGCATACAAATTCCTTCGATCACTTGTGATTCAAAGAATCTTTTTCACATAGGATGCTTAGAAAACTTTGATCCTTTGTAGTTCAATAATTTTATTTACATGCAATGCTTAGAATTTGTACTTATGAAGGGAATGGGAATTACATGAAGTTTTATTAAATTGCATGCTTAATTGATATCCATGAAAATTGATAGGTAAATAATTAGAGTTATATGGAATAATATTGATTCTAATACCTTGGTTATTTTCTCAATAATTTCATCTCTATTTTATTTTATTGTCATTTTCATTTTTTAATGCTTAATGCAAAGGTCCTTGAAACGGCGTCAAAAACTTGATTATCCCCACTTGTGAGTTTATAAATAATCTTCGGCAACGGCGTCAAAAACTTATAAGAGTTTATAGTGTGATTTAAATTTGTAATCCCGCATGAGAGTTTATACATTTAAAACACACTATTTGGTGACAAGAAGTTTTTGGCGCGTTGCTGGGGATTATTTTGTAAACTCCTAGGTCGCTGTCAACGCCAAAAACTTGATTATCCCAAAAAAGGTGGTTCGACTCTAATGGCGGAAGCGGAGGACGATCATAAGATTGTGATGGAGTCGGATTCTCGTGCTCTGGTGGATGGTCTAAAAGGCAATTTGGGTAACAGGGTGTGGACAGTTCTTCCAATTATCAATGAGATTAGGAGACTTCTCATTTTGAATCGGTGAAATGGAGGTAGGTTCCTCGCAATCTGAACCGTGCAGCGCATGAAGCTGCAAGGATTGGTGTTCGAGCAGCAGGTGTGGATCACTGGCCCAGTTGGCCTCCTTTGTCTCTTGTTTGAGTTTTACAATTTGACGGGCTTCCTTGCCCTCCTGTTATGTAATTTGCTTTTGTGGGAGAGTTACTTGTTACTCCACTAAGCTGTGCTCTGGTTTGGTGTTTTGTAATCTTCATGTTCTTGTTCCTTCTCTTATCATTAGATCTGTCAACAGCGTATCCTTCTCGTATAGATGACTTGGGTCCTATCCGGGCGCTTGGACCCGTATTTGACCTTTGAGTATGAATAATATCCAAGGGAAGATCTGCACACTTTGAACGATATCAGAATAAAGGCGGACTGTGGCTGATCCCAGTCTAACCCTCTTCAATGGTTAAGTCAGAAACTAACTTGGGCTGAAGAGAGGATGTATGTAGGGTTTTTACAATAATAGGATTTATTACATTGTCTAGAGATAGGTGGGGGGGGGGGGGGGGGGGAGTATTATGGAAGAAGAAGAGGTAAGATATTATATGGAAGAGATCTTTATTCCTAATCCCTCCTGAGCTGAGTTTATATTTATTGCTCTGTTTCTAATCATCCTACTTTATAACAGGAACTAGGTGACGCAGTGACATGTGGACCTGGATGGGAGGTGAATTAAATGATCTCTCTCCATTGCCAGCCTGTTTATTCGGAGACACCTGTTTTAAGGATGGGATGGTGTCAGAACCGACCTTTCAGGCTTCAATAAATGCACCTTTTAGTTGGCCATGGTGCCATAGTGGTCGGGTTGGTCCTGTCTACCCGACCATATGTGTAACCCTTGAATAGCCATGCCTCTCCCATGAGGTTTTACTCGTTTGAGACATAGGGTATTCTGTACATGCTCGGCTCGGTATTTGTATGAAGGTGTCAGCATCTCACGTCGTATGGCTCTTTCTGAGGGGCTCGGCTCATAGTGATGGTATGAGCCATCAACAAGATCAAACAGTGTCAAGGCTTCCTGTTTTGTAATCTTCCTGTTGTGTATCAGGTCATATCGAAAATTGCCACCCCTAATAGCCCTCAATCATTTATGTCCATGCCACTATATCTCTGATCAACAACATTCTACTGAAACATACTCTAGCTGTAGATATGCGACCACATCTTATGTACATGTTTACTATGGATATAGCAATGAATTCCTTTTCCTAACTTGAGAGCACCTAGGTTTGCAAATGCATCAACAAGGCTTCCCAGTATCTCAGCCCCGGCAGGGTGCATTTCTCCGAATAATCCAACATCCTCGTTGCACCCAAGTACCCAGTTTCCCAATTCCCCGCACTTGGCATACAAGTCCGACAAAGATGCTTGGGAAAGAATCCCATGTTTGGTTTGGTTAATGCTGATATAACCAACGTCAATGTCTGTTGGGTGCTAGTTCATCCTGCATTTCATGAAACAAATCTCTTACTTTTGCAACATCCCCTCTCGAAGAAAAAAAAAAATACAAATGTTCCAGGAAACAACATCCCTTCGGTCGAGTTCGCCGGAAAAATCTTCGACTTGGTCAAGGGTACCTTACCTAATTTAGTATACATTCTGAAGATTGAGTACTTCACAGACCCATCATTAGTAAAGTAAACCACCGAACCAAATGAAGGTCCAGGCATGAATGCAGCACCAAACCTGAAGAAATTGAAAGAGGGAGCGCTTGGTTGTGGTAGGAAGCTTCGAGGGAGGAGAGAAGAAGTGGACACGTTGAAAAACATGGAAATCGGATAAAATCTTGAAAGCTAAGGACAAGGACTTGTCAATGAAAATGTGCAATTCTTTTATGATCTCAGTCTGGTCTAAATTCCAAACAAATAAGCCAAAGAATCTAATTGTCCCACATCGAATAAATAAAGAATACTGCAACGGTTTATATTGCTGAACATGGGATCACAGAACACGACCTTACTTGGACAGGATCTGTTCTATAGGATCGTACCTCTGTATCCTTGATTTCTAAGGAGACAGGAATCCCAACCTGGTGGATGAATCATGACCGTGTGATCAGAGCGTGATTAACAGCTTCTGGTGGTTCCTTGGAATCATCAAGCGGTAGAGGATCGTTCTCAGCTGGGTGACCGGTCTGGGGTGGTCGCACGGTTGTCTGACAGGTTTCCCTCCTTTTTGTCTTTTTGGTCCTTTGTTTTTTTTTTCCACCAAAAGGCATTAAAGAAAAAAAAATATATATATATATATATAAATATATATATATATATATATATATATATATGAATCGTTGGCGTAAAGTAAGCACTTCAACGATTCTGACGATTGAGTACTCCATCATTTGCAAGGCATTAAAGAAAAAAAATATATATGAATTCGCCAATTAAGCACTTCAACGATTTACTTACACCAGGTTTGGAATTGCTTCTGACTCCCCCAAGTGACTTTGATTTTAATGAAAATTTCAATGTTTTTCTAATAAAAGCGTTTATGAACATCAATGCCTCCTAGAGCACTCCCAAACGAACCCTTCTCGTTATCCAAAAGCAGCGATTTTATTCAATTTACTGATCTTATTGGCCAAAAAATTATTTGGGATAAATACTAAATTACATGAATTTAGATCTGTCTTGCCGAAATCCGACTACAGATCATAACTGCCACATTGGTTGGGTCCATAACACCTTTTACATAAATAATGCTAACCAGGCTGAATTTAAATTTCAAATCCAAGCAGAGACAAACAGATTTGGTGACGCAGAGCTGCAAGATGATTTCATATACAATTCCCCTCAGTCAATGTCCCTTAACCGGAGAGGTTCGGTGATTAAGCCCACGGACGAAATACATCTACCCTTTATACAGCTGAGAGAAGGACCACAAAAAGGAACGAACCTTTATATACCATCCATCTAGTAATTTGATGGCCATTGAACCCTAAACAAATTATGAGTAATATTTACAAACTATCGTACAGCTCTGACTATATATTCTGCAACTCTGGTCCCAATTTCTTCCCAGCCACAATGGGGCCAGTGACAAGAGGACCTCGAAGTGATGCTCATGCTGATCAATCAATTACAATCTTGTCCACTATATTAACAGAAAATGAACTGCCATCGGATTCAGATATCCTGCCCAGTTTCTGCTCGGAAACCAGCAGGATCCAAACTAATGTGGGGGTGGATATTGGGTCTGCTCTGGAACTGGAGGGAGTGTTGCAGTAAATGCCGGCTCAAGATTTTCGTTTACACTCTTCTTTGATCTCTTTGGCCTCTTGGGTTTCACAGCTTGTGGATCAGTATTTTGTAGGGGGTCATCCAACTCATAGCTATCAGATCCGCCCATGCTTTTCGGATTCTTCGGCCTCAGAGTTTGTTTGTCAGATGCAGCTTTTCTCTGTGAACAGATATGACGATATTAATAAGCACAACTCAGAGGAACAAATATAGTGTAGATAGCACTTAGTATTTTGCCAGCTGTTAAGCTAGGTGTAAATGGAACAATGGAGTCCAGACAAGCTCCAGTACCTTTTTATTGTTGGATTTTGATTTTTCCACATCTGGAGAGTCCTCATGTCCAGTACCCTGAGGTGCAGATGCAGGATTTGTTAAATCTTCCAAAGAAGCATCACCTTCTGCGTCTACCCGTATACCCTTTGTTTGTTTCTTCTTTTGTTTATCCTTGGTCTGGCAAAACAATAAGATAATTTAGAGAGATAAAGAGATAGGGATATATATATATATATATATAGAGAGAGAGAGAGAGAGAGAGAGAGAGAGAGAGAGAGAGAGAGAGAGAGAGAGAGAAAGAGTATTTGGAAGAAGGAATTGAGCTAATATCTGAAATAAATAAAAGATTGTACCAACGAAAAATGCATTTAAACTCTATCTTAAATGAGCTAAAAGTTGGAATAAGGAATTGAGCTAATATCTGAAATGAATAAAGGCTTGTACCAAGGAAAATGCACTAAAAACTCTATCTGAAATGAGCTAATATTTGGAAGAAGGAATTGACAGATAAACAACTTAAACTGCCTGCACCTGTAATGGAATTTCTCTTAATTTCTGCTCCAACTGAGCATCATCCAGAAGTAATGATACAACATCCTCAGGAGCCAAAAGATCACCCTGAACATGGCCACCCATCATTACAAGCTGCTGGACAGTATTTTTCTGACTTGCTCTTTGCAGAATCTTCTCTTCAACAGTTTCTTTACAAATTAGTCGGTAGACGGTAACCTACACCATGAGTAGGTGAGAATTAAACAATATAAGAATTTAATACTGAACTAAGCAGAATACATCTCAAGATGCATAAAAGCAAGAAGATAATTCCAAAGCACCATACAAACAAATGGCTGTACTAAAAGAATGGCCAAGCCATTTGGAAGACAGTAGCATTTATTAATTTCTCAAAGAACACAAAACTTAGAAAACACAAAATCTAGGGTTGGATTCAGGAAACAAAAACTCACATCTCTTGTCTGACCCAGACGATGAGCTCTATCCATTGCCTGTAGATCCAGGGTTGGATTCCAATCACTTTCATAAAATATGACAGTATCAGCAGCTGTCAAGTTAATGCCAAGTCCACCAGCTCTTGTACTCAGCAAGAACACAAAAATATCACTCCTGTAAGAACACAATCATCTAAATACGTTAATGAACTAGTATGTAATCATTAGAGTCTACAACACACACAGCTCTTCAAAGCCTTTATAATGAAATTCATACCGTTGCTGGAAGTCTCTGACCATATCTCGCCGATCCATTATGGTGGAGGATCCATCAAGTCTCAGGTATTTATATTTCCTGTAGTTCATGTAGTCCTGCACATTTAGGTTATCAGCACCAGAAGAAAAATCCCCAGAAAAGATAGGTAAACAGTTGGAATACAAGTTGTCCTTTGGTGCAATAAGAGTTTCCAAAATGACAATCTGACCAGCAAATAGCTCAATTAAATAAAGCATTAGTTAAAATACCTAATTAAAGTTTGGCAAAACATCTTACTTCAGTCAATTAACACATAATCACTACAGGGAAACAATATTTACTAAAACTAACCTAAGAAAACTTTTTTCTTAAGCCACAAATAACTACTTGCACATAAAGAACACGACTCACGTGCACTGAGTGACATGATCACACTATTCTCAAAATTACAGTGTCATGATCACATATAGTTAGGTACGGCTGAAATGGGAAAAAAATCAAGTTGAAAACCCAAGGTGAACCCATGACCCTAGAGCAATCAAGAAGGTTTAATAAGAAATGAATCATTACCTCGAGAATATTCAGCATCTTTGTCATTTGTGCAAACAACAGAATACGATGGTTGTCTGCCCTCAAGCGTTTCAACAATATATCAAGGGTCTGAAGTTTCCCAGAATCCTATAGAAAAGATAGATAAGCTCATCTTTCAACACTTGCAATTGAGAAATTTAAAAAAAAATTAGAAAAAAAAATGTGGTCGCTAAAGAATATAAAAGGAAACCAAAAGAGGATAAACAGTCTTACAGTGAGCAATTTTGCAGGGTCAAAGCTTTGCATGGGAGGACAAGACCCAAAAATCCTGTATGTTAACTGAAGAGCAGGACATGAAACAGGCAGCTCAGAATCAATCTCTTGTATTAAATGATGAGGACTCTCAGGTTTCCTGGGTCCATTAAAGTCAGATGTCCGTGCAAACCCAGTGAACAACCTCTTCACCCAAGGGTATTGTTGTTCTTCAACCATTTTGTAAGTAAAGTTTCTGTCTGAGCAATGGGCATTAACCTGTCCACATTATACAATATTTTGATATAAGTTTATCAATATAAAGTGTTAACAAAGACAATAACAATTTTTTCTTTTCCTTTTAGGGTCAAGCTGCACAACTACAATAATTACAACAACAAAAAATAATAATAATAACAAAAATTGAATAACTGAAAACATACTGGGGGAGCTCTAGCTCGTGGTATGAATGTGTATGTTGAATGGAGAAGCCTAGTGTTAGAAAGAAGCCTGTCCCGATGCGAGACAACTAGAGCCTCGAATGGAGCATCACCAGGTCCTGTAGCCAGTTTGTTTTGAAGAACATTAGTTACAGATCGTGAAGGCATCAGCAGCATTCGTGTCACCGCTCTCACTTTTCCACTGTCAAGATAACTACATTCAAAATCATCCTTCATGGTTTCCACCAGTGAGTCCACAGTTCCATCCAAAAATTGCCGACCCCATCTCATAATGGAAAACATTAGTCTCTCCATAAAAGAACCAGTTCCTAGAAATGCAACCTCTGCAGGGGACAGTTCTATCAGATGAGTAAAACCAAACGTTCCACTATTAATGGACAACTCATCCGAGCTATTCTCTTGCAAGAATATTGATCGATGAACATTTTCCGGTGAAAATATGTTAAAGTATTTCTCAAAAGATTCTCTGTAGACACCATGTCGAACTGCTGAGCAAAAAATTTCAGAGCTCTGGAGAATTTCTTGATAGAAAAGTTTGGGGATCTGGAGAAACAAGAAATTCCGTTTAAAAGTTTAGTCAGTAGGTAAGTTACTGGAAACTACAGCACAAAATCAAACAATGGGAAAAGGGACATGCAAGCACAAATGTCTGTGATGGGGCACAGCAGCTAGTTTAATTTATTTCTTCAGGTGAAAAAGTAGATTGGAAATACTCTTATGGAATACACAAGCAATTAATGTTCTAAATAGTATATATCCCAATAGAAGCATGTCATGAATTTCCTCTTTAAATAAGCATTAATAGACATCGACTTCCAAATGCAGGTCCAATATGCATTCCAAATTATTCAAGGGAACATAATTTCTACGAGAATGAGAACATGAATAACATAAGGAAAGTACAAGTGCAGGTCATGTGTTGCACCTGAAAATTGGCATGTAATTAGTGGTGCCATACATGCAAATTGCCATCAAATTATAGAATTTCCATCCAGCCTCCCTCTGTTTAACTCACTCTTTCCTCCATCTCTCACCACCACACCTACTTACCTCCCTCTCTGTCTCCCCTTTCGTTACTGACCAATTAATATGTTGTGTGCAGGGTACGAGCAAAGTGATAATCTCACCATTGCACTACAAAAGACTTATGATTATGCATGAGGGAAAAGGGTGTTAAGAAAGTACCGGGTATGTTATAGGATTTTGACCTCCTGAGTAGTGCACGTCCTCTAACTCCCCAAATGGAGGGGCAAGAAGAGAATTTGGTATCTCACCAAAGTACAGATATGTGCTTCCTTCACTCCTCTCAAATAGCTCAGGATGGTTGCATACCTAACATTGCACAAATGAAACACTTTTTATGGACAATTTTGAGAAAATAAAGAATACAATCAAGAAATCTCATAATAATTGCATCTCACCATATAGACTACAAAAACCTATGTAAGGATAGCCTACCTTTCTCAGCTGAATGACAATATTCATCAAATTCAAAATTTTCTTCTCATTAAGATGCCCACGATTGCTGTCAAACAACTCAGCAAGAGATATTTTGTTCTTGATAGCTTGATAAAAAGCTTGTTGCCGAGAACTCAACTTGCAGTGCACAGTAACCTCAGTTTTCTGGGTCAGCTCAGAAATCACATCTGTTTTAACTCGACGCAGCATGAATGGCTTTAATATGGAATGCTGTAAGGAGAAAAACAGAAGCAGTCAGAAATGTTCCACATCCCATTAGGTATTTCCATTCACAACTAGGAAAGTTTTAACCAGAGAGGTGAAAAAAAATAAGGCTGGGATTATTTATGAGAGTTTTAACCAGCACACATACCCATTAAGTACAGTTGATGGCTACAGCAAGATGGAATAATGAAATAAGAAATGGGATCATATTAGCCTCATGATTTCTCAAACACAGAAGGTTATATTTGGGTCAATATTGTCAAGAAAAACATTACCAAATTTTCTCCACCTAGAATGTTCCATAAAATTCTTGGTTTTTTGGGGTTTCCTAAATTATTTATGGGATTTTCGAATACACCCTGGATGAGGAGCAAGGAAGATGACTTGCCCACATCCAACCAGGAAGCCACTCATCGCCACCATTTCAAAGCCCATTATGTCTGTGCTTCGGGACTGACAACTGCATATAATTGTCCTATATATGCTATTTCCATTCACAAATTACATGTCTTGCTAACAGGAGAAATTTGACAGACCAGAACAGTTCCAAGGATAATCAAATTAGAACTTTATTGGGAACGTTAGACTAGACCAAAGAGCAAGGTAAAATTTATTAATGAATACAATTATCAGAGTCAGGGTACTAACCAATCTGTTAAGCTGGTGCTCGTTCAAAGTACCCCCATGTTCCGCATGGTTTTCAATTCTGTTAATATTTGAAAAATAATTCATTTAATAAGAATACTTTATTAGTTTGTGGGTAGGAATTTCAGATCCAAATGCATACCCTTTTGAAAACCACTCATTGAATTGCTCATGGCTGTCAAATAAGGTTGGCATAATGAAATGTAGTAGAGCCCACAACTCTGCCATATTATTCTGGATAGGTGTACCAGTAAGCAGCAAACGATTTCGACAATTAAAGCTGAGCAGTGTCTTCCATCTTATACTGTCAAATCAAAATATCCAATCATATATGAGTACACATAGGATTTAAGAAATCATAATAAAATACATGCACTCACAATCTAAAAGACTTTGCAAACGTTAGCATTTGTTGTTGAATAGTTCTTAATATTAATGGTTGGGTCTAGGATCAAGGGGAACTAAACCACAATATTATTACAGCTGCAACCCTAACAATAATGTAAAAGTGATTAGTTTGTATGAGACTACTTCCATAAAAGATTCCATGTTGGGACACCTGAAGAGTAAGGACAAGAGTAAGGACACATAGTGTCCACCCTTGCTGGCGCTTATTTGGATGCTTAGAAATAATACACCTTCATTTGCTTAGAAGGTGTGGATCATTTGCTTAGAAGGTGTGGACAATTTTGTCAAGAATTTTACACATGGTTATTATTTTAAAAATTATTTTGATAATATTCCTTCTCAGGTTTCTTAAATTTGTTTCATCTTTATGACACTTGGTATCACTTAACACATTCAATTTACCACAAGAATGGCCCTATCAATGGAGCTAATTCCCATTGTTGATTTTCAAGAGGAAAGTTCATGTTAGTAACCATTTAACACGTATCAAAGACAGGTCAAGAAGACCAAGGAGTAGGAGCATGTCCAAAATCCTTAATAAATAAATATCAAGGAAGATTTAAGTCCAAACCTGTTAGAACTTTTGATTGCTTGGGCTTCATCTAATACCATATACTGCCATTTCACACGTCGAAAATACTTCTCATCGGCCACTAGCAGCTGGTAGCTGGTAATGAGAATATGAAACCCCGCATCCCTGTCAATAAGTTTGAGGACAAAAACAACAACCAAAGTTTATAAAATGGTGGGAAATGAGCCATGGTATTTCTCATATGGACAACTAGCATGCTAAAATATATCAATTTTTTAAACAAAGAAAAAAATTGTTTTTCAGCCGGCGAAGCATTCTTTAGTAGAGTTGAGTTCAACTGCTTGAGCAGTCTCCAGGTGAATCTGCATTTCCTTTTTATTCTTTATTTCACTTTGCTGTTTCTTTTTCATTTTTAATCAACTCTTCTATACTTCCTGTGTATTTGGATTCTGACCACACGCTAAAGTTTTACTTGGTGAAGAAAAGGGAAAGAAAAGGAGCAAGAGAACAGACCAACTCAAGATAAAATGAAAACTTCAGCTACACCCATGGCAAAATGTACTTGATTTGTAGGAGGCCAGTGTACCATCTAAGCTTCTATTTCATAAAGGTCCCTTCTAGATATGATATGGGGTGCATGCACAAACAATCCAATCAATATGCATATTTTTACAAATCTATGAGTTTTGTGCTCCAACAAATCATTTGCTACTAAGGTTGTCCACAATCCAAAAGAATCAGTAAATCCCATATTTTGACAACTTTTCTGCATAAGAGATAACACAATCCCATTTAGTTATAACCAATTTATAAGTTGTATTGTTTTTTCTATTACCTATTTTTCTCTAAAACCTATATTGTTCTCTTTTTTCTCATAATTGTTTTGCTATGTTCACAATTTCTTTTTTTTCAATAGCAACTATGTCTACAAGATAATAGGATTTAAACATGAGAAACTTTTAGCATATAAAACTAAGTTAATATTTTATTTATCAGCACTAATAAGAAGCGTAATCTGGAATTTCCGTCTAAGGCCTCATATTGTTTCAAGTCGGCCCAAACAGCATCTTAAGCACTACGTTACTTCCAAGACTGGCCAATTATCATTGTTGTTCTTGAAATTTTAAAATAACAAGGGCAAAGAAAATTACCTGCGGTAAAGTTTCTTAGCAGTGATCTTTTTCCTAAGTACCGTACGCTCCTGAAGACCACCCCAGTATGGAAGAGTTTTCAAGTCAGGGCAGAAACGACTAATTTCATCAGCCCAATTGTTCAAGACAGAAGCAGGAGCAACAACCAGAAAAGGCCCCCATATATTTTTCTCCTGAATGGGACAAGCAATCCAAGTTACTTCAAAGACAATTATTATGATAACAAACCAAGCCGAACATTACCTCAGCCAAATGAGCCAAAAACGCCATGGCCTGGATAGTCTTTCCTAGTCCCATCTCATCAGCAAGGATGCCATTTAAACCCTGATAGACAGCAAAAATACCTTCTAAATAATCAATCAAGAGAAAATAAATCCAGGAGAGTTAAATTGTGCGTGCACATATCATGTGTATCCATTTGGGTACAGAGTACAGACTAACAACCTGCTCATAACAATTAACCAGCCACTGGAGGCCTTTTAGCTGATATTCTTTAAGGGATCCTTTAAACAACTCCGGTGTCTGAACTGTTGAGGTTACAGGCATGGTGGAACTGCATATATAATAATAGAAACTTTATCAATTTGACTGGAAAAAGCTTTGCCTCCAATTTCCTGATACACTCCAGAAGAAAGACAAGATCAAAAATAAGAAAGGAAAGAGTGACTGACGGGTTATGTAGATCTATGCTACTAGCTCCAGCAACCTCCTGTGCTGCCTCAGGTTCAGCATCTTCACATAGTCTCATATACTCACTATCAAATTTACTAGTTAAGTTTTTCTGCTTTAAAACTGCATCTTGAGCAGCTTTAAAAGCCTCCTTTTTCAGTTCAGCATCCTCAGGGTCTTCTTCCTCAATAACTTCATCATCTGAGGAGCTCAGAGATGCTTCTTTGTCGTTTTGTTTTTCATCTCCGACAGCCAGATCTTCAGATGGCTGTGAACTTGACTTGTTCTGCATAAAGTGACTGTAAAGTTCAGTTTGCTGTATAAGAAAATTGAGCCTTTGCTGCTGTCTCTTTGCTTCTCGAAGCTCCTGTTCGCGCCTCAAAGCTTCAGCTGCTTCTTTCTCCTCTTTCTTCCTCACTTCCGCCTGCAACAGTATCAATATTTAAAAAAATTAATAAAATTTGATGGAATTTTTGTCAAAAGATAAAAATAAAAAAAATAAAAAAATGATCTTCAAATGACAATCTCTCCAAGAAAGACTCTCAAGATCCATGATTTGACCAAACATTTATGGAACTTTGGACATGATTATAAATTTCATGTCAACTACAAATCACTAAAGATGACTAAATTTAAGACCAATAGGATGAAAAGGCATTTCATAGAGGAGAAGGGAAGGATACCATCTCTTTATCTATTCTCTTCCAAAATAGTAGCATGTCTCTGGCTAGTTTCCTTGTACGAATTGCAGCACCCCTCATCAATTTAAGTGATCTACTCACCTTCATTTTCACCTATAAAAAATCCATAGCTTCAGTATAAGTACTACAAATGCCAGGTTAATAAAATCAACCATCACCAAGTTTGAATATCAAAATCCACATCTGACATGCAGTACAACAGAAAGAAGTAGAACACTACATACGCCATACACATCATAAGTACCTCTCTTTGACAGTTCTCTGAGACCCTCTTAGCGTCAATCAGTTGTTTCCGGTGAAAAGTTGTAAAAATCCTATGATGCTTTGGCATGTCTCTTCTTACTATGTTTACCCAAACTTTTCCAATCTTTTCCATTTCCTCCCTCTCAATCACAGAAGGGTCTTTCTTCAACTTTTGCTTCTTGGGTAGGCTTCGTTCAATGATCTGCAGAACAACCATGAGTGAACAACCAACCCCAAATACCACATAAAAAGGGAGACACACACCCCCGCCCTACCACCCACAAAAAAAAAAAAAAAAAAAAAAAAAAAAAAAATACCCAAAAAAAATTAAGGAAAAACAAAAAAACACAAAAATGTGTCTCTCTTTCTCCCAAACTTTCACATAGTAGACCTGTAAGACACCACCTTCAGACAAAATAGACCTCTTTATATTTCCAGCTGCCCCCTCTGGGATAGAAGAATTTAACCCAATATCAGAGACTTTGAGACTGAACTTTTGAGCTGAGTTTGATGTGGACGATGCCTTTATTCTATCCTGAAGGGATTCATATTGGGGCTGAGGCTCCCCCATCCCTGCCCGGTTTTTAGGCCCCAACCTTTTGTCACTAGCCATCATTTCTGCCAAGGATCCCAAGTCCAATGTACCTTTCAAGTAAACTTCCTCCACCCGAAAATCCGAAAAGCTAGGCAAGTGCAAAGATGTCACCAGCTTATCATAAATTGGTGGAATCTTGTAAGTGATACCATCTCCTATATCCAGATAAGGAGGTTCATATGTTATTCTGCATGAAATACAGAGAAGGAAATATAATCAAATAAATGCTTAGGTTGAAAATAGCCCATGATCAAAAGGAAATATAATCAAATAAATGCTTAGGTTGAAAATAGCCATGATCAAAAGGAAATCAGAGGTGAAAGCAAACCTATTGGTGCCACTTTGTGGTGCAAAATCTGCGTCATGGTGGTTCCCTGGCTTCTGAGTATTAGAATCATTGAGCCACTCTGATGTGGTTTCCATATCATAAAACCCTCCTCGTTGCTCATTGGCCAGTTTCCTGGATTTTAAACCCTTATTTCCCTTTGGAACTGGAATCCCCATCTGTGTTGGTGCAGGACTTGACGAGGAATCCTTGAACCTCCTTTTATACTTCTGAATGTGTTCTCCAAGCATTGATCGATACCTTTCTTCTGTAATGTGTGTCCGGTAATAACTGTCCTCGTCCTCGTAGTCACTATTTTGAGATCGCCTTCTTTTCTTCACTGAATTCAATTCTCTGTCAGGCATTAGCCCATTACCAGTGGCTCCACCTACACATGCAACCAGCCACAAAGCACAAACAATGTGCATCTATAAGACCACAAATCCCTTGCCCAAGTTTTCCTTCCATCCAACACCTATATCTAAATGTATAACATATATGCATAGAGATACTCTAGTAGCATGTAGTGTAGAAGTACATTTACAAGAAAGAGAAGAAAAAAAATCAAATTGGTCATACTAAGCTCTTGTCGAAATATTAAGACAAATTGCCTACCTTGGCTACCTCTGCTCTCATCCTGACTACTATTGCCATAATAATCAAAATCGTCATCTGGTTGTGGAACTTGAAAGTTCATCAAAGACTACAACACAACAATAAAGAAAATAAAGAAAAAATAAAAAATCACAATCAAATTCTCAATCTCAATATGCAAGAAAATACACTTCAGTTCAGAAACATTCAAAGTTCCCAATTCAAACATATGAATTACAAACATAAAGCACAAAACTTGTCAAATCAGAGCAAACCAAAAAGGGCTAAGCAAGGCAACAATTTGAGAAAACAAAGACATACCTCAAGATTGAAGAGGTTAGAGTATGAGAGAGAATCCTTGGATTGCCTCCTGTGGTCCATGTGCGTTTGGGTCGAACAGAATGTGAAGCTACCCTTAGAATATCATAAAACCCTAGTTCTCCGAAGCGCATGAAGAATTGGGCGAAAAGAAAGCGAGAAAGCGAGAGAGGAAGCGAATGAGAATTTAGCCCTAACCCTAGAGAAGCTGTGGTGATAACGAGAGGCTGCGTAGGATAAGGCGGGTAGAGAGAGAAAGGGAAGGTCTCGTAGTAGTCACAGACAGTGCAGGAAGCATCGGGAGGCGCTAACCTGCGCTGGCCGGGTGACATTTGTTAGCGTGCGCACCCCTTTGGGGCACTTTTTAAAATTTTCCTATTTTTTCTCTAATTTTTTTTGTATGGAATTGGTCTGTTTTTCGGGTTTTGCTGTCTCTGGATTAATCGGCGTTTTGGGAGAGGGTGCTGGCCTGTTGCGGTTGTCTACGGCTGCTGTAGGATAGGAGCTCTGCTTGAAGAACCACGTGGCAAATTTCTGCTCGACTAATATTATTTTGGACCTTTATTTAAAAAGAAATTTACATTTTGGACGTTTAGCTGTGGAGATTATGAATTTTTAGCATGAGCACTATTTGAGTAATGTGCTGGCTTACATTTAGTACCCGTTTGATATTGATTATTTAGAGGAAAATCATTTTCTTTGAAAGTAATGTGTGTGTCAGCGTATTTGGTAAAAAGAGTAGAACGTCATTATTTGAGAAATTCGATGTCAACGACAGCATTTTGAAAAAGCATGAGCGGAGGTGATTTTGGTTTTCACTTTCCCGATAATCAGGTTGGAACAGTCATGACATTAATGAATTTTTGCAAACTACCCAACATAGCCTATTTCTTTTAAAATGCCCTCTTTTATATTTTCTATTCCACATGATGTGATTCTTTCATTTCTTTTGGCCATCCAATAGCTTGGCAATGCTAGATTGATTGCATAAAGTCCCAAAGTCCAATATTTGTTTTCAGACCAAAAAATAAAGTCTAATTATTTGTTCTATTAAAAATTTAAAATTATGGAAATTTTCTTACACTATTAAAAAATAGTGTGGAATTTTAGTGCAGTGAAAATAGTTTTCCACACATTATTTATTTTATGATTAAAATAATTTTTAGGGTGTCATGGTTAAAAAAACATATTTAACACAAGAATTACATAAGTGAAAGTAAATTTTTTTTTTTTAACCAAACACTTGAATAGAAAAGTCATTTCAACATAATGTCATTTTTAGTCATTATACACAACTCACAGCACTTTTACACAAACATTTGCCAAATACTGAGAAACTGATTATTGTACCAAAATCACTTTTAACAAAAAGATTACCAAAAGCCAAACTACTTTATGTAATAGCTGATATCTATCACAGTAAATCTGACAGTGGTTATTTCACAGCACAACAATACCAAACTGGCCCTTAATGATTTAAATTTTTTGGCATCTTAAAAGACGGTTTAGAAGTCGAATCCATTTGAATCCTTGACCCATTTTAAGAAGTAATACCTAGTTTCATTTTGGCTTAATTATTTATTATTTTTTTGGCCAATTGTTGGGAGGGGGAGCGGGGATATCAGTTAAATTGGTTCTCTACAAATTTTTGCCAATATCAAGCGTCGAACCTGGGTGCCAATGTGGGGGGAAGGGGGGAAAATTGCAGCCAAACCACTGCAGCTGAACCCCACTGGCTTGGCTTAATTATTTATGAGTGTTGCTATTTTCACCCTCTTATCCTATTTTCTCACCCATCTTCATAATTTTAAAGACAAATTTATCATTTTATAAAATGACTTCTAAGGACAAATTTATCCTACTTAAGTTAGAATTTTTTGTCTTTTTTTTGGGGGTCAAAAAGTTGGGAGATTTTATTAAAATATGAATTAATGCTAATGTTTACATCACTAGCTAGACAATCTAAGAGCCATTCTACACCAACGTAGTCCCAAGAATGCTCCCTACCTACTCTAGAAACAAAAGCAGCTACCAAATGGCAATGAGATGTTTTGAATCAGATTTCACTTCAAGATCCCTCCAGCCCTCATTCGAGCATACCATCATCGCCTTCTTAATAGCTAGGGCCTCTGTCATAAATGCTTACTAGCATCGTAAATTCCCCATTCCACCAGCTCATACTAGTAAACAAAACTCATCATGCAGTACCCAACCCACTCAGCCTTTTTGTCTAGTTGTCATAAAATAATATTGGAAGTATTTGTTAACCTGTGTTTCTTTTTCTTTTTCTTTTTCCATTTTGTTCCCCCTTTTCTCCCCTTTTGCAATCTGCCACAATTTCCCTTGATTCATGTACGTTTTGCTCGATTAAGGCTTATTTTGCCTAAAATCATCAGTTCTAATTAGGTTAGTTTCATCTCTGGAAGACAAATCACAGATAACATCCTCATTGCTCAGGAATTGATGCATAAGTTCAAATGTTCTAAGGGTAAGAAGGGCTTTATTGCCTGAAAAATTGATCTATCTAAAGTCTATGATAGATTAAATTTGCCTATGATAGATTAAATTTGAAGTTTATTGAAAAGGTCCTTGGTGAAATCGACATGCCCATTAACTTCATTCAACTGGTTATGAGTTGTGTTTCTTCTGTCAAATATCAAGTTTGTGTTAACGGCGAGCTCTCTCAACCTTTTATTCCAAAGAATGGTATTAGACAAAGAGATCCCTTATCTCCCTACCTCTTTGTTGTTTGCATTGAAAAGCTATCTCATATCATATTTGATGTTATCAATAGGGGAAATGGAAACTTGTTAAGTCCTCCCAAACTGGTCATGTTGTATCGCATTTGTTTTTTGCTGATGGCTTAATCCTTTTCACTGAAGCTAGTACGCAACAAGCTATAGTAATGAAAGGGTGCTTGGATTTATTTTGTCAAGCCTTTAGTCAAACTGTCAACTTTGACAAGTCTTCTGTATTTTGTTCTCCTAATACCAGTAGAGCGTTCGCTCAAGGTATCAGTTTCATTTGTGACTCCCCTTCAGCAGACAACCTAGGAAAATTCTTGGGGATGCCTATCTTGCACTCTAGGGTAACTCGATCCACTTAAAGCAGTTTGCTTAGTAAGGTTCACTGCAGGCTTGCCAATTGAAAAGTAAGTTGCTTTCTTCAGCTGGGAGGGCCACTTTAATCCATGCTGTCACATCTGCTATTCCCATATATTCTATGCATACCACAAAATTACATGTTAGTATTTGTAAAGATTTGGATAGGTTAAATAGAAAATTCTTCTGGGGAGGAAGTGATAGGAAGAAGAAAGTCCACCTCTACCAATGGAATCTATTGTGTAGACCTAAAAACAAAGGTGGTTTGGGTTTCAAGAAGGCTAGGACATGAATCAGGCTTTGTTGGCTAAAATCAGTTGGAGGATGCACAACAAAGATAATGGCTTATGGGCTCATATTTTTGAATTTTTGAAAAGAAAAACCTCAAGGGTTACTCTATTATTTATCTTAATTTGAAAATAAGACATTTGTACTCCTCAACTTGGAATAGTATTCTTTTTGGAGCTTAATTGCTTGCAAAGGGAATGACCTAGAGGGTTGGAAAGGGTGATTTGGCCAAATTTTGGATAGATAAATGGCTATTTGATACACCTTTAATGCAACAAATGGGGTGTTGAATATCCAAGAATTGAATTGCAACGTTGACAGGTTTTTTAGGAATGGTTGGTGGAATGTGGACTAGTTGAGGAATGCTCTTACTAAAGATTTGGTTCAAAAGATCACTGCTATTCCTATTGGGTTTGGGAACTCTGTACATGATGCTCAAATATGGGGTTTGTCTTCAAATGGCTTATTCTCGGTTAAATCTGCATACTCTATTTTTTTAGAGAATTGGGAGATATTGATCCCTTGTGGAAGGACTTATGGAGAATGAAAATCCCTCCCAAAATTCATATCTTCACTTGGCTGGCTTATCAAGGTAAAATCTTGTCCAATGAGCAAAGAACCAAGAGGAATCTAACTTCTGATCCTTCTTGTCTTCTTTGTGGTTGGCAAACTGAATCCCTTATTCATATTCTTAGGGACTATCCCAAGGCTATGACGGTATGGAATTTTGTTTTAAATTTACAATCTTCTCCTCACTTCTTCCTATCTGAGCTAAAACCTTAGTTCTTAGGCAATCTGCTCCCTAAGGTTAAAAGCCCTGATGGTATTGGTTGGAATATTATTTTTGCCATTACTTGTTGGTATATCTAGAATTGGCGTAACAAGCAAATTTTTAATGTTGAAGTGGAATTGCCTTTTAATCCTAGGAAAACCATCTTTACTACAGTTGTTGAGTGGGTTAAAGCTGCTAATGGCTTTGGCAAGAAACCTGATAGAGTACATGTTTTTTTTTGGCTTAGGAACCTCCTACAATTGGCCAACTTAAGCTGAATGTGGATGGTTCTAGAAGGGTTGCCACTAATATTATTGGTGCATGAGGTGTTATTCAAGACTCCTCAGGTGGCTGGATTGCCGATTTTGCTGTGAATTTAGGCCAAGGTCATATCTTGGAGGTTGAGGTTTGGGGCCTATATTTTGGTCTAAATCTTGCTGTTGAGGAAGGTATCACTAACCTTGCTATTGAAATGGATGTTGTTGTTGCTGTCTCACTCGTTCAACAAATCAATTCATTGCAATGCTATCATCTTGCTGCTTTGGTGCATAGTTGTGTGATCTCATGAGACAAATTGAAAATTGTCACCTTATCCACATTTAAAGGGAAAAGAATTATGTTGCGGATTGTTTGGCAAACTGGAGTTATAATCTGGACCTGGGAATTTGCTTCTTTGATGAGGCTCCTGTCTGGGTTAGCTCTCTGTTGATGGATGACTTACTTGGTCTTACTAGTCCTCAACTCATGCGCGGTGTTTAGTTGTTGTTTTCTGGGGATTCCTCATATTTTGCCAAAACAAAAAGATAACCATTGTTATTATAAAATTTTATGCTTAATTATCGATGTGGCCCCTGTGCTTTGCTGAAAATCCCACTTTATTCCTTACATTTCAAACTGGATCAATATGCCCTCTGTGCTTTATTGTCATGTCCCCCGTTCTCTCATTCCGTCAATTTGGTTAGTAAAATTGTTAATTTGCTAACATGACATAGATACTTTAGTAATTTTAGCTATTAAAAAATTTCAAAATCAAAATTAAATTTAAAAATACTTTGATCATAAATAAGATAGAAAGATAAATAAAAATCTAAAATCTAAAAAACGAGTAACTGAATAGCCACCACACCTCCCACCATAACCCAACCCTTCCCCATCCCATCGCCAACTATCACCCCTAACCCATGGCCATCATTCCCCCCCCACCCCCCAAATCTCGCGCACCCCGGTTTCTCCTCCGCCGTGGTAAAAAATTATTGAAAAACAAAATAAAGTTCTTCATGACTGCACAAAGAATATGGGAAAAGGACAAGCATGAAAACAAACTGTTTGGGCTTAAAATATACACGCCAACCCGAAATAAGTATTTGGTTCACTTTCCAAATTGATATTGGGCTTTATTTTACCAAAAAATGGCGAATGACTCATACTATTCAAACAAAATGGGGATTAATTTAAATTAATTCACAATATTTTGATAATCGAGAATTAAGTTACCACCAATGGTGATTTAATCCAAGGATCAAATTATTTGAGTTAGTTTTAGCACAAAGTTTGTTGGCGAGTCCTTACTTAGTTAGGATTTTGGTTCCTTGCTATGTTAGGATTTTAGTTACTTACCATTTATTTTGTCATATTATAATTGAGATTTATTTCCTATTATAATTTATATTTATTTTCTATTGTAATTTGGATTTATTTCCTATTTTCTGTAGGGTTAACACATCTTTGTACTTGTATAAATACCTCCATATTGGAGAAGAATAATATATGAGCATATATGAGGATAATTGAATATTTACCCTACTTTGTTTGACATGGTATAAGAGCCTAGGTTTTCTTTTGACCTGCACGGTCTCCTTGAGAGTCGTTGCTAATCCTTGAGATCCTCTGACAAATTGAGAGTCGTTGGCGTTCCTCATTCCTAACCCATCATGGGTCTTCACCTTGCTGTAAATCCCCGTTTCTCCTTTCCTTAATAATCAACATATATTTCTTCTGCCTTAGCCATACCCGCACCTTTCTACAATTTTACCCTTGTCTCTGTCCTTATCGTGTTTATGTTGAGTCATTACCTGTCTTTTGTCTACCTATGCCTGCTACTGTTTTTTTTCTCTTACTTTTCATCTCTCTATGAGCTTGCTTTCTGTTAAAATCAGATTGAGCCCATGTTAGTTTCAGTCTCTTGCGCTCACAGTCGAGCCTCTCTTTTAAATGTATACCATATGGGCAACACGCCCCTTGGCCATTGATTGCCTGATCTCTTTCCTCTATGAGCCTCATCACAGCTCACCGAGCCATCTCAAACCTCTGCGAGCCTCGTCACCACTCGCCGAGCCTTCTCCTAGCTGGCTTTTGTCTTTCTCTGTCTTGCCGAGCTACACTGCTGCTGTTCCCTTTGCACAGCCGCTTTGGTCCTCTCTCTCTCTCTGTGCACGCCTATATGGCCTTTTTTTCCCATTTGATAATGTGTTTCACTTCCTGCCCAGAAACATCTATGTTTTCTTACTCTCTATTTATTTGGGTGTTACTTTCTCCAAATCTCGACTCTCATACATCGTCAGATTTGAGGGGGAGTGACACTGCTGCTCATCTATTCCGCTGCAATTCAGCTGCCTATCTGCCATGGTTGATTCTTCTACATCTGAGAGTCAGTCCGCTTCTGTTTCTTAAGTGTCACTTTTCTTATGGTTCCGACGACCCTTTCTCTTCAGGGGGAGAAGGGGAGTGAAGAGAAGTTGTCTTTGTGATAATGGAAGTATTTGTCATTGGTATTACTGCTGACTATTATGTTCTTTGCTGGTGCCAATACCGTTGCTCATTCATGTTGGGTCAATGTTATTGCTCCTGCCTGTTATGTCTCTTGTTGGGGACAATGTTATTGCTCCTGCCTGTTATGACTCTTACTGGAGACAGTGTTGATTACTGTTGATGATGCATGTTATGTCTCTGCCTTGTTGCTCTTGTTGGTGTTAGTGTCTTGTATTGCTATTGTTGGTACCAGTATTGTTGCTCCTACCTGTTATGGTGCCAGTATTGTTGCTTATGCCTTTGCTGGTGTGTTTCTGTTATTGTCACGCCCGTTGACCTTGCTTTTGCTCTTGACTTTCTTTGCTTTACCTTACCTTATTTTTTCGAGGTTTGGTTTTACCTTGCCTTACCCTATTTTTTAGGGTTTGGTTTCTGCCATATCTACTATCGTGCTCACAGGGTTTCTGTGTTCTGCCTTATCTGCTGTAGTGCTCACAGGGTTTCTGTGTTCTGCTATGTGCCCTATTTTTTAGGGTTTGACGCTTGTCACTTGTTTCACTCGTGGTTGACGAAAAGACCCTCTCTACAATTGGTGCTTCTCAAGTATGGTGTTCTGTGACTTGCTTGTCAAGTTGGATCTGTGAAATATCTTTGCCCAACTTGAGGGGGAGTGTTGGCGAGTCCTTAGTTAGGATTTTGGTTCCTTGCTATGTTAGGATTTTAGTTACTTATCATTTATTTTGTCATATTATAATTGAGATTTATTTCCTATTATAATTTATATTTATTTTCTATTGTAATTTGGATTTATTTCCTATTTTATTTAGGGTTAACACATCTTTGTACTTGTATAAATACCTCCATATTGGAGAATAATAATATATGAGCATATATGAGCATAATTGAATATTTACCATACTTTGTTTGACAAAGTTCACATATTCTTAGTTGTTAAGATATGTCAGAAAGACTCCTCACCATTGATAACTAGACTCTAAATAAAATTGATGACCATGAAAGATGTAAAGTGAATTCAGACCTGCTTTAGTTGGAAATCACGGCTATTTATTACTAGATGGGAGGATTTTTTTTCTACCACCAGGATATTTAGATATTTATGGTACCAACATTGGAAGAATCTGGGCATTATTGCTCACTTCAATTTGGTTGTTGCAAAAGGAAAGATAAGGAGGCATTCAGGAACATATATGAGTAGGTGCCAAAAATGATCAATGCGTTATTTGATAAAACTTTTGCCACTTGTGCATTGCTGAGGGATTAGTCCAAAATCGAAAATATCCAGCATTATTCATCATCACATTTTCTCCTATAAATATAAGAGTATCTGGACTGGAGAAACGGACACCCAACCAACCAATTAAGCAAAAACCCAACAATCAATCCATATTTATCAAAAGAAATCAAAGATCACACGATCTTGCAACTACCAAAAGCAAGCAAGCAAGCAATCTTCCTTCATAAGCAATTAGGAAGAAGTTCAGAAAATCAAGAAGAAAACAATATTTCCCTCGCAGTCTAGATAAGGTAAATCAGACATAATTCAAAATAGATTAATTTCGCTTATATATTTGGTTCATAAAATTAGATAAAACAAATAGAAGTCAAGTATTTCGTCATATGAGAACTTGAACAAAATTAAAAAAGACACATTGACGCTTTAAATTTGTCTAGAAGGCTACTAGATCATTCAAAATCAGCAAGAACAAGTACCAGCCTGCAGTTCTGCTCACCTTGTCAACCTCTATATGTTCAACTTGTTTATAACTCTGTCAATCTCAAAATTAGTATCGATTTCTAGCTAATCTCTATTAGTTGAAGATTCTGATGTGCAATTCTAGTGCAGAAACATCCAGTCCAGTAAGAAGAGACCCAGCCTAGTCTAATCTTAAACCACCGTTGTGACTATATTTTTAAGCAGAAGTCTAAGTCTAGAAACTCTTAGGCCTATCCAGACTTAACAATTCATTTTATGCTCTGTATTTTGGCAGTTCTGCCTGGATTAGTTTGTTATGCCTTTCATAAATTTGTGTATTTTGCTTTACTTACCATTTTTATCTAGATAAATTGTGAAGTCCTCACTAGTCTGAGGAGTAGAAAAGAACTCTCTTTGGAGGTTTCCCCACCCAAAATCATAATCATTTGTTTAAATTCTATTACTTGGGGCACAAGTATATAAAGTCATTCAAATTTGTTAGAACTCAAACTGCTTGACAGTGGCACGCTCACATAAAAGAAAGTTGATTCTCGATACCATTAATGGTCAAAAGGTCAATGAAATTTTTAACTTAAAGGTTTCCACATGCTAAAAAAAAGGGTAAACACAAACCCAATTGGAAAAAGAAAGAGAAGCTACAGCTTGGGGTTTTGGTGTTTTTGGGTACTCTATTGGGATGGCTACGGCTTGGGGACATATTGGATTATTGAGGTTGGGTGTGAATTTAGGGTAGCGGCTAGGGGTGAGTATGGCTAAGAGCAACTTCACCGAGGAGCCCAAGCCTGAGGGTGGGGGGAGGCCAAGCGAAAAATCCAGTTCCAGCGGGCCACTTTTGCCCAGGCTGGATGCGGGACCCACGAAGACGGGCTGGTCCAAAGGCAAGTCTCGCCTGACCTGCAGCCCAAGGGGAAGGATGACGTCAGCGCGTGGTGCAAATTTTTTTACCGTTAGCGCGTTTCCAACAGCTAAAAGACACGTGTCTTCGCTTGGGCGCTCCGATCTGCTTCTCCTCCTCCAATCTAATGGCTGGCCTTTTTTTGGCTATAAAATTATGAAAAAATTCAAAATTATCCGATCTGCTTCTCCTCCTCCAATCCAATGGTTGGCCTTTTTTTGGCTATAAAATTATGAAAAAAATTCAAAATTTTTTTTGCTTCTGTAAATACCTATCAATACCCTTCACTTTCAACACCAATCCTCATACATTTTCTTCTACTTCTACTATTATTCACTCTTACTCAACATTTTATTCTCTTTCAAATTGTATTTTTATTTCTTATCTTTATGGCTTCTTCTATCGAAACTGGAGGGGCATGGAGCACCATGGAAGATGTTTTCTTGTATGAGTCTTGGGTCCAAATTAGTCATTTTCCCGTGTCAAGCAATAAGATTAAATTTTGTCATATGTGGAAAAAAATTCATGCCGAATTTTGTGAAAGAATTCCGAGGTCGACTCGTACGGAAATGACATTGTCTAGTAGGTGAAAAATTTTCAACAAAGAGTTGGAAAAACGGAGAGATGCCTTGGCAAAAGCGAGGGACAACCATAGAAGCGGGGAAAATCTTAGTAGTGAGGTAAATATTTTGTAATTTTCGTTTTATTAAGTTTAATGTCCTAATATATATATATATATATATGTATATATATATTTAATGTTTCTTGCATTTTCAATATTTTGTTAATATTTCTTGCATTTTCAATATTTTGTTAATACTTCTTGCATTTCCAATTTTTTCTTAATATTTCTTGCATAAATAATATTTTGTTAATATTTGTTGCATTTCCAATATATTTGTAAGGTTAATTCCATTTCCATTTTTTTTTTTTATGTTACTTGCATTTCCAATATATTTTAAATATTTCTTGCATTTCCATTATTATTATTTTTTAAATAGATTATGCAAGCACATATGTGGTTTGGTGCAATTGGGCAAGGCAAAAAAACTTTCAACCATCATGAATGTTGGGAGGTGGTGAAAAATTGCAAACGCTTCAAAATTATTTCCACGGGTCCCCCCGTTATGTTAAACGAGACGCCACTCCATGATTCAACGACATCGGATTCACCTCTCGATTCCCCTATGAGTCAAGACTCACCCATCGAAAAGGAGTCGAGGCCCGTTGACCGAAAGGCTGCGAAGGTGAAGAAAGGGAGTAATTCTAGCACTAATACATTAAAAAATTTGGAGGAAATTTCAAGGCGGGGCGCTATAAGAATTGAAATGGAGCGGATACACCAAGAGAACGAGATGGCAATTCGAGCAGAATATGTACAAGAAAGGGAGTATTTGCGCAAAGAACACATTGACAAGAAAAATCAGGAAACCATGGCACAAGCCATATGTCCCCTGAAACAAAACAATTTTGGAAGCTAGAACGAATGGATGTTATGAGAAGAAGACTTTTCCGTGACGATGGACCTAATAACACGGATTGGTTAAATGATCAAAACCAATAAATTAGTTGGCATACCTTTTATTTATTTGTATCTTTCATGTTTTGTATTAAAGTTGTTGTCATTCATGTATTTTATTTTAGTAGTAGTAATTCTTAATGACTTGTACTGACTTTCTTTATTTAATAAACAAAGCATTCAATAAAATACCTTTTTATTCAACATATTCCATACATCAAACAAAACATAATTAAAAGGAAAAACCACAACCAAAGCATAATAAAAAATAAAAAAAACTACAACCAAAGCAGAATAATAAAAACAAACCACAACCAAACCATAATAATTAAATAAAACAACACAACCAAACCATAACTAAATAAAACCTAACCAAAGCATCTATGCTCCATCATTCACCATCATTGCCTTTCACCGCCCATAAATGCTCCATCAAGTCAACTTGAAGCCTTTCATGAATATAAGAATATTACATCTCTATATATCGATCAATTATACGGGTCATGAAACGACCATCCCTAACCAACGGTTCCTACTCCAATGGTTCTCCACTTGGCCCCATGGGCCTTTCATAAATTCGTGTCAATGTCATGTTCATGGTATCCGGTTCGTAGACCTCTGCAACATCGTAATCATACTCATCCTCCATAATCATATTATGGAGGATGATGCAAGTCATCATAATGCTCCTCAACACCTCCCCATCAAACATATGCGCCGCACCTCGAATAATCAACCACCGAGCTTGAAGGATGCCAAAACACCTTTCGACATCTTTTCTGTATCCTTCTTGATATGAAGCAAATAATCTTTGCTTCTGGGATAAGGGATTCGGAATTGATTTGACAAATGTGGTCCACCTCGGGTAGATGTCGTCTGCTAGATAATACCCAGTCTGGAAGACGGTATTGTTGATTTGATATGTGATATTTGGGCCTTCACCTCTCAAAACATCATTGAAAATCGGGGATTGACCCAGCACGTTGAGGTCATTTTGAGATCCGGCAACTCCGAAGAAGGCATGCCAAACCCATGTATCGAATCCAGCAACGGCTTCAGGGATGATACTTTTTTGCCCTTTTCTATTTCCGTAATCTCCTTGCTAAGTAGTTGGGCAATTCTTCCATTGCCAGTGTATGCAGTCGATGCTACCAATCATTCTTGGAAATCCTTGAGCTTCGGCTTTTTGTAGAAGCCGTTGGAGGTCCCTAGGCGTTGGTTTGCGCAGGTAGTCCCTAGTGTACAGAGTTTCGACTGCATCACAAAATCTTACCAAGGCCTCCAATGTAGTTGTGAAACCCTGTATTTTTTTAAAATATATATGTATATGTATTATGTTTCATAAAATTAAATATTTTGTTACATATTTAGTTTATAACTTATGTATATAATTATCTTGGTATGTGTTATATTCTCATAAATTTATCTTATTAGTTATTAAAAATAGTAATATTTATATGTATTGTCTTTGGCAGCTTTATCTCTTTGTTTCTTGCTGACCAAGTTCAATAACCTAGTTGTGATCCAAAACATACTTTAGACTCCAAGTGTCATTGTACCTAGATGAGTAAGCTCCATTTGAGCATGAGGTGTTAGAATTTTCTTTTGTTTGGCATTAGGTGGCTTCAAATTCATGCCACTATTTACCTTGAGTTGGAGCACATGCATATATCATTTATCTCTTAAGGTTGATGTGTCAAATTTCTAGTTTCTTAATCTACTTTTGTGATAGGATTAATATTAGTTTATATTATATAAGGTTTTCCATGCATATCTCCTTTAACCACCAAACAATTATCCAATAGGATCTTTGTGCTTGCCGACTTATACTTGTATAAATAGGACCTTTCATATTTGCAATAAGAGTAAGAAACAAGAAAGAAATGTGAGAGGGAGTAAGAGAGAAAGAAGGAAAGAGAGTGGTGATGAAACTCTTGGAGCTTGGTTTGGATGATAGTACATGAAGATAGGTAAATGGGTTGTCTTGCCAATTTATTTTAAGGGCTCTCATTACCGAGGTGAGTGGTTTATGTAATGTGTTCAAAAAGTTCTTATTTTGTAATAAAATATGAAAACCATGAATTATCGTGGATTTGTTCTATTTACAAATATCTCTCTATTTCAAGTCAAGCATGTCTAATTTGGAGCAATCTTTCACACTATATATATATATATATATATATAGATTGATTGGAATATTTGTGAAGTATATGTTATTCATGGAACATGAGAACTTCAATGTTGGGGTATCCGAGGGATAGATGTACCACATGGGAACATAGGGCAGTAAGGCCAATAAGGGTCACGTGGTTGATTACATGTTATGAAGGATAACCGAGATATGAACGGATGATGTGATATGATCTGAATTGGTGTATGTTTTCATGATATTTTCTAGAGTGTGTAAAACGGCATTGCTTGACTGGCATATTACATAGTCTACTCACTGAACGGTGGTTGCTCATCCCTTACCTTGTTTAATTTTTCAGATGAATTAGTGGGTAAGACAAGGACTAAACCAGTTGAGGCTGAATTAGATGATAGTGATAGAACTTTATTTATTTATTGTAAAGTTGTAAGATTTTGGATTTATTTTTATAAGAGAATTTTATTTTAAAATCTTACTTCTTTTCATTTTATTTTACTTTTTATTTTCTCACTTACCGGGTGCGGGGTTTTCCACCGACCCTCGGGTCCAGGGCGTGACAATAGTGGACTTCCCCAGCCGGGCAATCTCATTCACCTGATCAGCAGATGAACCATACGCCAATATTTGTATAACAGCTGTAAGTTTTTGCTCCGGAAGAAGTCCCAAAACCCTAGCAGCACTTTTGAACAAAGTATGCATCATAATTGCAAATATCATGCATGACTTTATTGAACAAATGAGGTTGCATTCTATATCGCCTTCAAAATCAACATCAGAATACAAAGAAGTTGGGATAAAATAATCTTCCAAAAGATTCTTACCCCGAGAATGCATATGTCTGTCCACATTCGGGCCATAACGGCGACCTTGGTTCTCTTCATCAAGCAAAGTCACTGCTATGACAACTTGTTGATCTTCTTCTCTTTGCAACCTTTGCCTTTCAGCTCGTCTAAAGCTTCTCTCATTTGTTTCTCTCTCTTGCCTCTCCAAGCATCTCCTCATGTCTTCTATTAAGAATGGAGTATGAATTCTAAACTTTGAGAAATGAAAATATAGAAAGATGTGGTATGAGAGGTATGAGGTGAGCCTCTGATTTTATAGAAAATTTTGGCTAGATAGAGATGACACGTGGCTCGATTTTAGATGATGAAAATCTTATCTAAATTTTGAAATTTGAATGTTGAAATTCATCCGAAATTTGAAATTTGAAATTCATCATAAATTTGAAATTTATCTGAATTTTGAATTTTGAAATGTATCTAAAATTTGAACCCACAAATCTTATCCAGAAATTTTATCCGATTATGAGATATGAATAGTCTTGACACGTAGAAACCCGAAAATCTTATCCGAAAATATTATCCAAATTAATTATTGAGATTAAAAAATTTGTGAAAAAAACAAAAAAAATGAATAGTAATTGCCCTTTGCCATGGAAATGGGTGGAAACACACATTGCTTTTTGCATTGGCAACCACTATTCATGTGAATAGTGGCTGCCTTATGGTGGGAGGTTTGGTGGTGGGTGCTGGAGTTTTTTTTTATTTTTAAAATTTAATCTTTCTAATCTTATAAAATATTATTAAAAAATTGTTTTTATATTTAAATTAGATTTTGAAATTTTTTTAATAGCTAAAATTTCAAAAATATTTATGTCATGTTAGCAAGTTAACAGTTTTACTAACCAAATTGACGAAATTGGGGAACGAGGGACATAGAAATAAAGCACATAGGGTATAGTGACCCAATTTGAAATGTATGGGGTAAAGTGAGATTTTCGGTAAAGCACAAGGGGCACATCAATAATTAAATCTGAAGTTTATATTTTTGTATTGTTCCGCTAACAACTTGAAATGAAATTATTATCCTATTGTCTAAAGAGAGTGGAGGATCCATCAAAACAATGAATAATCAAGAAGAGGGATGAAATGTCTACGAGCCAAGATCGGATGTGAATGACTATTGAAAAAGAAATGCTTAATTATTGATATGTCCCCTGAAACTTAATTTGAGTCTCACCTTACCCTCTGAAACTCAGGCACCCTTGGTGGGGTGCGCTGTTGGCCCTTAATGAGCAATCTGCCCGCGTAAGTCTTATTTCAGTTGCACATGTATTGAGGATTCTGCCCTGCCTGTCTGGGGAGCAATAGTCTCAGTTGGACTACTCGTCCCTAACCATATATGTATTGAGGATTCTGCCATGTGGTCTAGTTAAAAACAGTCCTCGAGTTGAATTGTTTTTCCTCAGTACATAAGGATGGTGAAGTGCATGTGTTTGTGTGTGTGTGTGTGTGTGTATGGATATATGTGTGGATTTATTTCCATGTTGAGGTTTCTTGAGCATGTGCATTGAGAGTACTCCACATAGGTACGATTATTTGAATATACGGTTTTACAATAAGGATTTGTTAAGGCTTGAAAAATCTAAGGTTAGGCGTAAATATGTTTCTAGCCCGGTATAACACTTAATCGAGAAAGAAGCCCGATAGGGGTACACAGGAATTTGTCGTATATGTTTACACAAGTTATTATCCGAATGCCACGCCAAGTCAATACGCAACCCACGACACAAAGAGGTCGCAATGACCTGTAAAATGTACTAGTTCTAGGAACCCACACTCATTGTCCTATCAAGCACTGCTGGGCCCAGCCATAGCCCGTTACAATGCGACAGAGCCTGAGCACAAACACGCCAAATGACACATAATGTCGAGCGAAGAGAACCTTTATTTTAATACCGAGCCACGCTACAAGCTTAAGTGGGTCCAAGCCACGCAAATGTCTAAGGCTTGCTAAGCGAATTGTGGTATGGATGGTTACGAGTGTTCATGAGGCCCACTGATGGTCAAAGAAGTAGAAGTTTTGGGTTGCTTGGGAGCACCAAACTCATGCCTATTTCTTGAGTCCAAATATATGGGTAAGCATAAGAGAGAAAAAACAACCCAGCACCTTAAAGAAATGGCCCAACACCTTAGAGAAATGGCTCAGCATCTTAGAAAATATCCCAGCACCCTATTAAAACCAAATCAAAACCAAGCCATCGTTAAAACCAAGCGAAACCCATGTGCACAAGCTGCTGGAAGTAAGACACCTTTTAGACCAGCACCCTTACCCGTTCTTTCTTTTGCAAGTTCTGGTAGGAAAACCAATAGGAAAAGCAAGAGGCGCCTCACCCAAGATGGAAGAAGTCAGCTGCAGGAAAACCTTGGAGTCCTAAAATGCTCTGTCCCAATGTGCTTGGATTAAGGAATTCTCACCCAAAGGGATTGAATCAAAGGAAGTGAAGGGAAATAGAGGAAAGGACTTGACAAAATTTAGGGGAAAGTTAGCTAGGGTTCTTGAACCAAAAGGGGCTTCCAGGGCCTATAAAAGGAGGCACCTCCTACCCAGCGAGACACCCATCCAGAGCACAACCAAGCAATCGTCAAGCTGTTGGAAAACCTAATCAAGCCACCCATTCTTTTACCCCCCCCCCCCCCTCTCTCCCTTTTTTCTCTCATCAAATCTTCCCAAATTTCCCTCTCCCCTCTAAACCTCTGCTTCCCAAAAGAAATCCAAGCTCTCTCTCTAATGATAAACTCATGGAGGCTTAGCTTCCATGCCACAAGCTCCTCAGGCCAAGCCATAATATTGATTTGTAAACAGTTGTCTATCTTGTTGATGAAAGAACCAAAGTGCTTCCTAAGGCTTCACGAATCTTTCAAAGCACTCTTGGGGCCTGATTCTTGAACTTAGCACATGGACAACTATATCCATTTGCTCTTTACAGCAGCCTAAGCCCATTTGCAGCTACTAGAACGAAAAAGCCCCTACAGGATTAAGTGAACAAGTTTACATTTTTTTTCCAATAATTTGAGAAGTATTGATTATATGGTTTTCCTTATTGTACGTTATGATATGAATTTTACTGAATTGAAATATTTTCTAGTATCGGATGACATTATGTACTTTTACTGAAGATGGTGTTTTGGCATTATTTTCTAAAACAGAGGGGGTTATTATGTTGATCAGTATAATTTATGTTCAAGCTTTATTTTCGTCCACTCACATTTTCTGTTTTGCGCCCCCAAAGTTCTAGATATCCAAGGTCGAGACCACCACGTCGAGGCATCGCAGTTGTCCGCACCGTAGGACTTCCTTCATAACCCATTGTCTTTATTCCCGCGGTTGTAAATAGTCTTAACTGTTATGTGTGCCCTTACCTTGTGCATGTTGAAAGTTAGGATTATTTCTGTGCTCGTTTGCAGGTACTGTAATTTGATAAATGTTCCAATTACAAAGAAGACTTTGTCGAAATTTCAGTAGGAGTCGAATTGTCTTCAAGTTTAAATTACGGCTTAATGGACTTATTAGTAAAGTGGGAATCCGGGGTGGTCCTATCATCATTGCCATCCGAAGTTATAATACTGTTCTCGTTCAATCGGTCCAGGCTTCAATATACCATCTAATTCGTGGCCTTATACCTCACAATTTTTATTTGAACCAAGATTTCCCCAAATTTGTTAAACCTCAATAGCACAATATACCCTAACTTGAATGTCTTCAAATTATAAACTTTGGGAAACACAGTGACCTATTTGGCTAAAAAAAATTATCAATGACCAAAAATATATTTAACTCTTTTTCATACTAAAACAATCTAAACACAGAGTTTTGTTAAAATAAAGGACTTTATAAACAAAACCACGTAGTTTTATACGAAACCAAACGTGATGAAACGAATCGCACCTGAGTCTTCTTCTTTGCCAGGAAGGTGCCATTGACATCGCCTCTACTGTAAGCTTACTGTACATGTTCATCCGTTTAGATCAATTTGGAGGACTCAGATTAATCCTCATATAAGAGCACTTCCACCAGTTAGCCCCTTACAATGGCAAGGGGAGCCCTAGGGCAATTACTATTCATGTGAATAGTGGCTGCCCTAACTCTCCCAGCAAATGTGTGTTTCCAGCAGTTAGCCCCTTGCCATGGCAAATACTATTCATTTTTTTTGTTTTTTTTTCACAACTTTGTTTATTTAAACAATTAATTTGGATAAGATTTTTGGGTTCCTACGTGTCAATACTATTCATATCGGATAAGATTTTCGGTTTCAAATTTAAGATAAATTCAAAATTTGAATTTCAGATACATTTCGAAATTCAAATTCCAGATAAATTTCCAATTCCAAATTTCATTTGAATTTCAAATTTCAGATAAGATTTTCATTCTCTAAAATTGCTCCACGTGTCATCTCTATCTGTCTAAATTTTCTATAAAACCAGAGGCTCAGCTCATACCTCACACACCATATCTTCTCTACATCTTCATTTCTCATATTTTAGATTTCATTTCTCAGATTTTAGATTTCATTCTCCATTCTCAATGTCAGACATGGAAGATGTTTTGGATAGGCAAGAGCGAGAAAGGCGAGCAAGAATGCGCAGAAGAGCTGCAAGCAAAAGGGCGCAGAGAGAACTAGATGAGCAACTTGGTGTGGCCGTTGCTATGCTGGAGGAAGAAAACCAGAGCCGTCGTGGTTCACAAGAAGGTCGGGCATCGGATGTGGACAGACATAGACATTGTCGGGGTAAGAATCTTCTGGAAAATTATTTTATCCCACAATCTCTGTACTCTGATGTTCATTTTCGAGCAAGATATAGAATGCAACCCCATTTGTTCAATAAAGTCGTGCATGATATTTTCAATTATGATGACTACTTTGTTCAAAAGAAAATTGTGCTGGAGATTTGGGGCTGCTTCCTAAGCAAAAGTTCACAGTTGTGATACGAATGCTGGCGTATGGATCATCTGCTGATCAGGTGGATGAGATTGCCCGGATGAGGAAGTCCACTATTTTGGAGAGCTTGGTGCGATTTTGTGATGCAGTGGAAAATCTGTACACCATGGACTACCTGCGCAGACCTACGCCCAGGGACCTGCAACGGCTTTTACAAAAAAGCTGAGTCTCGTGGATTTCCTGGAATGATTGGTAGCATTGACTACATGCACTGGCAATGGAAAAATTGTTCATCTGCTTGGCAAGGGGATTATGGTAATCGGAAAGGGCAGAAAAGCATCATCCTCGACGCAGTTGCTGGTTTTGATACCTGGGTTTGGCATGCCTTCTTTGGAGTTGCCGGCTCTCAAAATGATTTGAACGTCCTGGGTCAATCCCCGGTGTTCAATGATATTTTGAGAGGTGAATGCCCAAATATCACATATCAAGTCAATAATACCGTCTATCAAAACGGGTATTATCTAGCTGATGGTATCTACCTGAGATGGACAACATTTGTGAAATTAATTCCACATCCCCAATCCCAGAAGGAAAAATTTTTTGCTGCCTATCAAGAAGGGTACAGAAAAGATGTGGACAGGTGCTTTGGTATCCTTCAAGCTCGGTGGGCTATTATCAAGGGCGCGGCGCGTCTATTTGACAAGGAGGTGCTCAGAAGTATAATGATGACTTGTATCATCCACCACAACATGATTGTGGAAGATGAGTATGATTACGATGTTGATGAAGTGTATGAACCAGATCCCATGAACACAACCTTAACACGAATTTATGAAAAACCTATGGGGCCAAATGGAGAACCAGTGCAGCATGATCCGTTGGTTACAGACGGTACTTTCATGCATCGTATGATTGAGCGCTACACGGAGATGCAATCGTCGTATATTCATGAACACCGTCAAGTTGACTTGATGGAGCATTTGTGGGCGGTGAAAGGCAATGAAGGTCAATGAAGTCAAGTGAAGATGTTTTTTCAGTGCATTATGTTTATGTTGTATTTTTAGTTATGCTTTGTTGTTTTTTTATGCTTTTGTTGTGGTTTGTTTATTTTTTATGCTTTGGTTGTGGTTTGCTTTTTATGTATGGAATGTTTTGAATAAAAAGGAATTTTGTTGAATATTTTCTTCATTCACTACAAGAAAATCAATACAACTCATAAAATAAAATACATGAATTACCACTAATTTTTTAAACAAAAAAAAAATACAATGAAATGAAAGGCAAGCAAACTAATTTAATGGTACAATGAAATGAAAGGCCAGCAAACTAACTTAATTGTTTTGATCATTTAATCAATCCGTGTTGCTAGGTCCATCGTCACGAAAAAGTCTTCGTCTCATAACATCCCTTCGTTCTAGCTTCCAATATTGTTTTGTTTCAGGGGACATATGGGTTGTATCCATGGCCATTGTTTCCCGATCCTTATTTTCAATCTTTTCTTGGCGTGCATACTCCCTTTGTTGGCATACATACTCCCTTTCTTTTGCATTTTCTACATCAATTGCCCTATCGTGCTCTTGTTGTTTCATGTCCATTTCAATTCTCATGGCTTGCATCTTTGAAAGTTCCTCCAAAAATTAGATGCTGACTTGGTAGAATTACTCGCTCTCTTCGCCTTCGCCGCCTTCCTCCCAATAGGCCTCGGTTCCTTTTCGATAGGTGAGTCTTGACTCATCGGGGAATCCATAGGTGAATCCGATGCCGGTGTCTCATGGAGTGGCGTCTCGTTCAAGACTACTGTCGGACCCGTTGGAATAATTTGGAATTTCTTACAATTCTTCACCACCTCCCAACAATGGGTATGGTTGAAACTTTTTTTTCCTTGCCCAATAGCACCAAAAAACATTTGTGCTTGTATAGTCTATAAAAAAAAATGAAAATGCAAGAAACTTTAAAAATTATTGGCAATGCAGCAAGTATAAAAAAATAATAATAATGGAAATACAAGAAACTTTAACAATTTATTAGAAATGCAAAACAAAATTTAAATATTGCAACAAACATTCATATTAATATTGGAAATACAAGAAATATTAACAAAATATTTAAATTGCAAGAAATATTTAAATAAATTTTAATATGACATAGAAATTAATAAAACAAAAATTACAAATAATTTACCTCACTGATAAGGTTTTCCCCGCTTCTATGGTTGTCCGTCGCCTTTGCCAAGACATCCCTCCATTTCGTCAACTCTTTGTTAAGAATTTTCCACCTACTAGATAGTGCCTGATCTGTACGGGTCGAACCAATTACCCTTTCACAAAAATCCTGATGAATTTTTTTCCACATATGACAGAATTTCATCTCATTGCCCGTTACGGGACAATGACTAATGTGGAGCCAAGACTCACACAAGCTAACATCTTCCATGACGCTCCATGCCCCTCCGGTTTCACTAGAAGAACCCATAAATTTTTATAGAAAAATTCAACTTCAAAGTGAAAAAAATATTGACTACAAAGTGAATAATGGTAGAATGAGAAGAAAATGTATGAAGAGTTGGTGTTAAAAGTGAAGAGTATTGGTTGGTATTTATAGGAAAAAAAATCAGTATTTTTTGGGTATTTTTTCAAATTTGTTTCGATTTTTTTTCATGTTTTTTTTTGGCAGAATAACAGCTGCCTTTGGATTGCTGGAAGAAATGAATCGGAGTGCCCAGAGCATCGCCACGTGGAAGAGAGCCGTTGGGTGCGAGTTTCGATTTTTTTTTTCATTTTTTTATTCGCGAAAAATGGCTGCCGTTGGATTTGGAATAAAGTGGATCGGACAGCTGCTGGGAGCGCCACGTGGAATAGACTCGTTGGGGGGTCACTGTAGCGAGCGCGTCAATTTTTTTTTAAAGGTTGGCGCGTGCATTGCACGTACCAAAGTTAAAAAATTTTAAACAGCAACACTGACGTCAGGCCAAAACGAGTTTTTCTACTCAGGCTGAACCTCCCCAAGGGCTAGCCCATGCAGATTTTTTTTGCTGGGGCCCACACCTTGCCCTGACAGATTTTTGTTGCTAGAAACACCATTTTGGGCTTGCGCCCTCCCCCCAGGCCCCTTGCTGGGGAGGGCTAGCCCAGGCAGATTTTTTTTGCTGGAGCCCACACCTTGCCTTGGCAGATTTTTGTTTCTGGAAACACCATTCCCCGGCCCCTGCTCCAAGACTCTCATTTAGAGGTTCGCACTAGAGCCTCTGGCCACTTCGAAGTCTTAACAGCCTCTTGTTTTTTTGGTGGGAAGAAAATAGCCTATGTCACAATTTAATATTCACAAATTTAACAAAAACCGATTGAAAATTGCATGCAATAAAAGGTAGGGGTAGTTGGTCAGTGGAGTTGTTTTAGAAGATGCCTTTCATAGCAATTCCATGACGTCCACACTATCTCCAAAAATATAATACAATACAGGAAGTCCAACCAATGGCATCATGATCAAATCATGCATTAATTATATCATTTTTACCTTTGGAATCAACTTTCTTCTTTAAGACTTAAGGGAGCTCCAACTAATTAGGATCTTATTGATTGGATTTGTTCTAATTGGTCTACTTTTTATCCCCTCTTCTGAAAAAGTTTTTTTTACCACTTGTTTGAAATTTTGGGATCAACGTAATATATTTACTTTTTAGAATAAAATTTTCATATTTTATCATGAGTGGAGATTCGACGCTGAGACGCAACCACTTATCATGGGTGGAAGAAAATCATAATAAAACGAAAACAAAAAATGAAAATTTTATGTCACTAAAAATGGGGGAAGATAGGAGAGAGAGGGGCACTGAGGAAACTACAGCGAGGGCTATGGTGGACTGTAGCCCAAGTAAGCTTTGAAAAAATAATAATAATCAATATGGCCCACCAGACTTGCCTTTTGCTTTGAGCAAATCCTCTCCTCTAATCGCTTAGCAGCCATGTTTGTTTTTTGCCCGTAAAGTGTGTTGCTTTTTGGTTTTTTTTTATTGGCAAAGTCTATCCTCTTTTCACCAAAAAGAAGAAAAAAATAAAGCTCTTCAACATTTGACTCATAAAAATTCCTAGAAAGTCCTTCAATCCACAATTACAGAGGCAAGAAGTAACAGGAAGTGGTTTTCAAAAGTGGAATAGTATGTTAACCTAATTCTATTCTTCTTGTGTTTACAACTAATATATATATATATATGAAATTTAATTATTTATTTTTAATAACAAAAAATTTCAATAACATTGTCACCACCGCTACTACCTCAACCTCCACGACCACCACTTTCAACATCATGATCATTTTAGTCATTATCCACAAATATAACAGTTTTATACTAAAGTTTATCAAATTGTTTGACACTAATTTTTATACTAAACGGGGAACTATTTTACTTTACAACATATTATTTTCAAAACGTAGTAGAAGCAGCTTTTTTAAAAAGTGACAGCAATCCTAAATTGGAAATTAGCATTTCGAAGATATAATTCAAGGAGATCTTGAGGATTTATATATGTTGAATTTTGTAAATGACAAAAATTACAGTGAAAACAAATTCCTGCTAAATTGGAATTGTGAAATGACGACTCTTTTGGTGGAAATTAAATTCGAGAATCTCGATCCCCAATTTCCATGAATTTGGCCGTGCATCATTTAATCAGTTCCATGTTTAAGTTACCAAACAATGGAAATATCAATTCCTTCTTTTCAATTCCTGACTTTTTAGCTAAATCTCAAGTTACTTTCCTCCATTCAAATGAAGGGTAAATATTTTTTCAATTCATGTTATACCATCATAAATTATTTTAAATGACAACGTCACCACTACTACCACTTGAACTACCACTGTCACCATCGCCACCTCCACATGATTAGCACTTTCAATATCATGATCATTTTAGTCATTATCCAAAATTACAACAGTTTTATACCAAAATTTATCAAACTGTTTTACACTAATTTTTATACCAAACCCGAAACTATTTTAGTTTATAACTGATTATTTTCAAAATATAGCAAAAGGAGCTTTTAAAAAAGTGACAGCAATCCCAAATTGATAATTAATTTAATTTCCTCCTTTAAGATTTTCAAATCGTTATAATTGCCCATAATTTGTAGGAAACAAATATGATTGCAGACTCTTTAGCAAATTTAGGATATAATCTTTATAAAATCTGTACTGTTTTTCTTCTTTGGCTGGAGGATGGTCAATGACGTGTTCAGAAGCAAAGGAAAGGTTATTTGGCTGAAGATGGAGTTAGTGGGCCACGACTCTCAACGGATATTAATATTATTTCATTATGTAATTGAAAAAAATTCCATGGCTTAAGATGGAGAACTGGTTCTCTGAATTCAACTTGCAATTCTATAAGGTCGAAATGATATGATACCTTCACAAAGACTTTTGCAAATGGAAACGAAAGTTGGTCTTGCCAAACGCGTAGCTTAGAGTTCTTTATTTCCCCCAAGATTTGAAAAACAAAAATGTTATAACACGTAAATTAGTTCGTAACACGATATAAGAATGTGACAACAATCACATCATATCCTATAAATTTTTCTACGAAAAAGAAATATTTAATATCTCAGATGCCATTGATAATATAATCATCATTACCTTATTTGTCTTGATGCTTAACATAGAGATGTAGACCTTGAAGGAAGTCCAAAACTAGCAAATAAAGCTGGCAAACACTTTCCCTTTCATTCACAATTATAACATCTCTTATGTCTCAAGACAAATAAAAAAATGCATTAAATGATATATTGTAATTCTAAATTGTTAATAATGACAAAATGGTCATAAAAAATATGCATTTAATATTAGCTCATTTTCTCAAACTTTTCCATAATAAGAGAAAATAAAAACCAAGTTGAGAGGAAGTTTCACTTTTTCCATATTTTCCCATTTGACGGCAACCATTTTCTGTGCATAGACTTATCAAATATGGGAAAACAATTAATTTCTCATCCACAAATTCCTTTCTCATGAACCAAATAGGGCCTAAGTTCCTTGCAATTATTAAAATAATAATAATAATAATTTGAGAATTTCTCCCATTTCTTTTTATTTTTGTTAATAGAAAAAAAGAGAAAACAATATGGTTTTAATCCATGCAAGCACATGGTTTTAATTTTTTTTACTAATCAAATTGTTTCTCAATCCAAAGTTTAAACCTTAATCATGAAGATTAGTCTTAGCTAATTAAATACGATAGAATACTTATTTTTGAGAATACTTATTTTAAAATTAAAGTAGTTGTTTTGAAATTAATTATTAAATTCTTTTTATTATTACATTCAAAGCCAAGGGCAACGATGTAATTACACAATTCTTCGGGTCCGAGCTTTCAACTTGAATTATATATAGATCTGTTTTCCATCAGCTCAAAGCCCTCTCTGAAATTCTCAGAACATTTTCTCATCTTCAAAAAGCTTCTGTTCTACAAGAAAACAAAATAAAAAATGTCTGGATACCCACACCAGCCTCCCGGCTACGGCTACGGCAGCACGCCTCCACCAGGCAAACCCTACGCCGCGCCGCAGCCAGGCCAGCCAGGCCAGCCCGGCCAATACCAAGCGCAACCGTACGGAGCTCCGGCTGCACCTTACGGCGCGCCATCTGCACCCTACGGCGCACCATCGGCACCGTACGCCGCGCCGTACGCGCCAGAGAAGCCTCACCAGAGCCACGGAAGCAGCGGGCCGTACGCGCCAGAGAAGCCTCACCAGAGCCACGGAAGCAGCGGCGGGGGATACCCGCCATCGTCTCCGGGCTATGGAAGCCCGTTCGCGGCTCTGGTGCCGTCGTCGTTCCCACCCGGTACGGACCCGAACGTGGTGGCTTGCTTTCAGATGGCGGATCAGGACGGCAGTGGCTTCATCGACGACAAGGAGTTGCAGAGAGCTCTGTCGTCATACAATCAGAGCTTCAGCTTGAGGACTGTTCATCTTCTCATGTATCTCTTCACCCAAACCAACACCAGGAAGATCGGTAACTTTTCACAAACCCTAACTCTCTCTGTTCTCTATAAGCGTGTGTATCTGTGAGTTCTTTCTCGTCAAATTGGGAAATTAGACAACTGCGATTCTTAGAGTTAACGGTGCGTTCTGTGATTTTGATCGGCGTACTCCAGACGATGTAGTTCTGGCATTGTTGCTCGCAGTCAGTGACCGGACGCTGAGTCGCCGCTAGAGGCATGCAGGCGAAATGTCCGCCATGCCCTTCTTCTCTTTCGATTTAGTGGTTGATAGTGCTGTCCTTGAATGGTATTTCACGTGTCCGTGTTGTGTTAACGTGTCAGTGTTTGCGTTGAATGCGAGTGTGTGGTGGTCACGGTTCGTGGACCGTTGGATCTCAATGTCACTACGCGTTATGCTTCAATGGGTCCCGCGTCTTCGTTCGAGATATCTCTGCTTTCTGGTCTTTTGAAAGCTATGGAATATTTCCGATGCTATAATTTGTATTCTGCAGCTTAGTTTTTTAACGTTATTCAATAAATATCTCTATTAATTAAATGAAACGGTAATTCGTATTGATTTCTTTTTCTGGGTAAATTGTGAAAACAGGGCCTAAGGAATTCACTGCAGTGTTCTACAGTCTTCAGAGTTGGAGGGTAATTCCCAGAAATTTTAAAAATATATATATAAATTCTTTTTTTTTCCTTTTGAGTAAAAAATTTGGTTTTGTGATTAATAATTTGTGTGACAACGGATCAGGGAATATTTGAGAGGTTCGACAGGGACAGAAGTGGGCACATTGATGCAACTGAGCTGAGAGATGCACTGCTGAGTCTGGGTTTTGCTGTGTCACCTACGGTTTTGGATTTGCTGGTCTCTAAATTCGACAAGACCGGAGGCAAACACAGGGCCATTGAATATGACAATTTCATCGAGTACGTTTCCCTTTTCCTTTCATATTCTACATTCATTTTCTTTTTGGTTTGTTTCACATTGTGTTTGCTTTTATCAATCTCTTAATATATATATTTTTTCTTTGTTGTGATTAAATGCAGGTGCTGTCTTACTGTTAAGGTGAGTTTACTTGTGACTAAATCGATTTACCATGATTTTGGGCACTCAATTTATAGTTTTAACTTGGGAGCTTCTTCTTCTTCGTCACTTGGCTTTCCGTTTTACTTTTCTAATTCCGCGTTCTTTATCTATTCTTTCTATGCTAAAAGCATAAGCACAAGTTTTTCGATCCTGCTTACTTTATATGGTTGGGAATTCAGAACTTGAATGTATTGCTGCAGTTAGTTCAAACCTGCTTAACAAGAGAAGAAAAATAGCCCTTTCTTTCTTTGCTTGATTTTTTCAACTGGGATATCCGCAATTTTTATTGTACATTACTGAATCATGTAGTTTTACCAGTATTAAGAACTTCGAAAAATGGCTTTAAGTACGGCTCTAAAATGGAGATTTTATGTTTGGCACTTATTTGTTTTGTTGTTCTTGTGTCTTGCAGGGTTTAACCGAAAAATTTAAGGAGAAGGACAAAGCGTACACCGGTACTGGAACTTTCAGCTATGAGGACTTCATGTTGACTGTGCTGCCTTTCCTCATTGCATAGGATGTTAAAAGATTTTCTGGAATTCTGGGTTTAGAGGTTAATGTAATATCTAGTTCTTTTGGCATGTTTTCTAGTGGACTGGTGTGGTATAGCTGTATTTGCTCGCTACATATAGCTTTTGATATAATAATGCTTCAGAATTTGGTTTTTTGTTCCTCGTTTCCTTTCCTTGTAAGTTTCCTCTTACCCTGATCCTTCCTCCTGTATAAGATTGTGATGTTGCTATCTGATTCAGTTTCCTTTTGCATCCTTTTCTGATTTAAGTATTGATTACCTTTGTCATCCATAATCACCCCCGTGTGCGGGACTGATGCTAGCATTGCTTGTATTGTCATGCCTATGCAATATAAAAATGCTAAGCGTGAAATGTGAAATAAATTTGAGGCCAATGTTTCCGAAGTGGGATATGCTGCGTTTGCAGTCACGGGCCAATATTAGGATCAATTCAAAAATGAAAGTGACCCTTTGAATTGAATCATAAAAAAACATTTGCGATTTGGTTTACTTGCTCCTGCATGTTTAAAAATAAAATAAAGAAAGAGTCAAGTTTGGTAATCAGATCCGTAGATTGTGTTTTATCTGTTGACCGGACACATTCATATAGGTGCATGTGAAGGAGGTGCCTTCCCCAAATCAACCTAGAAAGAAACCTATTTGGTGATTGTTTAATACGTAGTCATCCTAAGACGATCTCCACGTTATGCGTTAATACCAACTACCGACTTTGATGGCAATTTTTCTATAAGTGGTTTTATTTAGGGTTAACTCATTTCACCGCTAAAGTATATACCAGATTCCTGCCAGTGGAGTCTAGCCCAATAAAAAAAAGGTTGCAGGCTAGTGATCTCAAGTTCAAATCTTCATGCAGTAGTAAAACTATAAATTTTATCAAGGAAAGTCAAGTGACCCTTGTGGCTGCTCATGTCCTTATGGTACCTTGGTAATGTGTGTATAAGAACCTCTCCTTAATGTTTAATGTTTAAACTATCGCTTGTATTAAATATATATATATATATATATTTATATACATGATTCCTTGTAACTTATTGAAGAAGGTATGCAAGTACAATCAGGAGTATACTTGTATACAATCAGGTATATACCCGATTCACACTCTTTATTTGATACACTTGTACTACCTCCTCATTTTTTCATGCTTTAAGTATTGAATATAAACTATGAGATGAAAAGTACACAAAATTGGAGAATTCTGTTTAAAAAAGGAGTAGATTTCTGTCCGGCTTCCTTGTTTTGCTCCGTGTATTTTCACTAAAATCTCACTTTTCACTTGTATTCTCAATTGACCCATTCTGGCCGTTGAGCTTTCACTCTGTCTCATGTAGCCCCGTCAACTCTGTTATGTTATTGTAACTTTAATTATTAAAAAAAATTGAAATTCAATTTTTAAGAATTTTTTTTAATAAAAAAAAAAGGTGCCTGCAGGCTAGGTTGGGATTGTTGTATTTATTTTAAAAAAAAATTATTTTTTTTATTTTTTATAAAGATGATGTTGAGAGAGGGCAAGGGCAGAATCAAGAATTTATCAACGGATAAGCTAGCTAAAGTTATTAGCTTAAAAATCCAATAATCATTTTCTTTTGTACTTACAATTTCTATTGTCTTTCTAGAGATAAAAGTATACATTAAATCATATAAATCACGTTAGTTCCTCAAGTGCAAGGCTAATAAGTTTTAGCATAAAACAAATACAAATTAAATGCAACCAAAAAACACATATGATCAAAATGAAAATATGTTCAACAACATAATTGAAAGTGTACATATTTTCATGTATATTTCTATTGATGTCTTGCAACTAAATTCATAAAGAATTAAACTTTTTAGACTTTAATAGGTTAATACATACTTGGCTATATTTAAAACAAGTCAAATATACAGGTTTGATTTTTTTTAATCCCCAAAAACCTCCCTAGGCTACAACCCATTGTAGCTATTAGCCTAGTTCCGCCCATGAGAGAGGACACGCGAACCTAAGACCTCAAGTGTATAATAAATGCTATGAACCAATTGAGTTACAAGTTACAACTTACAAGCTGCTTACTATTTTTATATAAATTTTAAATATCTTTAATTTTTAAAGCTTTTTTATTTTACACAAGCAATATTTTTTTTGGGTGCCAAAGATGGGAAGGGGATGGTGGAAACTCACACACTTGATTATCATGGAGGCTTGAATCCAGGACCACTTGAGAGCACACCAAAGATGAATTCAACTAACATCGCATTGGTTTGATACAATCAATGTTGGGAGAGGAGATTTTCCCACACAAGGAATACTAGCAACCTTCTCTCTAACCTTCTCATTTGGATATTCTCTCTTCTTCTCATGACAAGTGTCACTTTCCTTACACTTAAAATAATATCATTAATGCATCACACAAGTTAGATTTTGTTTTCCAAGTATTATTTTAAGTGTAAGGAAAGTGACACTTGTCATGAAGAAAATGGAGAAGGTCCAAAAGAAAATGTTAGAGAAAAGGTTGCTAGCATTCCTTGACCCGTTGGCATCTTTAAAGTTTTTTAATTTTTCTCTAAATTGAATTTTAAAATGTTTAATAGTTGCATATTACCAAAATATTCATGCTATGTCAACAAGACCCACCTTGAAAGTCCCGTGTTCTTTTTTTGGTCAAATCCTTCCCCTCACTATAACTTATATTAAAAAAAAAAGGATAAAAACTGCAAGAGTGAAAATGCAGGGAAAAAACAGCAATTAAGCAAACAGGCAGACACAGTAATTAGTGAAATTCCTCCACGCAGTTACCTACCATTCAAACTTTGAAAAAAAAGGATCAGTGCCTAATGGCCGAGCAAATTCCTTCCATCTAATCTAATAAACCTTATTTGGTACCAAAATCAAAATCGAAGCCCAACAAGAAGCTTCGCTGTGCTGTGAGTAAGGCGTTCCAATCTCGCAATTCCTTCTCCTTTCAGCAGCTAACGAAATTTAGGGTTCAATTTGTTATGCAAATTGTTTGATTGTACCATTGTTGCAGGAAGAAATTATGGGTTTGTCGTCTGCTAGTACCACGGTCAGTACAACCCCAGAAGGACTGCAATTGTGCATATTTGATTTGAGGAGGGGTCAAAATGAAGGGCAAGAATTGGACAAGATATTGTTTTTCTTCCCTGCCGATTTGCCCTTCTCAGCACAATTCTCTGTGATTGGGCTCAGTGAAGGACTTATCACATTTACCAGGTTTCTGCTTTCTATCCCTTTTTCTTATATACATTTTATACAAGTGTTTTTTGTTTTTGGGTTTTTGATTTTTATAAGAACTTGTTTATATTTTGTGCAGAATCTTCTCTCCAGAGGCTGCTTGTGAAGCCATTGAAGCAGAGAGGCATTCGCATGTTTTTTATGAGGCGGAACCAGATATCTGGATGGTGATGGTGAGTTCTGTTTTCCTTACAAACATTCCTGTCATTGTTAGTCCTTTTCAATTATGTGTTTAGCTAATGTTCATATATTGTTGGTAGCATGTTATAACTTATGGGTTTTTTCAAACTAATGTATTAGGCCCCTGATGCTAACATTTTTGTTTCTCGTAGCTAAACTAAATTTTTTTAGAAAGCACTTGTAGGCAATGCTATTTTGAAGTAATTTCAAATCATTGCTTTACCTTGTTGTAGGTAGTGGAGAAAAGCAAGGAGTTTGAAGCTATTTGGAGAAGTGATGCATTGAGAAAAGTTCTTAAGGAAGTCCATTATCTTTTTGTGATGTTTCATGGATCTATAAGAGCGTTGCTTGACAAAGACCCTGGTGGAGGACTAACTCGATCTCATTTGTACTATTTCATCATGGACTATCTTGGTGGTAAGTCATCATACAGTCGTGTACCTACTAATTACACTGAAGTCTAGTTTTATATTGCCCTTGGTTCAAATTTCATTGTAAAATCACTAATTGCCAGCATTTCAAAAGCGGTCTCCATTCGATGGGTGCTGCTGGGGTAATACTGAAGTTGCTGTATCATGCCCTCTCGATTGGATTTTTCTACCTAAGTAATGCTGAAGTTGCTGTATCTCATATGTATGGTTTTACTCTCTGGGGCAGATTTTCTGGTCGGGAAGAAACTACTGTTACCATCATTCCGTGACTGTTTAAAGGAGCGTGGAACCGTACAGATGCTTACTGTAGGGCGGGAAGCAGCAATTGAAGTACAGGTTTGTTTTCAGAATATAAATTAATCATATGTTAGTGGAGTAGGCCAGAACAGTTTTGCTGAAATTTTCTGCTTATTTAATGCTACATTTTTATTCAAGATTCTTCCTTGGAAGTTATTGATGTTTTAGTATGTCCTAGTCATAAACTTGTTTTAGGTTTGGTGTATTAGTTGTTTAGATGCTCATTGGGTCCATGAGTTCCTCTCCATGGTTGAATTTTTTTTTCAGCTTCCATATTGTGGTGTAATTTGGAAAGATGGTTGTAGTACCTGTACTGGTATTATGTTTATTCTCTACTTTTCTGATCCATTTTCCTTATAAGTTTTATAGACATACCTTACTAATTTTTTTACCTTAACTTATAATGCAATGCTTCATTAGTATTAAGCCTGTCTATCTTCACTAACTATCCTATTATCTTCTTTCTTGCCCACTTGTATTCTACAAAACTGTGCATTTCTGCACACATGTGGGCTTTTATAATCACCCTTGTTCTGACCTGACTTCTAAGTTCTACCTGAATCTCCTAATTTTAGTCTTTTACTTGTTAGTGCAATGCTATACAATTTTTCTTTTGGGTATGTTTTGAATGGTTTCATTTGTCTTTGCAGTCGCTTGTAAGGGTGCTCGAATCTTGTGCTGGGAACATACCCTGTCACTCACTGATCTTGTTTCAGGACCTGTTGGTGTCCACAACACTTTCTCCTGTATGGTTTGATCTTCTAGGCCTTTTAACTGTTTTTAAATCATTTCATATGCCATTGTGTTTTAGTCTTGAAGTTCAGGAGAAGCTTAAGAACTGAGTTACATTTTTTTTGTGTATAATTTTCATAGAAAGAGGTGCTGAGTGCATTTATTTTGTCAAATGCTAACTTTCGTGAATTTTGTTTTTTCTTTGTTAGGATGACACCGTAAACCTATTTGCATATGCTGTTTTAAGGCTGACTCCCCGTGCTTTATCCTCTGGAGTAAGTTCCTGGTCCTATTTACGCAAAGGAGCTACATCCCATGTGTCCTCAAGTTCTATCTTGGCCCGTCCTGGTGGTGTTCCAGAACAATTTCAAGGCTCAGATGTCAACTCTCCTGCTGGAGATAACAATTATCGTGTCATACGGCCCCTGCAGCAGGATAAGTGGTCCAAAGGGAAGGATGGTTTTCTTGTCACTGATATTTGGGGTGCAGAGGCTAGTAACTTGATTTCTGCCACTCCAACAGTTTTGCTCCATCAGACAGAGGAGAGAATGTATCTGTGTGTCCATCAGCATAAGAGCCTTACCTTAATTTTTCTCATTCCTGTTTCTTCAGTACTAATTGGGGATCAAGGTGTTTCTGTTGTGAAGCAGCAAGTTCTTGAAAATGTTAGCTTCCTAGCCCTGCTAGTAACTCTAATGCTTATGCTATCAAACTGCTTCTTTACATTTTAAACTTGTCATTAGCACTGTAATGTGAAAATCATTACCTTAAATCAATAGAGGTCAGCAATAGAAATCCTATTTATATTGGTTCTCTACCAAAACCAAATTTCTTGTTAGACGTGTTGAAGCAACATTTTAATGTCTTTTTCATATCTTTCCCTATTTAAATTTTTATTGATTTAGTTTGGTTTAATGTACTCATATCCTTTATATTCATCGACAGGAAAAAATTAGTTTTCTAATATCCTCTATATCCTTTTTCATGTCCTCAACATAGGTTGCCTCATTGATTCCTAATGAAATAAAATGTCTACTTAATCGCTAATTTCCTGTAATAAATTATTTGGAATTTTACTGGTGCAATAATCATTGATTCTGATTCATGCTATTAGCTGTATTGTAGAATTTTTCTTGAGATGAAAGCTGGAGTGCCATTGTTTGAATTTTATGTTTTTATTTACTATTTTCCAGGTATCCCTAAAGCTGTTGAAAGTTGAAGAGAAACTATCAAAAGGATGGGTTGGTGAGAATGCATATCATGTTAGTGGATATAGATATTTACTAGTGGACGGAGACAGAAATGTATCCAGGGCTTCTCCAGCAGGAAAGGTCACAACCCTTACCAAGGTAAAGCATTCCACCACAGTTTGGCTTGCTCTCTTGTTCTGCACAATACGTGTTAAAATGTAGCCATTTGGTTGAGGATGTTCACCTTGTTTACCTGCATCAAATATTGTATAAATATACTCCCCTGCAGCAGCTAAGGAATTATGGAAGAAAACTTAGCTGCCTATAATTATGTTCTTTTTCAGTTTTCTATTTATTTGACTGGTGCCATGTTCACAAGTCTCCAGCTAGACTAGGTGCATTCTCAGTGCATTTCTTTTACCTTGGGGGCGGCTTGGCCTAATGCATGTGTTTGCTGCAAAAGATAGGCTTAGTGGTCACTGACCAGACTAGATCTCATCATTTTAATGTCAATTTATTGCTTTTATGAATTGATGTCCAAGAAGTTCATTTTTCATGTTCTGTGGCAGGATTCCTTACTTGCCTTAAGTAAGCTTAGAGAAGAAGTTGATTTGGAAAAGAGTAGAGCACAATCAGATAATGCTGGTCATGAGAAAGAATTGGAAGTTAGCATCCGGGCGAAAAACAATGCTTGGGTTATTGCTCGGGTTACAAGAGGGAAGGAACTTTATATGGTTCTGGAGAAAGCCAATGAAACCCTTCTTTATGCCTCTGATGCTGTTGAAAAGTTCAGCAACAGGTTAGTGTATATTTCCTTGGATGCCTGCAAGTTGTTTGTGCAGTGTTTGTCTATGTGGACAATCTTTCGAACTTGTATTACTGAATACAGATTTGCTTTTATAATTTACTGGTTTGCTAATTTCTTTGAGTTGTGCAGGTACTGCAATGGAGCTTTCTCGTTGAATTAGGGGAATTCCTTGGTTTTTGATATCCATAGTTACTAACATGATAACACAAAATGAGGGGTCCTGCCTCTATGCTCCCCAAGCGATGAAATGTCAGACCTGGCGCTGTAGATTTCTGTAAAACATCACACTTGCATGGGGAAATTAAATAATTAAAGTTGTTCTTTTATTCCAAGTATGTTGTAACTTGTATCCAATTTTTTATGTACTTGTAAATTATTTTTTGTTTATTAATTTACAAAGAAGTATCATCTACAAAATCTTGCTGGAAAAAAGAAAACGAAGAACAGAGAGAAGGAAAAGGCAGGAGCTTGTATGTATTAGCATGACGGGTCCATTTGGATGGAGCGATTCCAAATCTAGGGTACATTATAAGGTTAAATTGTTTGAATAAGAGAGAAATGAAGCAAACAAATGGATATCAATTTGTTTGCTTCATTTCTACATTCTTTTAACAAACTTATAGCTTTGTTGTCAAATTGAAATCCTTATATATCCATTTGTTTGCCTCATTTCTACATTCTTTTAACAAATTTATAGCTTTGTTGTCAGATCGAAATCCTTTCTTTCAAATACCTCCATTCAAACGGAAGCTAACAGTTTGCCTCCTCCACCAAGAAAGAACAATGATTTTTATTTTTATTTTTATGGAAGAACAAAATTACACGGCAAGCCAAAGGAACGATTGCATTGGAACCCAGAAACAGCGACGAAGTTTTCAAAAAGGATTTATAATTTGTTTTGGATTCAAACCAAACAAAGCACACGATAATGAATTAAAAAGATGAAAGAAAAAAAATTAATTTAAAGCATTATTCGCCCACCGTGGGGCTCGAACCCACGACCACAAGGTTAAGAGCCTTGCGCTCTACCAACTGAGCTAGACGGGCTTTCTTGCTTGGTCAATGTTCGTTCCTATTGATAACCGAATTTCTACGCTGTTCCTTCCCTCTGAAATCTTCATTAAGCTGCTTGAGAAATTCGGTTATGAATGTAAAGGACTGTCAACTAAACAACAAGCCCGTCTAGCTCAGTTGGTAGAGCGCAAGGCTCTTAACCTTGTGGTCGTGGGTTCGAGCCCCACGGTGGGCGAATATATATATATATATATATTGTTTTCATTTTCTCTTCGTTTTTTGGGGTCAGATTTTCAATTTCTCCTAAGAGGAGAAAGAGAGCCCACGATTAGTGAAATACCAAATTGGGCCTTTGCCCATCATGTACAACACTGAAACGCCAATTTGCCACATATCATATCCACAATTTATATAACAATGCAAACGTGGCAATTATACAAGTGGCCTCTGTTTATTGGTTAAAAAATGCCTTCGTTGACCCCTTTCTTTCTCCATTAATTTAGCTCCTCCTCCAACCACCTCGTCCCTTCGCACCATCTTTGCTGCCTAAGTGCTAATCAGAGCTGCTAATCACGATCTTTCAGTAAGCCAATTCAAATCCTTTTTTCTTCTTTTGGGTTGATTTGTATTCTTATTGTTTTTATTCAAACCAGGCCCAGGCGTCACCTTGTGTGTAGATTTTTCAGAGTTGAAATTTGAGGCAACCCGTGTACGAAAATGTATTCATCACTCTGCTATGCAGTAATGTTTCAACACCATTGTTCAATTGATGGGTTTACTCCGAAATCATGAAAAAAAGAAACCATTTTTATGAAAACTCTAATTGTATTGTGTGTATTGGGTGTTGGGGGCTGTGTGCTTTGAGCTGGTTTTTTGCAACCATATGGGTAAAAATTGTCACTTTTCTACAGCGTGATGCTTAATTTCATTAGATTGTGCGGTTAAAGTAACTTAAAATTATTGCACATGAATTACCATAATTAGTGATTGTGTCCTTTTGACAGAGAAGTACATGAAAAGAGGTTCATAGTTCCTCCACTGTAGTAAATCATCAATGATGGAGTTTTTGCAAGTTCTGGTTTGTTTATGATAAATTACGTTGCTCTATTTAGCTTAATGGCGGAGTAACTGTGTTATATGTGTGTGTGTTTGGGGTGGGGGTGGAGGGATCATTTGAGATTCTACCAGATCCTTTTCCATGTTGCTCCCTTTAGTTTCTTTAATAAATAAATAAGTTCATAATTATCATTTTGATTTAAGAGAATTGTTGAGTTATCCCAGGTTCTAGCATGTTTCTACGACCAAGTTAGTATCGTGACCCTCTTTTTGTTATATCAATTTTTCAGGAGGAACCTATCAACATGGAGATAGGTACTGTGAGGTAAAATTTTGTCCCTTTATAAATAAATTAAGTTGATTCCATCATGTAGTAGTTGAAAAAACACTATACACACATTGTTTTTTTCCTGGTTCACTTGCTTTGACCCTTATTGAAAACTTTAGTTCTGCATGATTTGCTCTTGCATTGTCAATCTAGTTAGTTAACAATGCTTATAGTAAACTCCATAGCCTTTCATATTCATGGCATTGTTGATGTCGTTAAGCATTTATTAGTTTCATTCTTATATCATTATAATCTCGACAGGTGTTGCCTTGACAACCAAGTACTGTGGTTGTCAAGAGAAAGTTCAAGAAAATTAGATTGGAGAAATATCCACCCACTTCCACATATTGTAACTACTTGGAAATTAAAGGTGGGATATCAGAGGTTGATATCTACTGGGAAGCATTCACTGAACCATGTCTTCTGGAGAAGACATTCAATTCACACTAGTTTGGAGGAATCATCATCTGTTCAGGGAGAAACTTACAGTGGAAATGATGAATATGCACATAAAGATTCGCAGGAGAATCATCTTTCTCAACCTTTAAGAAGTAATGAGGTACTCATGCACTGGTCCGAATTGTTTTGATTTAAAAACAAATAAAAAAATCCTTGACAGCATTCGAATGCATGAACTTCCTTTTTCTATTGGTTTAGCATTCCTGGCTACTTCAATTTTAAATCTCAAGAGCTAACTTATGTTAAAACTCTATATCAGTTGAAGTCACTGCTGGCTGATTCTGAAAGAACAAAGCTTGTAAAAAAACTAAGTGAAGCCAATCAACAAAATCGGTTCCTCAAACGACAGGTTTGTATGTATTCATACAATGTCCTTTCTAAATCGACTCCTACTTTAGTATGTCATTTAAATTCATCTTCATCATTTATTGCAGTGGCCCACATTTTATGTTGCCATCTATGTTGATATCTTCATAGATTTGACTGGATTGATATCCATTTAGGAATGCATTCTAGCGGCAGTAGGCATGTTAATTCATGGGGTTGGTGCAAAAAGCATAGGACTGAAGAGTAAAGACTCGCACAACAGGAACGTAGATTAATGCTTAGTGGGTCCAATTGAGAGATGAAAGCATTAATATTAAAATTGAGTTGTTGGCTTGTTTAGCATATGAGTATATCAAATTTATAGATATAAAAAGGTTCACGTATTCACAATCTCATTTCTAACTTGAAGGTGGTTGAATTGAATATACTGAAAGATGAAGATGCACACACCTCTTTCATCATTTGTGAGAAAAAATTAAAAATATATTTGATGAGTTTCTGTTTCAAATTAGTTTCTTCATATGATATCTCATTTGTCTTAACTGTATCAAGAAAATTAACATACATGTAACTATAATTCTTGGATGCTATTAATTGGAGAGAGCGTGGATGTTTATATGGTTATTTCATTTGATTGTTCTATCAAGTGTAATAGATTTGACATCTTATGTTGATCCATTATCTCTACAGTTGCATATAAAGGAGGATGCGTTGGTGAACTTCAAAAGTGAACTTGCTGTCTTGGAACTTGAAATTCAGGTTACATATTTTACGACTGGTGGTTGTCTGCACGTCTTGCATGAGCATAATGTTATCACTTGTGAGTAATTTAAGTCCCTAGAGATCAGCTTTTTTTTATCACATGTGAGTAATCTAAGTCTCAAGAGATCAAGATTCTTACTTCCATGTGTCGCCACTTTAACACACTACAAAACCTTTCGTAATACTAAAATGGTTGTAGGTCAAGCACCATGTGGAAGGAGAAAATAATTCCAGTCTTGAATCTCTTGACTTTGATATATTGTTGGAATCATATCCTGTGCAAATTGCATTTAGTTAGATGTCTGTTATTGCCTAATTTCAAGAGCCATCTTGACTGAATTCTGCTAACATAGCAAGAAGTATTCTCTCAGCAATCCAAACATAAAAAATGGGATCTTTATATCATAAACCTTTAACCACTACGACAACCACTTTACTCATACCATTCCCATCATAGTGCAAGAATGGTAGTTGTCCCTCATCCGCATCAGATTGCTTCTCTCACTGCAACTCTGCTTTGAGATACTAGACAGGCTTGAAAGTTGCTTAAGTTGTATGCTAAGTTTAGAAAATCTGTAGGTTCTAGGATTTGGTTGGGTGGAGAAAAGGCATTTAACAGTTAAAGTGGAGTTGGATAGTAGAAGACAAGTGTAAGCTGCTCTCTGGTTTCTGTAGCAGTCAGTGTACAAGAAAAAAGATGTCCAGTGATAAGTTAACCAACATAAAAAGGAGACACAAAAAAATAGGATCAAAATTGGAATGTAGATAAACAAGTCCTAGGGCACGAGACCCATGAGAATTCCACAATCTGATTCCCTTTCCTGAAAATTGCATACTAATTCCCTTAAGCAAGTATGTATACAAGTGTTACAGCAGCCCTAGCTTTGATTACTTTAGTAGCTATCTAGTGTTAAACCTTCAGGAATACTTGAAAACTTGCATGACTGTCATCTGGCAAATAACATAACACATAAAAACTGACCACTAAGTGAAAGATAAGTTCAAAACTGAATCCCAACTAGAACCCAAACCAACTTTACAGTGGGCTTACTGAGTCCTGGATAGCTATGTAATTCCTGTCAAATCTGGATGTGAAACTTGCGAGAAAGTTTGAAGACTTTCCTTGTGCCCACACAACTTTTTTGGTAAAAAAAATCACAAAAGAATAATAGGGAGTTACTTTCCTATATTTTAATTTCTTTTAGAACCAATTAGACCCTTAAGGACTAACTCAGACTCTCTGAAAATCTTCTTTGTAAAACATTGTGGAGGATTTGCAGAAAATTAAATTCTAAATGCATCCTAGATCAAATGACTCATGTTAAAGGCTATGTTGTCATGCATCACGGTTCACGTGATTGAATATAGTCGAAGACTTGTGATGTCATGATTCCTTTAGTTGTTCTAATGGCAGGCTTTGGTGAAATTGGCAGAAGAAAACACTAAATCTTTCATTCCACAAGGTTCAAGAAAGATTAATGGGAAATACATTCAGTCTCACCTTCTTTCCCGTTTAGAAGGTAACTTGCTCTGGCATGACTTATTTATTCCTTCTTTCTTATTCTCTTTCCTTTTGCTGCTAAAAATTGTATCTCCTTCTGTTAACTGAACAAATGCATTTGAAAGCATCTTAGAGGAATGTGTACAAGGAATATATAGTTTTCTCTCTTTTTTTAGAATGATGGTCCTCCTAAGGTACATCTCCTCCACAAATGAAATTGAGCCATTGCATTAATAGGTGCCTTGAGATGTGAATTTATATCCACCTCACTTTCTCATCAGAAAATTCTAGTTTTTTCCCAGATCATATTTATTGATTAAAAATTAAATCTATTTTCAGAGCATCTTATCCGAATAATCAAAATAAAATACATACAGACTACAATTATCAAATAAAAAAGTACTAAGAAAGATAATATAGGAACAAAGACCACTTCGGAGAGTAGTGAAAACGGGAAAAAGGATCACTTATAATAGTTGAGATTTAGAGCAGAAATGTAAGGATTACCCCTTTAGTAAAACTCTTTCTTGGCATCAGTCATTTGGAGTAAGTATGGTTTTTGTGCAAATGGATGGGATTCTTGAGTTGAGAGAAATTGTTTCTGATATCCCTTAAAACATGTGGGTTACTCCTTATTTTCTCATCGTCTGAAATTTGTGTTGGGAATTGGGATAGAATTAGACTTTGGCAATGTATTATGGGTGAGTAGTCGTCTTTCTTGTTTCAGAAATGTGGTTTCCCAGCTGATGTTGAATTGTTTTGAATTGTAATGCTTTCATGTCGCTGTTTCCATGTTTGTTAACTTTCCATATGTTCTGACAAAAGTACTGTTGCATGTGTGTATCTGTGTGAAGCTGTACATGAAAAGTTGAAGGAACAGATAAAGGATGTCGATGCTGTACAATCCAAGGAGGTTCCCCTATTTTGGTATGGCATGGCTGAGGTAAGCATATAACCTTATAATTTTCATTCCTTTTCCTCAAATTATGGAGTGCAGTAATAGTGCGTGACTTTTTGAAATATGATCATATGGGTCACTTCATTGCAAAGCAAAAGGGTTGACGATGAGAAAGATGTCTCTAAGCTGTGTTCAACCCTTTATGAAAATAACTTGAAATTATGGAGTGTGGTAATAGTGAGTGAATTTCTGAAATATGATCATATGGGTCACTTCATTGCAAAGCAAAAGGACGTATGATGAAAACAGACGTCTCTAAGCTGTGTTCAACCCTATATTGTAATCACTTGAGGATGGAAAATTCAGGAAGGAGGTTTGGAGATTCAGTATAAAGTGTTGGAGCTCTCTCTGGTCCATGTAATTTGTTACCTCAAAAAGCGAGTTTGGCCCCCTATATAAAGACGTTTTAGAAGTATAACGCCATTGGAAAACATTTCAAAGGATCATGATCACCTGCTCCCCCCCCCCCCCCCCACAAAAAAAAAAAAAAAAAAAAAAAAAAAAAAAAAAAAAAAAAAAAAAAATCCTTTAATGATTTAAAGTATTCTTATTTTTATTTTTTTTTTCATTTAGGGCACAGGGCTCCGGCAGGCAAGACAGGCATGCCATGCCTACTGTTTACTGGTGGCGCTGACCAGCTTCTTCCTCTAGTCTGGAGTTTTCCAATTGAGTCCTTGACTGCACTCTATACATTCTATCCTAAAGTCATATTTCAATTCCTGAACGTTAGGCACCGAAAAAAAAAATTTATGTGTGCTTATAAATTTGTTTTCAACTGCAATTGGTCCATTCCATATGGATAGAACTAGTCGTTTTCTGAGGACCTGGATGTTGTTGTGGCTGATCTTGAGCCCTGGCTTCTGGTGGGTGTGAGACAACTGTTGAATATGGTGTTGGTTATGAAGTTTGTTTTCTCCTGTGGAGGCTGTGATGAATCTGGTCAACGCCGATAAGGAAGGACAAGGGGGTGTTGGCTTAAGTAAGTTTCACTATATCAATTAACCCAGTTGATTAATCCAACCCGAGAAGATCTTCTGAGTTTTCAAGGTTTAAGGGGACCTGATAAATATAATAATTGTATTACAAAGTACCTGTTATGTCTTCAATGATACTACTGGTGCCGAATCCTAGTCCTTGTTAGGCTGGCATAAAATTGCAAAAGCAGAAAAGTACAGCCTTGAATGAAATTTTAAAGTTTTGGTTCTATAGATTAGGTATTTAGGCATCGAATTTAAAACAAAATTTGTTATTATTTTGGTGTCACAGAGTGTGCAAGTTATGGGCACTTTCGATGGTTGGAGTCAAGGAGAACATTTATCATCGGAGTATACCGGTTCTTTCACCACGTTCTCGACAACATTAATGCTCAGACCTGGAAGGTACCTAGTCACTCAACTATTCCTATTCTTCCTCCCTTTCTTCATCCTTACCCAAAAATATTATATTTGAAGGTATGAAATCAAGTTCTTGGTGGATGGAGAATGGAAGCTGTCACCAGAATTTCCTACAGTTGGTGAAGGATTAATGAAAAATAACTTGTTAATCGTGGAATAGCTCGACGTCTATAGCCATGGGGAAGGAAAGAAAAGCCTATATCATGTGTCAAGCAACTGATAATACTTGTTTACTATGATGTTGACCCAGTGCTTATTTCATTTAGGTCCTTAGTTGTGCTTCTGATGTCCAGAAAAACCTAGCATTTGAACTACCAGGCCAGAAAGGAAAAGGAGACCCTAGCATTTTTGCATCCTTATCTGATTACAAAATGAGGATGCCATGCTGGCCTTTATAAGTTTTAAGGTAGTTTCGGCATGCTGGACGTGTCTACTATTCCAATCATTATGTATTGGATTGTACTGAATAGTAATCTATCGTATTTTTCTTATTATTGTTGAATGTTTTGTACTGTGCCGGATTAAGAGGTTGGACAAGTTGTATTGCGTTTGGTATTGTACAAGGTAAGAGGTTGTTTTCAAATGAAAAAGAAAAGCATCTCACTCTCTTAGAGCAACTCCACCCATGTTGCCCTTAGCCATGGCAAGGGGGGAGCTAGGGCAGCCACTATTCACGTGAATAGTGGTTGCCTTTGCAAAATCAGAATTTTGTGTTTCCACCCATTGCCCTAGCTAAGGGCAGTTACTATTCATTTTTTTGTTTTATTCACAATTTTTTTTACCTCAATAATTAATTTGGATAATATTTTCGGATAAGATTTACGGGTTCCTACGTGTCAACACTATTCATAATCGGATAAAATTTCGGGATAAGATTTTTGGGTTCAAATTTCGGATGAATTTCAAAATTCAAATTTCAGATAAATTTTTGGGTTCAAATTTCGAATGAATTTCAAAATTCAAATTTCGGATGAATTTCAAAATTCAAAATTTCAAAATTCAAAATTTGGGTTCAAATTTCGGATGAATTTCAAAATTCAAATTTCAGATAAATTTGGGTTCAAATTTCGGATGAATTTCAAATTTCGGATAAGATTTTCATCCAATCAAATCAAGCCACGTGGCATCTCTATCTTGCCAAATTTTTCTATAAAACCAGAGGCTCACATCATACCTCTCACACCACATCTTTCAATATTTTCATTTCTTAGAGTTTAGAATTCATACTCCATTCATTCTCAATGGAAGAATATAGGAGATGCTTGGAGAGGCACGAGAGAGAAAGAAAGGAGAGAAACCGTAGAGCCAATCAAATGAATGAGTTGCAGAGGCAAGTCGATGAGCAAGTTCTCATAGCAGTGGCAATGGAAGAGGAAGAGAACCAAGGTCGCCGCCGTGGTTCACAAGTCGGCCGTCGCCGGAATGTGGACAGACATAGGCATTCTCGGGGTAAGAATCTTTTGGAAGATTATTTTATCCCAACTGCTTTGTACTCTGATGTTGATTTTCGAAGGCGATTTAGAATGCAACCTCATTTGTTCAATAAAGTCATGCATGATATTTGCAATTATGATGCATACTTTGTTCAAAAGTGTGATGCTACTGGGGTTTTGGGCCTTCTTCCGGAGCAAAAGCTTACAGCTGTTATACGAATGTTGGCGTATGGAGCATCTGCTGATCAGGTGGATGAGGTTGCCCGAATGGGGAAGTCCACTACGTTGGAGGCTTTGGTAAGATTTTGTGATGCAGTTGAAAACCTGTACACTAGGGACTACCTGCGTAGACCTACTCCCAGGGACCTCCAACGGCTTCTACAAAAAGCCGAAGCTCGAGGATTTCCAGGAATGATTGGTAGCATCGACTGCATGCATTGGCAATGGAAGAATTGCCCAACTGCCTGGCAAGGTGATTACGGAAATAGAAAAGGCACAAAAAGTATCATCCTGGAAGCCGTTGCTGGGTTCGACACATGGGTTTGGCATGCTTTCTTCGGAGTTGCCGGAGCCCAAAATGACCTCAATGTCCTGGGTCAATCTCCGGTCTTCAACGAAGTTTTGAGCGGCCAAGGCCCCAATATTACCTATCAAGTCAACAATACAGTCTACCAGACGGGGTATTATCTAGCTGACGGTATCTACCCAAGGTGGACCACATTTGTCAAATCCATTCCGAATCCCCGATCCCATAAGCAAAAATTATTTGCTACCTATCAAGAAGGATACAGGAAAGATGTCGAAAGGTGTTTTGGCATCCTTCAAGCTCGATGGTTGATTGTTCGAGGTGCGGCCCGTATGTTTGATCAGGAGGTCCTCCGAAGCATTATGATGACTTGCATCATCCTCCATAATATGATTGTGGAGGATGAGTACGATTATGATGCTGGAGAGGTCTATGAGCCGGATCCAATAAACACGGCGATGACCCGGATTTATGAAATGCCCATGGGGCCAAATGGAGAACCGTTGGAGCCGGAACCGTTGGTGAGGGACGATCGTATGATGACCCGGATGATAGATCGATATACAGAGATGCAATCTTCGTATATTCATGAAAGCCGTCAACTTGACTTGATAGAGCATATATGGGCGGTGAAAGGGAATGAAGATGAATGATGGAGCATAGATGCTTTGGTTATGTTTTATTTACTTATGGTTTGGTTGTGTTGTTTACTATTGCTTATGGTTTTGTTGTGTTGTTTTGTTGTGTTGTTTTTATTTATTATTGTGCCTTGTTTGTAGTTTTTGTTTTCATTTTAATTATATTATGTTTGATGTATGGAATATGTTGAATAAAATGGTATTTTATTGAATGATTTGTTTATTAAATAAAGAAATTCAATACAAGTCATTAAGAATTACTACTACTAAAATAAAACATGAAACATGAAGTAATTGTAGAAGAAGCCATAAAAATAAAAACTAAAATTACAAGGTGAAAGAGATGAAAATGTTGAGTGAAGAGTGAAGAAAATGTTGAGTGAAGAGTGAAAAAAATGTTGAGTAATTGTAGAAGTAGAATAAAATGTATGAGAATTGGTGTTGAAAGTGAAGGGTATGTATAGGTATTTATAGGAAAAAAAATCAGAATTTTTTAGGATTTTTTAGTATTTTTTTAACAAAAATTTCGATTTTTTTTCATAATTTTATTGTCCAAAAATCGCCAGCCGTTGGATTAGCATTTGGAATCAAATCGGAGCGCTGGGGGAGTGCCACGTGGCTTCCACCCGTTGTGGCTGGCGTCGTGCTGACGTCAGTGCACGCGGGTTCAAATTTTTTTAACGTTGGCGCGTGCATTGCACGCGCCAACGGTAAAAAAAAATTGAAAACCGCGTGACGACGTCAGCCTGACGTCGTCGTGACGTCACCCCCCCCGCGTTTTGGACCTGGGGCGAAAGTTGCCTTCGGGCCAGCCCGGGTAGGTGGGTCCCACACCCCCCCCGGGCCTGGGCTCTCCCGCTGGAACCAGATTTTTGTTTTTTTCCCCCCTCCCCTCGGGCTGGGCTCTATGGCTGGAACAGCTCTTATAAGGCAATTTACCAGACTCTGGTATATTTAGGCCTAGTTCCAAACAACGGAGAACAACTCTGGACAATTTGGAACACCGCGTGGACAATTTGTATGTGTTGTCGAACCTTCTTTTTAAAAAAAATTGATTAACAGTACATTGAAATCACAAATACCATTTGCAAAGAGATCGCATTTATATACCACATTTGACGAAGATCACATATTATGATATTCTAATTCCTGGAGAACTAACTTATTAGGAATTCATCTTTTTTTACCCATTATATCCTCACAGAATTTTCAAAATTCCAAATGTGCCATCTACTTTAACCCAATAATGATGACATTTTAGTAATTAGTACCACTCCTACCCCAATTTCATATGATTTTTTTTTGGTCGAATAATTCCATATGGTTTAGTAAACAACTTCAATAGGAATCTGAAATCTAATTATCCCAAATCCAACTCGTCCTCAATTCAATTCATCATCAATTCAATTCCTCCTAATCCAATTACGAATTAGTAAACATGCCATGAGTGGTAAAAAAGGAGCAAGAACATCAACTATAAAATTAGCTTCTCGAACCGCATGCTAAAGCTTCACATATGCTCATTGTCCCTTTAATTAAGCTTAAAGCCCTAGGGATTTTCTTGGCTTTGTTTTTTATGAGATGAAATTACTTTCTGCTTATATATATGCATCAATTATTTCTTGGTTCTAATTTGGTGGAATTGTTTTTTACTTGGATGTTGTTTGAGTGAGCCGATTCATTCAATGGAATTATTTTGGGCAGTCCAATAAAACAATAATGTATCACATCCTAGAGGTCTTGGGCGTCTTTCATTAGTAGGCTTAACCCATAATTGCATGTTCTTAGTCACGATTGTCACGATTTTGGGTTGTAAGTGTTTAGGGTTTGAGGCTTGAAAAAACATTGCTTTTGTTTTGAGTGACCATTGGATGTCAGCGCAAAAACGAGTGACAGTCTTCCTACATGCATTGTAGTGGATCTTCTACGTGTAGTTTTTGTGCAGATGCTTTTGTTTTTCTTTGCTGCAGTTGTGTATACGTGAAACGATTTCAATATGTCAACTTAGACTCAAGTGTAATGTCAACATGAAGTGGAGTGTCTTAGCTGGGCGTCTTCCTTAGGCTGGATGCTCTGCCTAGGAAGGCCTATAAGTTGAAACCCTAAACCCTAAACCTTATAAGTTGAAATGTGGAAATGTAGACGGTACGTAGTTGAAGAGCGTAGAGTAGTGCTTAAAGTGTAGATGGGCTCATAAGGATTTGGAATGGTAAAAGAGAGGAACACTAGTGTTAGTGTTGGATGTTTAGTTGCTGGTTTCAGTTCTTTCTACAATGTTGATGGGTTTAGTTTAGACTTCAGCACATGGTTGATGGTTCAGTCAGTGGGCATTGAGACAAGTCAAAGAAAATTTGAGCAGAAACGCAAGGAAGAAGGTTGGGTTGGGTTAGAGGGATTTGGGGAGAAGAAACTTGGTAAATGGTGGCAGGGATTACCCCTTGATCGTGGTCTATAGCCATGGGGAAAGAAAGAAAAACCTATATCATGTATCAAGCAACTGATAAAACTTTTTTTACTATGATATTCTCTCATAGCTTATTTCTTTTAGGTCCTTTTTTTTTGT